AACGCGGTGAGAATATGAGTCTTCGTGGTGGAATACAGCCCGTATTTCCGGTTCATCAGAATTACGAATTTTAATTTTAATTAGCGTGCGAATCACACTCGCGTTAATTTGTAAAAGAATATAACTGAAGGAAAATGAGAAAGGAAGAGAAAGAAATGAAAAAGATTGAAAGATAACGAGAGATTTTCTCGTTAAATTAGCCAAATAGTTTCGGATAAAAATTCCGTCTCTGTCGCCTGTATCGATTAGATACAACACACACGTGACATTGAAGTGATTTAGACATTTATCCATCTTAGCTAATTTCTCGTATCTAGATAAATTTTGCTACGACTGCAAAACCATTTTTTCGAGTGTAACATACATAAACATATATAAACGCAACATCACGTGTTCCACCGCTTTTATTATCACGTGAAGCCTGGCAATTAGGTGAACTGAGAGAATTCTGAACACCTGAAATTATTTTTTTAACCTCGTTGATGTACCTTGATGTACCCCCTTGCAATGCGGCAATGCGCATGCACGGGGGGGGTCGCGTCACAGTGCGGTTGCCCCCCCCCCACACACACACACACACATTCGGCACATTGGCTTATTCGTTTCTGGATAATCTCTCTTTCACTCAGGGACCCATACCGAATGATAATCGCGCGTGTTTATGGCAAAATTTTTATTCAGAACTACCAATAAGTTGACTTGTCAGCTTGCTAAACATCGGTTGCAAGCGCGTTCAGAATACGGACCTAAGCATTTACACTTTATAAGTGCAGATACACGCATACACACTATGCGCGTGCCACTACCCTTCGTCGGCAACTTGGGTAGTTGGAGACTTCGTCAAATCTTTGATCGTGAATGTCAGAATAACCGATTGACGGCTGAGTTCGGTATCTTCTCCGGGAAAAACTCAATAATGACGTGTGTGTGAGGACATTGATATTCGGTTGTTCGTCTTTCAACAAGAACGCGTTAAAAACACGCGTTTAGATGTTTTCTCAACGACCCGAGCCTGCCGGCATAAGTATTTTTGCAAATTAATAATTAGGATTTCTTGTATTTTACACGCGTTTCAAACGGGATAATCTATTTTGGAACAACTTAAGCTATTCTAATTAAAATCTACGCTGTACATCTGGGATAATCGAGAGAAATTTCTAGCCTACGCGTAGCTGCGCCGTCAGCCGTCGAGAGCTGCTAGTCTTCGCGACGCACGTCAAGGCGACGGCAAAAAGGACGGAGACATTTTTATTACCGGTTTTATCCCGTTCTCCTCCTGCTCCTAAACGAATACCGTATTATCAGGTCGAACGACAGGAGTACATAGCGCCAAAATCTCGGCGGGATCTCAGAACTGGAACGAAGCGGGGCACGACTGGGAATCGCGCATCGTGAGAAGCTCCCAATCAGAGCAGACTTGTGCAGAGCAATTAACGCGCTCAGTGAGATAATGGGTTTATTAATTAACTAGCGCGACAGAGGCGCGTCAGCGAGCGACTTTTTGTTTTTAACGGGAGAGAACGGGGAAGGAACCACCGCGCGAAAAGAATTTCACAGGTGATTCCGAGACCGAAAGACCAACGAGAGTCGCTTTTGTCTCCGCGATATCCGGAATCCCATCATCGTCGATCCCGGGAGAAGTGGAGTAGCAGACGCCTCTCCTCGTCTCCGCAATGGAGGATCTCGTTAACGTGCCGGAGCGAAACGACGCGATTTTAAGAGCAAGCAAGCAAGTCTCTCGGTTTCGTGGGAAAAATTCGAAAGTCACGATATTTTTGTCGGATCTCCCGCCAGTGAAATTTCGAGCGGCGTGCCCCTTTCGAGCCCGTCCCGTAACGTAATAGCCCTACTTATCGCGAAGCGATTTATCGCGCGCGCACGAGAAGAGAGAAAGAGAGAGAGAGACTACGTGGTGTGTAAGATTTGCGTCCACGATGCTTGATCTTGAAACCGAGATCTAATTATGTATTTATGTTGGCACCCTATAAGCGCGTAATATTCCTAGAATATTGTATAAATATTATTTAATATTAAAATAATATTCTTATAATATTCTAAGAATGTTATGTAATCTTTTTTAATATTGTGCGAATGTTTTATTGATGTTATACGTCCTCTTCACATAATATTTTTAGCATATTATAAAAATGTTCCTAGAATATTAAAAAAATAAAATAATATAGAATAAAAAAAATATATATATATATTTAAAAAAGGAAGAGAACCTTGAAATGATTTTGAATTATTGTCTGTACAACGAAGTTAACCTTCTCGATACTCATGGGTACTCATTTTCGTGTTCTCAAAAATTCTTCAATTCCCCGGCAAAATACACCTTGGCCCGGTCAGATTTTCGTTATTTGGATTATTTTACATCGATTGACACTTTAAGCCGTAATTGTTTCTTTTTTAAATCATTCTTGTTATCGGGGGCCAAAGTTGAGGACTTATCTATTCAATATCCGGGCTTATATCACCGAGCATTCCACACGAATTTTCTTTCAGCTTACGCTATTCGCGTCATCGAAGAGCACTTGGTGAGTGTAGGAAATGATAGAATAAATTTCAACAAATGAACAATAATTAAATGCATAAACAATTGAAAAATCGAAAAATCCCACGTTCTTTTCGAGTACATTCAATACAGTGCGTTATCGTTATTGTATATTTCTTGCACACGGGTTTCTTACATACCTCGCACGCTTTCCGTGTTTTTCCACGCTTCTTGAACGTGCCTTTGCCGCAAATACGGCACAAGCCCACGACAATTTTTCGCCCCGTCGAGTCGAATCTTTGCTCGGACGACATTGAGGACCCAGCACCGATATCGTCGTTCGCTGGTCTACCGAGCATGCTTTCAACGGCATTCCTCGTCGAGAAATTCCTCATTATTTGAGGATTCTTCGAAAACATGCACAATTCATCATTGAGCCGGTGCAAAAAACACCGATCGTTCGTCTCTTTTTTTTTTCATTTTGTTATTTTCATATTACAGAATGTATGCTGCGAAACTCGCGGCACCGACGACGTTATGAAAAGAGGCCTGTTCGTCTGTCTCTTCGTCGTATATCTTCCGAGCATTTGCTCCATCGTGTCGACACCGATTTTCATTTTATAATAATACCGAATTAGTTCTGGCTTCTTTTCTCGAGTCGCGCTTACGTTCGCGTCTGTACGCATCGTGGACAAAAGTATCATCGTTCTTCTTCGGGACGTACGAGCGTGACGACGTTTTCGTGGAAACCAAAGAGAGACGAATGCACCTCGCGGCGCTGCGAAGCCGCCACCTCGATCGGGATGCATTTCTCATTCTTTTTCAATGTTCCGACGATCGTCAGGTTCCACGACGTCAGAGATTTCGCCAGGGGTAGCGACGTGAAAGACTTATCCATCGTGATATTCCTGCCCGAGCCTTTGCACTTTGTCTTTAGAAGAGCCAGCTCTTCGTCGTGTCTTTCCACGAAAGCTGTTTCTTCGTCGGATTCGCCTCGAGACGCCTTTCTGTTCGTGTGACGCGCGATAACGTTCACCATTTTGACGGAGAAAATTGCTTTGAACGTGTCAGCGATCGACAACATTTCCGTGTTCTTCGTCTGAGGGCCGCTTCTTTCCTGAGGAATATTACGAGCCGTGTGTTGCCGTAAAACTCGTGTGGCTGTCCAGACGGTTTCGTCTTCGGAGATCCGCGGTCGATTCGGCCGACCGATGAGCAGGTATTCTCTCTTTATTCTCCGTGTTTGTTCCTCCATCATCGATCTCGTTCTCGGACTCTGCTTCGCCTTTGGCCACGAACAGGTTTTCCCGATCTGTTATATCCCCGCTATTTCCTCGTGATCGGACATTTCGGAGCTCATCGCTCGTCGCTGTCTGACAGGTTATTGTTTTCAGCGGAATCGGACTCCTCGCCTAATCGTTCCGCCAAGTAACTACGCTTCTCTTCGGCCGTCAATCTGAAATTTTCTCAACACGTTGTTACGCAAAAATCATTCGTATTCTAAAGATCGCTTTGGAGCGGATTGAAATAGATGCTTGAAATGACCTCACCTTGCAAACAACTCCTCCATTTTCTCCAACTACTATTTCCACAATCACCGGTAAATAATTGATGGAAAATAGCAAGAATTTCAAAGAAAAACCATGCACACCGAATAAAAGAATTTTCCCACGTCCATGCTCGTCGAGATCTCATTCGGGAACGAAACTACGCTGCGGAATTCGTCCGTTGGGACGCCCGAGGGGAATTCCAGGAAACGTTAGCGGGGGAAATCCCTGTCCGCCCAGCAATTTACAGCTGTCGGGTAACCGGGGGGAAGGGCGCAGGTAGCCCTGCACTGCCGTAACTATCGGTTTTGCAGAGTAGGTAGCCGCGTACTCCGAGTATTGAACGAAAGGGAGGAAATCCGGATGTCGACAAAAGGGTTAACATAACGTTACATTAACATATTCACCTTGTTAACATATTAATATTTTATCTTTTTTTTCTCTTGTTGTAAAGTAACAAAAAATTTCAGTAGATTGTTTTTTAAATGCAAAATTTTATATCATGTGTAACCCCTGCATTAAAAATTTTATGGTTATTACAGCCTTCATGTCTCTTAAAGATTGCAGCACAACAATGGAAATTATATGATTCGGTTAGGTTATAAGAGTGTATAAATCGTAGATTCATCGTACATAATTGGTCTAACGATCTTCCTTTCATTTTAAAGAAATTTTTACATCCGTTTCTCCTCCCTCTACTGAAAATTCTGTTTTCTACTGTAACGAAGAGCGTAAAATGTTTGTGTCTCACTTTTGAAATATTATTAATTATGCTAATATTATTATTACGCGGATATTTCCACATAATTGTGTATTTTTATTATTTATTTTTAAGTGGGGGGGGGGAGGGGCTGGCAAGGCAGACATCGAAATTGAATACTATCGACTGTAAGTGAGAGCAATGGCTCGCAAGAATAGACTGTGACAGTTAATTGCGCGCGTATAGACGACTGAACGGCGTACGAAAAGAAACGTGGGAATCCGGAATAGTTGACGGTGTAGACATTTTTCTTCCTCTTTTTTTTCTTTCTCTTTTATTCTAACGAAAATATATCGTAAAAAGATAAAAAAGTGTATTATAAATAATATTATTATATCGAACCTGTATATCACGTGATGTATCGCATTTCAATGTCGTTGGGAAGATCCGTCAAAATTCCATGCTGTCGGCTGTAACTAAAAGCAAACATTTGCTAGGATATACTAATTTGTTTTAACTAATTTATTGATTTATTTTAACCAGGGATCCGGACCGGACCGGAGCTGAAACCGAAAACTGTATGGAAACCGGTATTTTTGCATGACCAGAACCGTAAACCGTATCGAAATTTTATAAAGCCTGCAGAACCGGAACCGAAATCGAGACCGTTACATTTCTCTCGGTTTATTATTTCGGTTCTTATTTTATGATTTTCAATAACCGTTTTTTTCATTTCATAATAAATTCTTAGTTCTCACAAAAAAAGCAGAACATTGATTACTTATCACAACAAATGGAAAATAAACTTCAAGCGTACGACATTGAACAGAAGAGTATTCGGCTCTGAGAGCCACCCTGTATGCGGGTGGGTAATTTAATTCAACCTTACGTGCACGACACTCACGTTTCCCTTTCAACCTCTGCTCGCGCCGCTCGGCCTCTAAATGTCGCAGGAATTCCTGAAACACGTGGAGTGACTTGTTCAAGCTCGTCTTCTTGTAATCCTTGATGCGCTTCTTATTCAGATCGTAAGTCTCCTCCTCGGCCTTGTCCTTCACGTCGTACACGTTGATCTCCTCTATCAGCGTCATTATGGTGGGCACCTTGTCGGGATCGAACTTGTCAACCGCGCTAGCATTGAACGGTATGCAGATCTTGCCGGTTTTCGGGTGTACGCAGAAAGGCGATTTCAGCAGGTGATTTAAACCTTTGCTCACGTTGATGTCCAGCCTCGGATACGAATACTGCAGTTTCACCTCCTCCACCAGGTGACGGTATAAATACCACTTCCGCTCCCCCTGAAACACACAAGTTGAATTACCCCGACGTCCTTTTCCAATGATATAAACCAGAATAGAATTATGAAATTGGAAGAGGGTCTTCGAAAGCTATAAGCTTCGAAAGGGGTTTCGAAGCAACGATACTTCCAACACTGAACATCAAGGTTCAAAATCTTCGAAGTATTCGAAATTTCAATGTCGAAGCATTCGAAAAAAAAAAGAAAAAGAAAGAAAAACAACTCTAATACAAACACGGTGAGAACATATGAAAATCGTACCCCTGTTCGTTTCGACTCGACATATTGCACGAAAACGTTCCACCTTGCCTCACTGGTGCTCTCCTTACCGAACAACACCTTCATCTCCTGCTTGTCCTCGTCGTTGGGCAATATCGGGAGGAACCTTTCGATCGCCTCCTCCGTACCCAACATATTCTGTTCTTTGACGCACATCTCAATGAAGACAGGATCGATTATGTCGAGTGCGCGTCTGCAACATGTCACGTATATACAGAGTGTCGCATTTTAACTTACATACACCCAAATATCTTGAGAATGATGCGTCAATGGAAAAAATGTTTCAACCAAAAGCTGTATGATTCGGAGGGGAGCGCAAGGTGATGTCATTGGTTCGGCCTTTGATAATCTCTTGAAGATCACATGAAGGTCACCTTCAATTTCTTAAATAGAAGCTCCTACTTTTCATTGCATATTCTTGTAGCTTACCTCGAGAACTCTTCAAAACACTATAATAAATTAGTTTTGCATTGAGTGCTTTTCGAGTTATAAGGCTTGAACTTCGTAGTATTTCGCCGGCATTAACACTACCTAAGATAGGTGTAAAGATAATTCCACAGTTTGTCACTCCCGGAGTATTTCCTGACTCCAAACCTTCTCTGCTGCGTGTGATTTTTTCCATTGACGCACCGTTTTCAAAATATTCCCCGTATATGTAGACTCACTTGATAGAATGGTGGATCTTGTCGCCGGTGAGATACACCTTCTTTTTCATGAATTCACCTCCGCCTATAATCTGCAAGTATTCAGCGACTGCTGCGCGAACTTGCCCCGACAGATTGCGCGCTGCAGAGTCGCACACCCAGCAGTGAATCCCTCTTCTGCCGGAAAATACCCACAGGATGTGCACGTAGCCGAAATCCACTGTAAAAGCCAAAGATCGGTTGCTTGAAGATATCATCAAGAAATAAGACAGAGACGCTACTTTAATATCATCTCATCTTCTCACATCTCAAAGCACTGTCCAATATTTTGCAGGCGAGCGACATGAACTTCCAACATTTGCCGCAGATATCAGCCCCTTTGCAGCATGTCCTTACTTCGTCGTAATCAGTCATGTCAATGTCGAAGACCAATTCTCTTTCGACCGGCTGAAAATTGGCACCTCTCTTCTGATCTTTCGGTCTAGAATCAGATGCAACATTTTTGTACATTAATATGTGACAGTCCGAGGATATTTAAACAATAACAAATATTGTATCGTAGCTGCCATACTGGGCACTGTAAACCGCTCCTATATCTATTTTGTGCGGTAGCAGTCTTTTGATCTCATCCGACAGTCCCTTCTGATCGCTGAACGACTGGTAACGTATGTAGAGATCGTCCGAGAGCGTGAACGAAAATTCCCTCTTGCTGAAATAGCTCGCTGAGAGGGAGAAAAATATGAGAAATATAATATTAAGAGAAACATGACATTGTTACACGATATATTAAGTATCTAAACTAAAAGTTCCAAGCTCACCATTTCCATAGCTCAGCCACCTGTGATAGTCGGCGAATGGAAATAATCTCGAATAATAAACCGGCAACAGATCGAGTAAATCCGTGATATCACTCATCTCTCGTGTATATATTTCTATCAACGTGTAAAATTGCACACGCACAGAATTCAGAGCTTTCCGATTATTGATTGCCAGTTAGATTTGTCTGCAGGATAAATAACGTCGCGTTAATCTACTTTTACGAGCAAAACTCAAAATATCCCGGCTACCATCAAGCACCACTGCGTGAAAAATTATTGGCGCGGGAATTCTTTCTCAGTTATGTTTGGGGACGACCTTAAGGTTCGTCTTCATTGCCAAAAACTTGGCCGTCGGCGCGGGAATATTCAGTATCAGTCCACAATAGGAATTTTAAGCCTTCAGCTATAAGAAATTGACCAATCACAGTTAATTATTCTCCTCGTATTCGACCGTAATTAGTCAGTTTCTTGAGGCTTAAAATATTTATTATGGACTAACACAATGCTCGCAACGACGTGAAGTCCATATCAGATTATGAATTGGAGATTGCGATTGAATTGAAATTTGACCAATTAGTGTAAAGTTCACTAAATTTCACTAAACTTGAGTTCGGTTCATTTTGTACTGATTGGCCAAATTCGATTCGATCTCAAACCCCAATACGTAGTCTGATACGGGCTTAACTTGAACTACAGGTTGTAGAGTTGGGCGATACACTATCGATAGGGAAATATGGATTTCTCCCAGAAAAATATGAGTTTCCCCCGCAATTGTGGAGAAAAACCTTTATTTTTCTGGGGGGAAAACCCTATTTTCCTATGTATCGATATTGCATCGTTTAACTTTAATAGGTTGCGGTACTGCAAAAATTACTGGAACACTACCCGAATTAGAGTTGGGCGATACAAAATCGATATATAGGAAAATTAAGATTTCTCCCAGAAAAATAGTTTTCCCCCGCAATTTGTGAAAGAAAATTTTATTTTTCTGGGAGAAAACTGTATTTCTCTATATATCGATACTGTATCGCCTAACTCTAACCTGAATCGAGTCGAGTCTATGGACTGGGGATGTTCCGACTCATATCAATATTTTGAAATATTGATACATAAGACTCACTCGATACTCGATATTTTGCATCGATATTCTCAGTTTCGATATCGTAGCGTATCATAACCTGAGATATCAATTGAATTGATATACAAAAAAAAAAGAAAAATCCGAGGTACGATTTAGGTTGATGGCAGAGTGAAATATACGCGCTTATATAATTATGATGTGTGCGAGGCAAAAAAAAAATAATGTATTTCTAAAAGCGCATTAATCAGAACGCTGTATTCCTAATACTCGAGCAATTTAGTATGAAACAAGCACCGTGCGCCGCTGGTTTTAAGCTAGAGTTGGGCGATACAGTATCGATGCATAGGGAAATAGGGGTTTCTCCAAGAAAAATAGGGGTTCACCCGCAATTTGTGGGGAAAATCCTATTTCCCTATATATCGACACTGTATCGCCCAATTCCATTGTGAAAAAAAATCTTATTTTTCTGGAAGAAAATCCTATTTATCTATGTATCAATATTGTATTGGCCCAACTCTATGTTCCCCCGTAATTTGCGGGGAGAAACCTTATTTTTCTGAAGGAAAACCATATTTCCCTATGTATCCTATTTCCCTATGTAAAATAAGATTTATCTCTACAAATTGCAGGGGGAAAACCTTACTTTTTTGGGAGATATTCTTATTTCCTGTATCTGTCGTGTAGATGTTGCCACGGTTCTTTTTACGGCATGAGTCGGTCTATTTATTATTCTAACTTAATCTAACAGAAATAAAAGAATTAAACTCATGCAAGCACAAGCGAAATTGATATTTCGAATTTAAAACTTATATTCTTTAATAGTCTTTAAATTTAGTGAAAACTATATCATGTATCTACTACTCATCTTGTATACATATATATACATATATATATATATATTTTTTTTTTATTTTCGTAAAATTATAATGTTAAACAATTTTTGGACGTTTCTTAATAATTCCGTGTGATCCTCCACTTACAAATGGAAAGTTAATTTTTTATATCATCACAATTTATTATCCTTACGCAACGTATCACACAAAAAGTTTTATATCATTAAAGGATAGATATATTCTTAAATTAAAGGATAGATATATTCTTAAATTGAGTAGGGGATGTATAACTTTTTATGTGATATGTTGCATAAAGATAATAAATTATATAATATATTAAGAATTTCTCTCTCTCTCTTTCACACACACACACACACGCACACACACGCACGCACGCACGCACGCACACGCATGCACGCACCACACGCGCGCACGCACACACATTATAATATGTATATATTAAACATATAAAGCTATTTTTTTACGATCCGATTGTTGAGAAAAATTGTCATTTTCTTTATCAATATTTTTTGAGACACTTTATTTTTGTAAAAGAATATTCATGGCGGAAATAAAATGTATGTTGAATATATAGATCTTCTGTGCTACGTAACTATCATATTATTATTTTAAGACTAAAAATCTTTCGGTAATTCCGAATAGTTATTCGTACGTGCATTGTATATATGATATATTCCTATATATATATATATATATAATACACAAGTTTAATCACCGTAAATTATTCTCATTCGTCTTACGATATATTTTCATATTGCAATCATAACATAGTATATTGACATGTAACATAATAAATCTGTATTAATTGCATTTATCGAATCGGCATATATATATGCTATAACATACATACATACATACATACACATATTATATATATATATATATATATATAATTACATATATTTATATTTACTTATCTATATATTTATTGTTTTATTTACTGTGTCTCTTGTCCTCCTGTACCTTATATAAGACCTACTTCATAATTATTTACAAAAATTCTCTTATATCTGGTAACAGTTACAATCATAGATCTCTCGGTAAATATGGTTTCTTCGTATAAATAAGTAAAATCTTCGTCCAATCCATAAAAATTCGTGAAAAATATCTACGCAAAACCATACGTTTCGTATATGCATATGGTACGTGTATACATATATATGTTTTTATCTGTTTGTATGCATGAACCACACCTAAGCAAGCGACAAAGACATTCTCGGGCGAACTTTCCTGCGGCCACAATCTCTCCACGATCTAACATGGAATCGATCCATTATGCTACGAAATAATAAGAAAATATGGACCAACACCGATTGCCGTTTCGGTCAATAACAACAATCGGGAAATGCGTTATCTCGAGAATTCGAAAAGTGTGTGTGCTTTGAAGAATCGAATCGTGTCAGCGCGAATTGCTTCGCACTCGGTCGTTTTCACCCGATAAATTCCCGAGCCACCGTTATTTCTCGTGCGGCACCTTGACGAGGACCGTTCTGGTGCCCTCGACATCCGAGATGTTGATCTTCAGCTCGTTGGCGAGAGCCTCGAGCTTGTCGACCACCCGGGCGGTCTTCTGCCCTCCCGGATTCGGCGGCGGCCATATGTCGTCCAACGGTGGCTCGATATATTGCCTAGTCGCCTTCGAGCCGACGTCCGATTTTGTGCCAAGCGTGCCCCCCACGTGGTTCACGGAGGAGGAGATGTATTTGGACGTTGTCGCGTCGCTCTCGAGACGGGCGCGCTTGCAGAGCGGCATCTGTATCACCGGGCCGTAATCGTGATCCAGAAGTCCCTCGACCTCCTGCATCAGCTCCTCGTCGCACTGCTGAAGCTCCTCGGCGTCCATCAGCTGCTGCTTCGTGTACAGCAAGGTCCTCGAGCGACCTGGAACGAGAACGATCGTGGGATGTAGGCAGTGTTTGCTGGTATTTAGACAATATCATCTAAATAATCATTCAGATGAATAAACAGATCATCTTTATCTTTATCTAAATGGAAGAAATGCAAAATATATTCGTTATGTTAAAGAAGAAGAAAAAAAAAACATGTTATTCCATCTAAAAATTATTAAATGATGTTATCGTCCATATTTTGAACGCATTTTTTTATCAAATAAATGAAATAATATAGACCTACGTTTCGTCTTTTTAGTTGCCATTTGTAAAAATGTTTAGAAGATCCGCATGGAAATTATAATATCCACAAATTCTCTTACTTAATTTACATTTAATAATTAATTCGTTGCTACTAATTATGTTTAATCGGACACGAAAATATCTGTATCTTGGAGGAGAAAGGTTCCTTTCTTCAGTTGCCGTTCGTAAAAATTTCTTGATCCTTGTATAGAAATTTCAACATCTGAAACTTTTCTAATTTATATTCAAAACTAATCCGATCGCTATTAATTACACTTAATTAAATCGGACAATCGGAAATATCTTTGTATCTTGGAAGAGAAAAACTCAGAGCTGCTGTTCGTTAAAAATTCCTCGAAAATCTGTACAGAAATTTCAACATTCAGGAAGTTTCTTAATTTACGCTCATTTAAATCGGACAAATGTGGAAATATCTGCATCCTGTAGGAAAAAAAGCTCGTCTCTTCGGTTATCGTTTGTACACATTATTTTGGAAGATCTATGTAAGAAGAAATTTTAACATCTGAAAATTCCCCGAGTGTCCCCAAAATTCTCCAAGCGTAAATTCCGCTCTTCCCTCGAGAGCCGATCCTCGGTCTCAGAATTCCTACCCGCATCGATGAATTGCGGCAGAAAAATTGTCCGGAATAATAAGCAGCGCGAAAGAAGAATCTCGAGGTGCTCTCCTGTCCTCTTTTAGAAAGTGGTAAGACAGCTTCTCAACGATCCCGTACACGTGATCCCGGTTTCACCGTTCTCACATCTCCATAGATTTTTGTTTATCTGATCGGTCAAATCGGTGACGGATAAAATTACCTCTTCCTTCGATATCTCTTTCTCGATTTTTTCGCTCACTTCTACGCCTCTTAAATATTAATATTTACGAGCTGTTTGAATGTAAGAATAACAGGGCAAGTTTTCGTGAATTTCACAGAACGAATGATACGTATAGATCTCTCCCTCCTTCCCTCTCTTCCTCTTTTCCTCCCTTTGTAAGATAAAATTCTCCACTCCTTGCGATACGCAGTCTCGACGAAATTCGAGAACACACCTGTTTATAGAATGTAATTCGCTGTGCATGCGCGACTCGTCATGCCGACAAAATAAAAAGTTGCCCGATGAGAAGTCGAAATGTGCAAATATCACATTTCGTTCGAATTTTAAACATTCTCGAGGAGATAATGCATGATCGTTGCAAAGCGAAGAAGAATTGGGATAAAAGAGCGACGTGGGACTATCGCGATCGTTAATCTCGCATTTGTAACGCGCTTAACGTTATATAATATCTCGCAAATATTCTTATCTACTTTATTACTACCTACTGTGATACCGTTGTTGTTGATATTCTGTCTGCGCATCTCGTAAGCTGTGTAAATAACGGCGATAACGCGAAGAATAACATGAATCGGAGCACTGTCGCGAACTTGCGAACGTTATTCGCCGAAAGATATTTACAAACGTATTTGCTGTCGTCGATACCGTCGTCAAAATCATTTGCATCGAATTTTGCGCCTCGATATCATCATTTATACGCACACGTGTGTACGTTTCTGATGCATATCTGATGCGCGCTTATTTTGAACTTATCATCACTTGTCGAAGGTTCGACACTCGTCGATGGCATTGCGAGTGCTGTACGTACACGTTAAGCGGAGCCTCTACAGTAAGAATTTAAGGCATAAGATTTTAGAAACTGACCTATCACAATTGATTTTTTTTTTCTATACTTCGACTTTTCTATATTACAATTCGACTGTAATTGGTCAATTCTTTAGAGGTTTAGAGCTTAAAACATCTATTGCAGACTGGGACTTATCTTAATTCATAATTACTTTTTTTTTTACACAATATACCGCCCAAGCGAGTAAAAATAAGTCGTGCGACGATACGAGAGGGCAAACGAAAGCCTAAAAAAAAAAGTAAGGAAAGAAGAGAAAGAAGGAACGGTCGAGAAATTGTGCCTTTCACAATCGGGGTTCAATGTCCCAGGTTCGGTCAAAACAATGCCACTATAATTATTAATCAGGGACCCGGACCGAATGAAAATATCGGTTCCGGTTCACTGAAATATTTAATGAAAGTTACGATTTCGATTTTCTCTTCTGGACAATGAAAGCACCGGTGAACCGTTTGAATTACGGTTTTCTTCGGTCCCAGTTCTTTAAACTTGTTTCTTTACTAAAATTTTTATTGGCTTAAGTTATATATATATATATATATATTATAAAAAATAACAATATCTCTTCCTCGATGTAGATGGCATTTCTCCACTATTTCCACCTTCTTCTCTTAACTTTTTTGGATATATAATATTATCCTCGTTATTTGCAATCTCTTTCTAACGTAATTTATGTAGATCATGTAGATTCTACGTAAATTATGTAGATTCTGTGAATATTCGGAGAATATCTCGAACTTTCTCAGAATATACATGTTCTGTTAGAGTAATTTGTACAATTCGGAATCGTCTTTCTATTTACCCCAAAATTGTAATATATTATTTCTTCTATTAATCTTTTTTTATTCAATATCGTATGTTTGAAGTTTATTTTCTATTTGTCGCGATAACCAATTAATGTCCTGTTTTTTCGTGAGAACTAGAATTTTATTATGAAATGAAAAAAAAAGGGTTATTTAAAATCACAGAATAAGAACCGAAATAGTGGACTAAAACAAACGGCAGGCCGAAAGAAATGTAACGGTTCCGATTTCGGTTCCGATTCTGTACGCTTTATAAAATTTCGGCATGGTTTACGATTCCTGTTCGACAAAAATACCGGTTTCCATACCCGGTTTTCGGTTTCGGTTCCGGTCCGGGTCCCTGCTATTAATATAACGGTCCGCAAAGTTCGATCAGTTAGATATCTATTGCACGATAATGAAATATGAAGAAGAGTAGGAAAGAAGAGAAGTAGAGTGAAAAGAAGACAAGTAGAGCGAAGAAATATATTCAAGCAGGACATTTCCATAAGAATGTGTTACTTCGGTAAAAAGTAAGCGGCAAGTATTAGCAAGAATGAATATATATTGTCCAGAAAGGTGAAAATCTCGAAATTAGCAACCGAGGTGATTTCCCGAAAAGTTGAAACATCGAAATTTGAAATATCGAAACAGCATCCCGAAATATGCAATTGTTCCGAGGAGAAATTATTACACCGAAGACAATATATATATGTGGTTAGTTATGAAAAGGTAACAATTTTTTTTCAATGAGTTCCGCAACGCATCTCATATCCAATAGAAAAATATATCTTCCGAGAATTACCAGAAAAAAAAAAAAAAAATTCTATTGGACACGGGGTGCGTTCCAAAACTTATAAAGAAAAAATTGTAATCTTTTTATAACTGGTGTATTAATATTCACTTATTTCGGTACATCTTTGCATATATTTAAAGTTCCTGTTTCCTCGCAGTAATCATCTTAATTAATGACGTCAGAAATATAAAAATGTGTCCTGAGTTTTTGCGAAATATGTTAAAATAAAAAAGATAAATCCATAAAATGATACTTGCGACCAATTAATCACATGTGTAAAATATCCCGAGCGTTTTTCCTTTACTTTAATAGTCGATAAAAATAGCCATAAAATTAATGTGACGAAATTACGAGAAAAGATAAGCTGAAAAGGAAGATTGTTAATTATGTTAATCTTACAGTTTGTTATCGACTGCTGGAGCAAAAGGAAAGTTCTTGGAATGTTTTACAAATACGCTCACGACCGATCAAATGTCATTCTATGAACTTATCTTTATTTCAATGTATTTACGTTTTCTTGCTTCCGACATCGACAAATAAGACTGTAGTTTTGAAGGATCGAAAAAAAACCGGCTACTTTTCCTATTTTTCTATACATTCTTTTTACTTCCGCCAGATAGAAAGAGTAAGAAAAATCGTTTAAAAAGATTTACGTATGTTCGGTTAAAACCCGCCACATTAATTTTTTTCTCCGTAAAAAAGATAAGAAACCGAAAAAACCCATTAAAAAAATGGAAGAGAAAATCCGGTGGTTTTTTCTGAATCCTCAAAACTGAACAAAACGACCGCAGCGAGTAACCAACAGCCTTAAATGAATAGATACTAACGTATTGTACGAGATAAATTCAATTTCGATAAAATTATCTTATAAGATATTACTTCAGCACGGGTTTCGGTGATTATGACTTTGCAGGAGGTAGCCCTACACTTTTTTTTTTTATTTCAGCACATTTTTTTCCCAGGACGATGCACGTCCACTTCAGCAAAAAGCGAGTATTCGCTATAGCGAAGAGATAAGAAAACGTTCGAGAAACGAGCAATTATTCGATCGTTAGAAGGCAGATATGTCTCGTCAATTGTCCCGCCGAAAGCAATTCTCAATGCCTCTATAGTTTGCGTGATACGTTCTGAAAATGACGAGAGATAACAGAAACACAGTTTAATTACATAAAGTTGCGACAGTAGCTGTCAACTTCATTGATGCCAGTGGTCATCGATCAACGTGACTGTCAGCCATGTTGTAGATTGTACGGGCACTGAATTTGAAGCGCATCAAGAGACGCAAAGTATGCAAATTTCGCGTAAAGTAGTTGTAAAATTCAAAGAATCCCACATACGATTGTATAGAAATTCTTAAGGGCTATAAATATGAATATCAACGTGTACGTGTGATAACTTCTTACATAACCTTAACGTACCTTCCGCTATCCTTCGGAGATCGAAAGAAAGTTATTTCATTGTCTCCTCGTCCACAAATGCATTCAGCAAACACGTACGCGAGATACCACCTCTCGCGTTCATTTCATATTACGATTATAGTAATATAAATATAACTAAATAATTAATATAAATATAAATATTTTCAAATGTGTTATACACTCAGCTGTCTCGCCGCTGTATCGCTATGACAGTCCGCCATATTCTCGGTTATACCAGGTCAACGCATGCGCGGAAGAAAATCGAACCCCCGAATTTCCTAACACCGTGGCAACTGTATGCAGTTAAGCTGTGTATAAAAATACATGTGGTAACATGTAGAACTCACCGGCCAGTGGGATTTTCTCGGGTTGCTCTTGCTCCTGCGTGAGGTCGTTGCTGTTGTTGTTAGAGTGCGGCCGCAGACTCGGCATCACGACGAGAGCGAGCGAGAGTAGCAGGACCATCAGGCAGGTGGCCGGCTGGGCGCTCTTGTTGCCTTTCTGTATAAGCGCCTGCAGCCTCTTGAGTTGACCAGCCAGGCTCTGGTTCTGCGACTGCAGGGCTTTGATGCGCTTCAGCAACGTCATGTTCTCCTCCGTGCACTGTTTCACGCGATCCTCCAGCCCGTCCACGTACTCCTTTTTCCTCTTACGTGAGTCCTGCGCGGATATCTTGTTGCGTATCTTGCGCCTGATCCTCTTCAGCTCGCGCTCCTCGTGCTTCGTTAGAGGATAATGGCTCGGCAGGGTGATGCCCTCCTTCTGCAGCAGCCGCTTCTCCTCGGCGTTCAGCTTCAGCCGCGGATAAGGCGAGTCCGTCTCCGATGCCTCTTCGCTGGAGTTGCAGCCTTTGTCACTGTTGGAATCCTCCTGTTTGATAGTCATCTGATTGATGACCGAGGAGAGAAACAGAGAGAGGGGGTTATGCGAAAATATAGAATCAATGATTAGACACGCTCGAACCGCTTGAAGTTAAGAGGGAGTGCGCTATATGTACATTACACATATACATACACAGATAAAAAAAAATATATATTTTTTTAACATCTGAAAATTCCCCGAGTGTCTCCAAAATTGTCCAAGCATAAATTCCGCTCTTCCTTTTATATAAATAAATAAATAAACACACACATACACACATATAGCGCCGCTTCAAAAGTTTCGCCTCATATGGACACAGCCCTGTGAAATCAACATTGCATTGTTTCTCGTAAACAAATTCATCACCCATTCATTCAAATCTCTTCAGAGTTTTTACACTCTACGAGCTATCGAACGAGCTACGACTCATTCGGAAATTGATTTCGCAGTTTGCGGCATCTCCTAGTTAATTGATTTCGAAAAAGAGCTTTACGGAAGGTAATATTAAATTCAAAGTAACGACAATTAGTATCGGTTTCTGTTAGGCAAATTTCTCTCACATCCCGAAGATACTCAAAGTGGCAATAGTAATTGCCTCACTCTGTGCATAATATCAATAATGTATGACTACAAAGTGTGGCGTGTAAAGACACGATCGTTAGATACAACAAACGCATTGTTGTTTAACGATTACGTAAGGCAACGACTGGACACGACTGTAATTAACGAACTCGAATTATGCGTCTATGAATTCGTTGCAGGAATTCTCTCTCTCGGGCGTATTATTATTATTATTATTATTATTATTATTATTATTATTATTACGTTGCACGCAGATCGCTCACCTGAACGGGTTTATTAATAATGTTCGCCTGATTGATTTTAAAGCCCTTCAAGTTTCTTGCTTGCGTAGCGTTGATAATTTTAATGGCCCGGACTTCCTTTACGTCTTTGATGCTTACTGGTAACAAGATGGACCGCGGATTACCAGAACCCATCGGGGTGACGCGTATCAATTGTCGAATATTCCGTTTGCCGTTGCACGTCAAGTTGCGGACGTTTATCGCGTTCTCCGGCTGCGCGACGCGCGTCTGTTGCTTAGGCGTCGAATCTGCAAAACGTAAAGTAATATATCTTCTTTCTTGACACATGTCGTCACGTGAATTCTCTCGCGAATCAAGTGGAAATTGAGAATGTAAAATTAAATAAAACGAATTGAAATGAATTGAAAGACTTATACTTTTCAGCCAGTCGCTATAAATTTTATATATTTTCATTCTTCGCAACTATGATTTTTAAATTGCTCGGAAATACGCTTTTTGATTGTCATTCGAACTACACGGGGTATCGCAACATGAGAAGAACGCCTAAAAATGTATTGGGGACCTAAATGTGGGAACCTTGAAAACAATCGAAAAAAATGCCCATAAAAAATTTTTCTTCCACGGTATTCCTGCTTCGAAACCGCTAAAAATTTTACTCTAAACACATTTCTCATTATTATTAAAAACAGGGGAGATATATACTATATATTATTACTACTATATACTATTAATTAGTTTATTAGTACTATTAATATAGTATAAATTACTATTAATTATTATAAATTAAACTATACTATAAAATATAAATTTCCTATGGCTATATTTTCAAAATCAAATAATCAATAATTTGGACATTTTTGTACGATGTCTTTGTATTATAATTCTCAATATCACAGTAATTTTCGATTAAAATTCTAAATGTGATTCAAGAGCAATTACGAATAGAACCTAACCTTAAGGAAGAACACATATGAGAAAAAAGTGTCAGCTTTAGTTGCGAATATCTCAGCGCCCGAACGTCGTCAATCGTTTTCGAACTTTACTATGCGTAGATAGTGGATTTTCGCCAAAAAATGCGGTTAAAATTTAAAAGAGAATTCCTAAGAAAATGGATTTACGAACCATCTTAACCTGAATTGTCCCGCAAAAAGGCAGCATAAGCGAGCGTTCTTACCGATCTCGACGATCGGCTGTTCCGTGACGATCGTCGTGTTCGCGCTCGGCATGGTGTTGTTCGGTGTAACAACAGCGACCAGGGTTTGTCCATATTCCATATCGTCGGCCACGTCGGTGGCCGGTGAGCCGATATTGGAGCTCATGACGGATCGCACAGGACTGTCCACAGGACTGCCGAGGGACTGAATCGGACTGACCGCCGGTTCGAAGTCCATGAGTTCTTCCTGTGGGCTGTTCAGGTTCGAGTTGATGATCTCGATCTGCTCGTCGTCATTGCCGATCGACAAGAGCGGACTCAGCTGTTGCTCGTACGAGAGACTTTGTGCGCTGGAGAGGCCGCTGTCCGACAAGGAGAACGGACTGGTGTCTTCCAGGTCCTTCTCGATCAGGAAATCCGGATGCTCCTCCTGCAGCTTCATGATCGTCGCAAAGAGGTCGTCCGAATTCGTCGCGAACTCCTCGGTCTGTAATATATGTTACATACGGTCAAAAAATGCGTTACTGCACTTCGTGCACACTGAAAGAAGGACTTGATAATGTATATAATATTTAATTTAGTAACTGTTACTGAATAATTCGGGTGAAATATTGCAAACATTCGGCAACAGTTGCGAGATAATTTGATTGGATGAAGTAAATATATGGTTTTAAGAATTAAGATTCAGTCGCTTGATAGCAGAAAATGAAATATATTCGGTAACTATTACTAAACATATAGTCCGTGAGGAAAATTATTTTAAGTAATTCTCATCATTTTACTCAAAAAAATTCCATCGTTCTACGTAAATGATCTTAAGATAACTTAACATTCCCAACTTCATTTTGATGTACTTTTTTCACTTCATGTATGAAGAAATCTTTCCTAGATTCGACCTCACAATGGTCACTCATTCATCTAACTACTGACCGCCATCCGTTTACTTTACTTTAATGATCAGATAAAAACCGACAAGCTCTCGTCATATCTTATATCTTGTGTTTATAATGTATCTTTGCATGAGGAAAGAGAAAGAGAGTAAAGAGTGAGTGAGTGAGTGAGTGAGTGAGTGTGTGAGTGAGTGAGTGAGTGAGTAAGTGAGAGAGAGTGAGAGAGAGAGAGAGAGAGGAGCCATAAATATTTAGTAATGGTTACCAGATATTTTATAAGAATGAAAGTGAATGATTTTGTAATATTTACGAAATATTTAATAATAATTGTCAAACATTTAATAACAGATGTTAAATATTTGGTAGCAATTACTATTTTATTTAGTTGATTCAACTCGTAATAAAAGTAATAAAAAGTCGTTCATACCACAGGCAAACTAAATATTTGGCAATTAATATCAAATTTTATAACAATTACGAAATATTCTGTCGAAATCTCTAATTAAGTGCATTTAGTATTACCAGTCTTTTTTTTTTCAGTGCACGTTACGCATTAACACTTTCACGTGGCTTCTTACATCTACACGAGAAAAAATGTGTCAATGGAATTGGTCGACATTATTATTCACTCTAAAGGAAACATTCAGAAACACAATGCCGTTTGCCGTTTCCGGAAATGTTAATTGGATCACCCGCGATCACTGCAAAATCAGAGGTCCGCTCGGCATATCGCGAAATGAATTCGCTGCGGCATTATTTGTTAATATTTTTAATTCTGTGAGCATATTTTTATAATTAATACATAGTACAAATAGTTTACAAAAAAGATTTTCTATTTGATTAATTCCTGTACAACAATAATAAACTTGAATTTTACCGACTTTTCGTGCGTTTAAACGTGTCTACCCTCCCCCCCCCCTTAATATAATGACATTTTTTCCCTAATGTATTCATTTTTGGGTTATTGGTTTATAAAGAAATATTTTTCGACAACAATGGTTTATAATTGTTGTCGATTTACAATTATAATAATATAGAAGTTACATGTAAAACTAGAGTGTATTATTTATACAGGGTGTCCCAAACTAATCTCGGTTCCATTTGGCCATTTTCAATCATTGATAACTCGGAATTTCGAGTGTTATTTGCCAAATGGTACAAGACTTTTCAGCTCAGTTTCACCCGTTCTACCATACCACGGGAACCGAGATTAATTCGGGATACCCTCTCTATGTGCAAAGATGTCTGCCTCTTTAGATACCGTTTAAACGAGTTTTCGAGATCCGTCGACACGGTCAACCGAAAATTCCTCCGAAATAAGTGCGGCCTTCGCAATGCTAAGGTAAATATATCGAAATGCAAGCAAAGGAAAAGAACATGCAGAGTTGAGAACAATCAGAGACCGAGAATGTATGACAAGAAGTTCAATAAATACATAATCTAGTAGTGTGGCGCATAAATTCTGTTTAATTAGTAGATAACCCGCGTTATCGCTAAACTCCAGCAGAAAAACGAAGTGAAATAAGATACCGGCCTTATTGGGAATGGAATAAATTGGGTGAAAAAATTTCTTCATCGAACTTCGGCGCGATAACTTCTCACCCGTATTAATGCGTGTCTCCTCTTAGCGCAACGCATGAGTGACTTTGCCATCGATTACAACTTTTTCGTACATATGTATAAATGCGTTCCGAATTGTAATCGTGCGATGGAAAAAAAAGACAGTACAATTGTGAGATTTAAATTCGTGCCGGTACGCACGAGTGTAAAGTTTAAGGCTGATCACACGGAGTTCCGTAACCTAACGGTATTCCACATTCGAAGGTCATTCGCCGTGCGATTGAAAAAAACATACACCGGCGATACCAGTTCGTTCCGAAGAAGCACGAAGTAGTGAGTTAGGAAATATATTCGATTTCTACCGTAACATTAATAGAAACAGGATTGATTAGATGACGATTAAAGAGGGAAAGCCCGCTTATTTCTCTTAATATTATTCTAAAATTAAATATACATTATAAATCATCACAAAATTTATAAACAACAAACACACACACACACACGCACACATATATATATATATATATAATTATTATGAGCTATAAATATTATGAATTATTAATTAAAACGTATAACTATTGTTAAATAATTATATTTATTAACTCATTATTTATTTATTATTAATATAAACGTAAGATGTATCTACCTTCTCAATGTTATTTTAATATATTGAATAAGGCTGGATAAGTAAAATAATAGGGTATTTTAACATTAACAGGGAAGAATCGACTAAAAAAACGTTGGTTATTGGAGAAAAAAGATCGATTTTCTGAAAATCGAATCGGGACGCCCATCACTAATATATATATAGTTTATACACGAAGAAAAATAATTTTGTCATTGTGGCGAAACCATAATTGCCATTGCATAGTCGTGCAGCAACAATCAAATCTGATTGACCCAATCAAATTAGCGAATTATTCGTAATCAAAGCAGAAATAATTTTGTTGCCAAGATAGAAAAAAATTCTGCTAAGTGAATTTATAGGTCACATATATTAATTGCGGTTAGGACACATATTAATTGCGATTAATTTGCCGTTAGAATAAAATGATATTTTCCCCTACATTTACTAATTCTTTCTTGTATAGCAAAATAATTTATAGATATAAAATAATTTACAGATTCAGTAAAATAATCCAGCTAGTGGCAATTAATATTCCTAACAGATTGCTTTGCTGTCCTTATGTAATAACCGACAGACATTGCGACGTTGCATAAAATTTGCTTCGTCAGCAAATTATTTCTTTTTCCGTGTATGCATTTCGCGACGCACAAGACACAGTATGCGCGTGCATTTGTCACGTTCACGGAGCCGCGTATATTTTCCCTCATTTCTGTGGTTCCTCGAGTTTGCGCACGTTATGTTCGTAAAATACAACGTAAGAGAGATTCGCTGAACGAGCTTCGGGAGGTTTCCATTTTAGTTAGAAAGAGGTGCGTCACACACGACGTCGTGCAACAATCGAGTCGCGGCGGCGGTTTGTGCGCGCGATGAAGACCACAGCGCGACCACGTGGTGATAAGCGCGCGCGCGCGCCATATGTTAACTTCGGGGAATGCGAACACGTCTTGTCCAGCGCCGTTCTCTTTCGCATGCCGCCGGACGGGAAAATTGCTCGCGCACTTTGTTACGAGCACAAGATTTCAGACTCAACCGCCTCAGAGAGAATCTCTCTAACCCGTTGTTTATCCGTCAACGCTGATCATCTGTTGTTTACGACTCGTTGCCAAGAGAATCAGTTGTACGTTCAGGGCGCTAAAAGCGCGGGCATCAAGACGCGGGCGTAACAATATAATAATAACTTTATTGACTGACAAAGTTCAATAATTGAAGATATAGTATATTATTACGCAGATGACAAATTAAAAGCCGAGGTATCATTAAAGCTGTTTTTATTGTCTTATCTAAATATTTATTGTCTAAATATTGGGTTGACCAATGAGTCTTTTCATATTTTTAAAAGGTAGCGTTTATTTCATATTTAACGTGAGTATACGGTGAGTGACTTGGTGTCAATTTCACGTGTGTATATACAGGGTGTCCCGTAAGTCGAAGTCAATAAAAGTTACGGGTTGCTTTAGCACTACCCAGGATGCACCACGTGGAGATACAGTCCTTAGCATCCATATCTGCCAAGGGGGTGTTTATTACAGTTGAATGTAAAGAAAATAATCGACTGTGAATGGTCAATTTCTTAAGGCTCAGAGCTTAAATTTTCATTGTAAATCCTGTTTTATAAGGAATATTTTAAATCGCTGAAGAACGTCAATTTCAACAATTACTGTAGTCTTTACGTTTTCTTCCTTATTTTCCAATTTTATAATAATTTGAACGACATCAAGAGACGTAATGTTTCGCGTAAAATAATTGGAAATTTCAGAGAAATCTTACATATGATTATATAGAAGCTCTTAAGGCCTAATAAATATTAATATCACTGTGCACATGTGATAACTTTTTACGTGTGATAACTTAACATATCTTCTACTATCATTCGGGAATCGAAAAAAACTTATTTCGTTTTCTCTTTGTCCACAAATATTTTTGCATGTAGCAAACACGCGAGATACCACCTCTTGCATTAATTTAAATTACGTTCGTAATATAAATATTTTTAAATGTGTTATACACTCAGCTGTGCCGTCTCACTCGCCGGTATTGCTATGACAATCCGCCATATTTGTGGTTGTACAGCCAACACATGCGCAGAAAAAAATCGCACCCCCAATTTCCTAGCACTGGCGCAACTGTATGTAGTTAAACTGTAGTTTAGATCCCAAACTTTATATAAAGGCCTTTACTAATTTCCTCAACATCTATTTTAATATAAAATAGATCCGTTTTAGCAAGGTGAAAGACCAAAAGCGTCGATAACCAGAGAAGCTCGAACTTCTCCTGAAAAATCTCACGCCCCTCTTTAAAATTTGTACAAATATTTTTTTTATAATTTGTTTTGTTAATTACTACGAAAAATACGGTTTTGGTAGAACAGTATTTCCAAACCTTTATCTTCGTGAACTTTAAACACTTGTAAATGAACAACCGTTTCGAATTGGATCCATGTTTATAAGACATGTTTCTACTTCAATTTATATCCGAAACGTGCTCCTTAAGTTTGCCGAGTACGTCATGTGATACTCTGTATTATAAGATAAATTATATCCAGTATAATAAGATAAATAATCACATCTGTATCCCTCAGAAAAACGTATCTGAATTCGATATATGTATGATCGATATATATATGTTGTGAAAACACTTTTTGTTAATAGAAACATTCTAGTGAACGGACGCCATTTTTTTTTTAATCAAAAAGTCGGAGAAGTCCGGACTTTAACCTAAGGGATTCTAAAGCCCGTATCAGACTGCGGACTAGAATTGAGATTAGATTAAAAATTGGCCAATCAGAGCAAAGTTCACTAAAATTGAGTTCATTGAATTAAAATTGGTCAAATTTCAAACCAACCTCAATCTTAATCTGTAGTTTGATACATGCTTAAGAATCCTTCCCTATCTTGTAAGGTCAGAAAAATCGCTTCTGTTTTTCTTTGCATAATTTTGAAGCCTCAAGTATGTAGATTGTTGTGTTCAAGTTATAAAGTCGAATTTGGAAAATTAGTGGAGTTACAAGCAATTAATGATACCGCTGCACATGCAAATAGCGCTATTTCATTCTATTATTCTCTCTTCCGGGAAATCAGTGCATTATCACTGAAAAACAGCGCATTTTCACTGATTGCATTACAAGTGCATCACTGAATGAGAGGGTATATTTTACGGCCCTGGAATAGACGATTAATGTAAGTTGCCAAACATTCCCGTAAATGATAAAATATTAGATTTAAAACTTTAAATGCATGTTTCTCGGAATCACATTTCTCGTCACTACGGAAGTGATCAAAGAAAAACTATCGGAGATATCGCTTTCTAATTTTGCCAACTTGTAAAGTACATATTTCTTCATAGAGTGAACTAGAATTAAGCCGATATCAACAGTTGTTTCTTTTTTACTGAAAAAATAGTTTGAAAATTTTGAGCCAAAACTTAATATTTTTTCCTAGTCGGCAATCATTTTATCAATTTTTTTTTTAATAATAAATTTTTCTGATTATAGTTCGCTTTGTGCACAAAAGTTGTGGACAACAATTTTAAACATGAAAACATTAATTTCGTTGGTTTCAGACTGTCGTAAAAAGGGACTTCCGCAATAAAGTCATGTCATCGTGTACGAGCAAATTAAACAACATGAATTTCTTACTTGATATAATTAATTTCATATGACAAAAATTTGAAACGTCAAAGATTGCAGAAATATGATGATACAATAAAAATGGTCTATTTATCTTTTTATACTCTGCCAGAATGAAAATCACAAAAATGCCCTTTTTCCCAGGTCACAAAGTAAGAAGGGACCCTTACAGTTTACACGGAGAGATCACGTATTGCCGTCTTTGGGGATGTACCGACCGTCGCGCCTCTCGTGTCGGTTCGTTGCTTCCTGCACGATGGCGAAGCATCGCGACGCACCGCGTGCATGCGTGCGTGTACCATATGTTAACGCGGACACGAGCACGTTGTTGCGCGAGATCGCATCAAGATTTATCAATGAGAGACCCACGTGTGATCCGCAACTACGAGACGACAAAGATAGAGAGAGAGAGAGACAGTGGTCGCATTTGCCGGAGTCGTCAAATCGGCGATAAGGCCGATGTGCAATAGATGTAGTCAGCTTTAAGCGTAAGAAATTGACCAATCGCAACCGATTATTCTTCTATAATTCGATTATGTTTAGTCAATTTTTTTACTCTTAAGGTTTACTTAGGTACTCTTAAGTTTTATTTTTACGCTTACTACATCTATCGTAGACTCGGCTTAAGCTCAGTCTGCGTCTCTCATCACATCAGTGGTGAGTAGGAATATTTTCGTAAGAAGAATAAGAAATTGACCAATCGTATTCGAATATGAAGAAAATAACTGACTATGATTGGTTAATTTCTTATTCTTGCTTTTTATAAACATACTCCTATTGCTCACTGCAGGTTACGCTTTAAAGCGGGATCTACAATGAGAATTTAAGGTGTAAGATTTAAGAAATTGACCAGTCATAATTGGTTTTTCTTCTATAATTCGATTGTGACTGGTCAATTTCTTAAGGCTTAGAGCTTAAAGCATCTATTGTAAAACGGGACTGAGTTAACCGCTGTCTTGTCGATTCCGGGCAAGTTTCGCAACGCGAGTTAACGCGAGAGAGCTAATTGTGCTTTCCATTTGGTGCCACAAGTCGGCACAAACATCATTTTGTCTTTGTTCCGCATTATTCAGTGAATAACAATGATAGGCTAATGCTTGTGACATCGACTTGTGTCACCGAATGGAAAGTCCCAAATGCACGTTGCGTTAATCGAGAGCACGACTATCTCTATCTATCTGCTATCCATCTCGTATCTCTCTCTCTCTCTCTCTTATTCATTTCTTTTGTCTCTCAGATGAATTGCTCGCCCACTAATCATCGATTCGGGTTCCCGTTAGTCGCGCGAATATATATGTATCGATCGCGGATGCGTTCCTCTTGAACGCCGTCTCTCGATTTCCCTGACGACGACGGATTCTACAAACCCGCTTCTAACGAGAACGAAAAGAACAAAACCGATGATTCATGCATTCTAATAGTTTTAATCACTCGTTATGTAAAAAGTTCTAGTTTTTACTCGGTATATTATCAGTCATGTTTATTATATAATTGCGGTAATTCTTAACGTGGCTTCGCTTTAGCGTTTGTATGTATGTATGCATATCTGTGTGGGTATATCGAAAATTGCGTTGTTATATTTTTAAGTGGTCCCCTTTCTCCCTGCCTCGGCATATCGTCATATTGTAACGGCACGAGAGGTGAGTCAAGATCTGACGAAACGTCGCCAAGTTCTTGCCGATACGGGTGGTGGATTCAGTGGTTCTTCCTTGATCCTTCGTGAGCGCCGCACGATCGTCCAAATCTAATCGACAATAAGTCGAGAGAATTCGGCTTGAATAATTGCCATTAGTCCCGACCTACAATAGGTATTTTAAGCCTTGAGAAATTGACCGATCACACGTAATTACTCTCTTCACACTCAATTGTGATTGGCCAATTTCTTAAGGCTCAAAGCTTAAAGCATCTATTGTAGATCGGGACTTAGTCCTAGTCTACAACAGATGCTTTAAGCTTTAAACCTTAAGAAATTGACCAATCACATTTGAATTATAGAAAAATAATCGATTGTGATTGGTCAATTTCTTAAGACTCAGAGCTTAAATTCTCATTGTAGACCCCGCTTTACAGAGCAACGTGCGACGGTCAGATCGAATCGAATCACAAAGCGATCGTGCAACGCCGTTTACGGTGCGAGTTGAGGCAAAACTTCTGTCACAAATAACGGATTCTTCTGTCATTACTCGACCATACTCGGAATACTCGATCGTTCAACACGGCAACGTTCAAGCGAAACGAACGAATCGGCTTCCTTCGCGCTCACTCCTCGCCAGCTTGGAAATAACAGATGTGTCACACAAAACCGAGCGTCTTGTATCTTGCTCTCTGACAATCTTCGGATGTGTAATAACGTGATCAATTATCATTATGTAAACGTCTATTTCACGTTCCTCATCGAGCCCGCGCACTCTTCGATCGAGATAGAACCGAGATAAGTCCTACTCTACAATAGACGCTTCAAGTCCTAAGCCTTAAGAATATTTACCAATCACAGTCGAATTATAGAAGAAGAATCAATTGTAATTGGTCAATATCTTAAGGCTTAAAACACTATTGCAGACCTAACACGCACAAACGGAAGAAGCGCACATTTTTTTCCTCGAAGGAACTCTGCCAATAACGCGAATAAGATCTCTCTTTCCTCGGATAATCGAGAAGCAACGATACTCAGCGAAAGCGCGCGCGCGAGCGAGCGAGCGAGCGAGAGAGAGAGAGAGAGAGAGAGAGAGGCTCCGTCGAGTCTCACTTATGACGATATTAAAAGCACACGCACACGGACGGTAGTAGATTACGGGAAACGAGGTCTATCCGGGAGACTTACCGCGGTGACGTCGTCGTCGTCGTCGCCGCAAATATGGTCGACGAACATCTCGTCCTTGACATCCTTCAGGAACGGCTCGTCCAGAAAGTCTATCAGGTTTATGTCCGGTAACGACATCACTGACATTGATCTAATATATACATATATATATAATGTGTATATATATATATATATATATACGTATGTATACGACACTACTGATATATATACGACGTATGTAGAGCGATGCACGCGCGTGTCGTCTTCTGCCTTATTTATTTTCTTTCTTCCTCATCGCCGGCTGCTACCGTCCTAAGTGGCCCGCGTGCGCACATACATACACACACCGATCCGGAGTGAACAACGGCGGGCGGGGCGGGGGGTGGCGCAGCTTGCAGCAGCAAGCCCGAGACGAGTACCGAACAACGACACGTATAATCGGTCCAACGATGATGTGCAGGTGTCAGTGCACGCGGTGGCGGTCCGGTTAATTCTTGATTACCCGATACTTCTCGAACCCCACCCTCGAGAATACGCTCTCTCCGTCCGTCCGTCGAAATCCGCGAGACAGCTGCCTCGAGTTGGCTGGCCCGAATGCACTGTGTCGCACCTTCTTCCGCCTCGGCCGCGTCTCCTCACCCGAGACTTTCTTCACATTTTCGACGATCGACCACCGTCTTCCCCTCCCCTCCCTTCTCCGTCGTCGTTGATCGCAGCAGTTCGTGAACGACGCTGCGAGAACGCCACGAGTGGAAAATCGCTCTTTTGCTTCGGAGACACCGTGCGAAATGCGCCGCGAGCACCAGCGAGCACCGCCGACTGCCAACGTGGCACGCGAGCGAATACAACTTCACGGGTCAAGCTGTCACACACGCGTGCAGCGCAGGGTCAGCAATGTCGCCGACTGAAAATTTCCATCTTTATTAGAATTGGGCGATACAGTAGCGATGCATAGGGAAATAGGGTTTTCCTCCGCAAATTGCGGGAGAAAGTCCTATTTTTCTGGAAGAAATTCTTATTCCCCTATGCACCGATATAGTATCGCCCAACTCTAATCTCTACCAAACGAGTCGTTATTTTCCACTAGAAGTCCATTAAATACAATTCTCCTCCCCACCGAAAACCACTGGACTTTCAGCCGGGCCGTGATTCGCGATCTCGTGAAAGGGAAACAGAAACATCCGCAACGTAAAGGCTCAAAGCGACTTGATTGGCGTTTGTGAAGCTGAGTATGTGCACGCAGAGAGTCTCTTAAGCCCGTATCATATTATAGATTAGGATTGAGATTGAATTGAAATTTGACCAATCAGAGCAAAGTTCACTAAACCCAAGTTTAGTGAATTGTGCTCTGAGTGGTTAAATTTAAATCCAATCTTAATCTTAATTTGTAGTCTGATACTGTCGTAAGTCTTTATTAGGTGCAAACTTTTAAGCCCGTATCAGATTACGGATTGGAGATTGAGATTGAATTGAATTTAGCCAATCAGTGTAAAATTAACTAAACTTAAATTTAGTAAAATTCTGCACTGATTTGTCAAATTTCAATTTAATTTCAATCTTCAATCTATATCTGATACGGGTTTTATGTTGCGGATGTTCCATTTCCCTCCCATGAGACCACAAATTGTGGCCTGGCTGAAAATTTAGTGGTTTCCGGTGGGGCGAAGAATTGTATTTAGTAGATTTCTAGTGGAAAATAAATACTCGTCTGGAAGAGATGAAATGTTCTGTGTTGGCCACACTGAATCCCACTACAGGTTATCGTACGAAAGAGCATTTGTTACAAATCGTTAGGTTAGCCGAGGAATTCGATAATTAAACGAACATAATGATGAGTGTGATAAGTAATTCCAAGCGATCGGTGCGGATGACCGTAAATTTATTGAAGAGAAGCGTCAATCTCTCGGAAAGGCGATACGCCACTCTGGAAGACTACAAAATCACGTGGACGCGACCGAAGAAAATCTCGTGTGTGTCACCGGAGAAGTCCGGTGATCAGGGGATAGCCATTGACATCAAGAAGACCGACATTCCCAGGATTTACAATGAATCGTCCGAGATGAAGAAGTGAGTAACTAAATAGAATTAGGCAAAATAAATTCACAATGCAATACATATTATTTGTACATAATATTCTTATATGTGTTAGTGCCAGTGACATTGTTAAGAGAATGTTTACGTTAGAATTTCTACCGAAGAGGGAGAGAGACCGAATGATGACGACGAAGATCGTCGATCTAGTAAAGAGGCACAATGATGACGAGTTTTCGCCCGAAGTTAAAAGTAAACATATATCTCTGACGAATCGTATTGATCGCAAAGATAGTGTCCGTTTTGTTATTGCTTGACCGTGTTTATCGTTTTTTCAGTCGCTCGTCTAACCAGCAGGATATTCAAATTACGAGAGATTTACAGCAAGTATCCTAAAAATCGCAAGTTAAAGGTTGAATTGAAAGAAGCAATCGACTCGAGAGTACGTCTCTTAACAAAGCTGCGTACTTCAGATTACAGATGTTTCGAGTACACTTTAGAGAAACTGAACCTCATTTACAAACCGTATCCAGAGTAAGAATTTATCGTTTATTAAATGACATATATAATATGTGTGTGTATATGTGTGTGTCGGTGCGCGTGCATGCATGTGCGCACAAATCTTATACAGGATGTCCCATTTTAATTTTTACGCTGAAATATTTTGAAAATGGTACATCAATAAAAAAAATATTTCAGACTGCTTGAAATATTTAATGCAAAAAGATTTTATTATAGTAGTGCATTTTGAAAAGCTTTCAAAGTAAGCTACAAGAATATGCAATAAAAAATGGGAGTTTCTATTTAAAAAATTGGAAGTGACCTTCAAAAGATTAACAAAGGTCAAACCAATGGCCGCATTCAGTAGAACGTTTAGTTTGCAACTGTTGGTTGTGCTGACAGTTTCCTATGCTGACATTGGATTATTCCTGTGGATCTAAAAGAATAATCCAATCTCAGCTTAGAAAGCTTCCAACAGTTGCAAATTAAACGTTCTGCTGAACGTGGTCAATGATAACACCGTGTGTCCCCCTTAAAACCATACGACTTTTGTTTAAAACATTTTTTCCATTGACGCACCGTTTACAAAACTTTTAGGTGTAAAAGTTAAAATGGGACACTCTGTATATCTTGATTATTTTCGTTGTAAAATGTTCACTTCCCTCTCATCAGTCCGCCCAATCAAATCACCAAGAGGGAGTCTCTGACGCGATTAACGGAGAAACATTGTAACGAGATCGTACAGAAAAAGATGGATGCGTACAAAGCGGAATTGAAGGCGCAGCAGAAGGACTTTTTCGCGGAGAAGGCGGAAAAGCTCGCTTTCATTCGGGAAGAAGAGATAGCGTGTGGCTTAGAGCCGACAATAAGCGAAGAGGATGTGGCACTCGCTAAGCGAAAAGCGATGGAATACCAGACGTAATATTAATTGATTAGATTTATAAATTATTTGCAAATTGTACAAGATTAAAAAGAGAATTATATATATTTTGAAATTATCCGTATAGCGCGAATGTTCAAAGAAAAACATCCCAGAGATGTCACAGGGACGTTTGATACATCTGGGATATCTTTTGAACGTACGCTGTGTGAGTAGCGGGTAGTATTCTTTAATTGTGATTACACAATCCCACAATCTCTGATTATAATACATTTGTTTCATCATCATTCGATATAATTCATTCTTGTTGATTACACACAATTATAATTAAAATAATACATCTTGTAAAATTTATTGATACAAAGTTACATGCCGGCGGTACTACAACTTTCAAGCCTCATAACTCGAAAAGTATTTAACGCAAAAATATTTTGTTATAGTGTCTTGAAAAGCTCTCGAGGTAAGTTATAAAAATATATAATAACAAGTAGGGGATTCCATTTAAAAAATTCAAGGTGGCCTTTATGTGACCTTCAAAAGACTATAAAAAGTCAAACCAATAATACTATCTTATATATCCCTCGAAATCAAACAACTTTTGTATGAAACATTGTTCTGTAAAATGCTTTTCTTCTGAAATATATGTTTGTCACACTTTAACTCATATATATATATATATATATATGTGCGTGTGTTTTTTTCAAATTCTTAACTATTGTATCGGAGTCCCAAAAAAATTCGAAATAGTAACTGACTTTCGAGCCACTTTGTGTTATTATTAGTAACACTCATGTCAAATTTTTATCTGTCAAACGTATTCCAGGGAACTTTTTACTTATCCGGCGGGGGGGGGGGTCATTTATAGCAGCTGATTTTACATTTGTTCGATCGAGATCACGTGGTATCGTCAGTTCTTGCGGCCAACAATAAATTCCGCCTCGATCATGACGTCGCTAAACGACCATTATTCTTTCTCTCTCTCTCTCTCTCTCTCTCTTTCTGTATATGTGTATGTGTGTGTGTGTGTGTGTGTGTTGCGCATAAAGTGAAAGTATCTGTAATTGTTTTTGTCGAATACACCAGGAAGATTATCACACTTCAAAACGACGTTCTCGAGCGCGATCGCAGGCAAGGTAAAGAGAAGGTAAGAGTTTGCTTCTTCGAAAAAGGACGACCGAACCCTATAAACGCGTAATATTACTTAATATTAAGTAATATTTGTGGAATATTAATAGATGGTTATATGTCCACTTCTAATAATATTTTAAAAATAATCTTATTTAATGTTATTGCAATATATATTTTTTTAATTTTCGACTTTATGTATATATATAATATATATAATTGTTTTTCATTTCAAATGTATTGCAACACTAATTGTTTTATTGTATAAATAAAGTCGAAAAAATTTTATGTACAAATATATTTTGTATTAAAAAATTATACATATATATTTTTTTCTTTTTTTTATATCATTATTTTTTTTAATATTCTAAGAACATTTTTGTAATACGCCAAGAATGTTATACGAAGTGGACATGTAACATCAATAGAACATTCTTATAATATTAAAAAACATTACATAACATTTTAGAATATTATAGGAATATTATTTTAATATTGAATAATATTCAAATAATATTCTAGAAACATTACATTTCGAGGGAAAAAGCATACGTCATTGATTCAATGTTTCAATGACGTTGTATGCAACATTAAGCACTACATATTTAAAAATATGTTATAGTATTTGCCTTAGATGATTTCAGGTTTATCTAGATGAAGATGAGATGAAAATCCGAATAATTCATATTAGATGAAACGAAGATGATTTTGCTTTTGATTTATCCAGATGAAGGATAAAATAAGTAGCGCTGCTTAACTAGATAATTTTTTAGATAATATTGTTTTCATGAGAGACTTCATAAAAATTTACAATAAAAATTATGCAGATACCATAAAATTGACTCTTCTCACACAATGTACACCACGAAGCTACTGTTCGCAAGTTCGCGGTTCAAATGTCACAGCTTTGCATGGGAAGATGCGACGGCAGAGGGAGAGAGAGGGAGAAATTCTAATTGAAAGCGAATTCGCACATTGACGATATGAAGTATCCAAATATCTGAAATACCTAAAAAGAATACAGCTCACATTGATTTTCCAATTGCTCGTGCTGTGTTTGTTTTATCGCGAATTTTCGCCACACATTTCCGAGTGGCGCTTGGAAAATTTCTCGCTTTCTCCCTCTTTTCCTCTCTCTCTCTCACTCTCTTCGAAAATTGTAGAAGCGCATGCGGGAAACGCGGGACGACCTGGCGCAGTGATTGTAGTGCAAATTCGATCATCGATCCTGGTCGTCACGCAACACGACACAACCGCGTCAAGCCTGTATCATACTATGGATTAGGAATTGGTATTGCGGATTGAAGATCGGAAATTGACCGAATAAAGTCACAGTAGATTTGGATTGGGGTCGTAAATAATTATTATCATACTATGGATTGAAACTGAAGGTTGAGTTTGGATATTAGATCAGAACATGAAACTCGACCGGTCAACATTTTGCAGGCTGCGATCGGGAGTATAGATTGGAGATTTAGACTTCATTCTATTTTCTTGATATTTTCGCAATATGAGCCAATAGTCGCCAAGTATTCGTCGATGGGTTATGGTCTAATATGGGCTATGTAATATAATGAATGTACTGTGCACAAATGTTGGTAGGAATAGAAAAATTCTATACATATGGCAAAACTTATTGATAAATAACACATGCGAGAAAACGTATATTTCTATCCGTGCGGAAAATTTATTGATAACTCGAGCACGCCACTGTGAAACTAATTAGAAGCGTAATTGTTTTTAATAGTACATATTTCTTACTTTCTGTATCTGTTTGGACACATACGGTTCTTTCTACGTTTCTTTTCCTTTTCTGCTATTATTAATAGCAAAGGAAGAATATTAATGTTCCTTCGTTTAATGATATCTCGATTCATTTTTTTCTCTAATATGTCATTTTTATGTTTGTGAATGCAGAGTAAACTCAATCGCAATCCAGATCGCGATCATAGCGTGATCGAATAATCCTCAATGCCCAATCCGCAATCCCAATTCCTATTCCATACACGGTAAGCAGGAAATATTGAATCAATCTTTCGAATCATTGATTTTACGCGGATTTTACAAACATTTTGACATAGTATAATTTTATAAATGTTTTTAAACTTATTATAATATAATGTTGATAACATAATATTCCTAAATATTAAAATTATATTGTATAAGTATTATCTTTAATGTTTCGGTCAAATATCATTAACAGTGACGTTGTAGGCAGCATTAAGAATTATATATTTAAAAACATGTTATATGTTACAGTGTTTGCCTTAGATGATTTCAGATTCATCTAGATGAAGATGAGATGAAAATCCGAAAAATTAATCTTAGATGAAATGAAGATGATTTTGCTTTTGATTTATCTAGATGAGGGATAAAATAAGTAGTGTTACTAACTAGATAATTTTTTTAATGATATTGTTTTCATGAGAGACTTCATAAAATTACAATAACAATTATGCATATACCATAAAATTGGACAACGGTTAAATAATTCGTCAATCTAATCGCTTTAAATTTAAAGATCTAACAAAACAGTCCAATAATCATTGATTACTCATTCATAGTCGACAGTTTAACGTGGGCTTAAAATAAATTGATCAATTTAAACAAATGGTCTGTTCTTTTTAGTTACACCAGTTCAGCAGTGCAGCTAAAAAAAACCAAACCAAAGAAGACAAAACTAAAATTTGTTAATTCGTTGAAATCTAATCTCCAATTCCTAGTCTGAAACAGGCTTAACACATAAACCCATATTATTTCATTCATTTGATCGAAAAGTGAGTTCAGAATGTGTACCATGGAATCATTTCCGATAATTTTTAGATGACATAACACGTTTTCTTATCTAAGATGAATATATTTTCTACTTCTTCCATCTAGATAAAGATAAAGATGCTCGATTTATTCATATGAATGATTATTTAGATAATTTTATCTAGATACCGGCAAACATTGGTTACAAAATATCATTTTAATAACATTGTGTTGACGATTTCTTGCTTACTGGATAGTCTGATACGGGTTTCAACGATGTTCCCGCATGCGAGTTCGTGATGCGCGATCGCGCGTGCTGCGCAATCGGCGCGCCGAGAGAGAGAGACGGGCAAGCGAAGAGGCCAGCAAAAATGTGAGTGAACGTTCGCGTTGTATATATAAAGGAAGAGAGTCGGTGGGATGCTGCGACTCGTCGTCTCGTCGACAGCCGGGTCGCGCTTTATTCCTGTGTATTCCGCGATATTATTCGCCGTTCGACGATTCGAAGTGAGGCCGAAGACCCTCGCGAGTGGACCTGGCGGAAAAACCAGGCAGGAGATCTCAGACGCGATCTTGAGACGCGCTGCTCCTCCTGACAGCCGCCGCTCTTGCTGTCAATTGATTTGCGCTTTGTTGCACCGATCGATAAGAAAATTCCTTCCGCGGTCTTTTCGCGAATGTGCGTGTGAAAATGTGCGGTCGAAGGATCGAATGAAATCAAGAGAGAAGCGTATCTTCGACGGAATCGACGGTTCGCGTACTTCTCACGTCGCGCTTTTCACGTTCTCTCTCTCTCCCTCTTTCTTTTATTTCATTATTTTTTGTTCCTTTAATCGCTACGCAAATCGCAGGCACGATGTTCCTCGCTGCGCGGAGCTGCGAGAAAACCATTTGTAACACGGTTAGTATCGTATAAAAGAAGAATACGAAAGACGTTACTCTATAAGCGCGTAATATTCCTAGAATGTTATGTGAATATTGTACAATATTAAAATAATATTCCTATAATATTCTAAAAATGTTATGTAATATTTTTTAATATTATAAGAATGTTCTATTGATGTTATATGTCCGCTTTACATAATATTCTTGGCATATTATAAAAATGTCCTTCAAATATTTAAAAAAGTATATAAAATAATATAGAAAAAAAATGTATATATATATACATACAGTGTCCCAAACTAATCTTGGTTCTCCTGGTATGCAAGTAGAACGGGTGGAACTGAGGAGAAAAGTCCTATATCATTTTGCGGAAAAGTTCTATGCCATTTTGTAAACAACGCGCAAAATTTCGAGTTATCAATGATCGAAAATGGTCATGTATAGAGGCTTCTTTAATTAATAATTAAAAAATTTACGTGTTATTTGCAAAATGATAAAGAATTTTTTTGTTTAAAGTAGCCTAATCTACAAATATATGACAATTGTACCTAACGACAGACATAAATATATTAAACTTTGACCCTTGAACTTCGAACTTGTCGTTAGGTACAATAGTTGTCATATATTTGTAGATTAGACTATTTGGAATAAAGAAAGTCTGTCACTATTTTGCAAATAACACGCAAATTGTTAAGTTATTAATTGAAGAAGTTTCACCCGTTCTGCTTGCACACCACGGGAACTGAGATTAGTTTGGGACACCCTGTATACTATTTTATATGTGAAAAATTAATATCATATTAACAGCGCAGTTTAATTGTAACTAATTTTCCTCAGTCAACAGAAAGAGAGTGTTGCTGAAACTAACTTCATTTCACATGCGAAAGAGATTATCGTATCAACAGCACCGGTTTCTAAATGGATTTTTTTTTCATTCAACAACAGTATTCCAGACTAACGTAATGTCTAAAATCGGGACGTAAGGCATCGTTTTTCAGGGATCTTATGTCACATAATTTGAGACGTTACGTCGTCCGGGATTATTAGAATTAATTTTCGAATATTGTTCGAAAACAATGCAATTAATTTCGATAATACTACCATTGTAATCAAGAAGATTCATCCAATTAGGCCGATGCTGCGCTGATGTAACATCATTTTTTCCGTGTATGTTACTTAACGAAACACACGGCAATATCATTAATATATCATGCTTACCGGTAATCATCGCTGCGACACTCAACGTGCTGAGAGACACCTGTGAAAAGAATCACGGCAACTTTGACGATCCATTTCAACGAGCGTTAAGCCTCTAATCAGTTTATGGATTAGGGATTGGGATTGCGGATTGGGGATTGGAAATCGACCGAATGAAGTTACAACAGGTCCGGATTGGGATCGTAAATCATTATCATACCTATGGATTGAAATTGAAGAATGAGTTTGGATGTCAGATCGGAACACGGAGCTCGACCGATCGACATTTTGCAGGCTACGATCGGGAGTATAGAATTGGAAATTTAGACTTCATTCTATCTTCTTGATATTTTCGCAATATGAGCCAATAATCGCCCACGTATTCGTCGAATCGGTGGGTTTAACATGGACTTTGTAATATAATAAACGTACTGTGTACAAACGTCCGTAGGAGCAGAAAAATTCTACACACGTGGCAAAACTGATAAATAACACATACGAGAGAGATCGTATATTTCTATCCGTGTGGAAAATTTATTGATAACGCGAGCTCGCCACCGTGAAACTAATTAGAAGCGTGATTGCTTTTAATAGTATATATATTTCTTACCTTCTGTTTGGACACATACAGTTCTTTCTACGTTTCTTTTCCTCTTCTGCTATTATTAATAGCAAAGGAAGAATATTAATGTTCCTTCGTTTAATGATATCTCGATTCATTTTTTTCTCTAATATGTCACTTTCATGTTTGTGAATGCAGAGTAAACTCAATCGCAATCCAGATCGCGATCAGAGTGTGATTGAACAATCCTCAATTCCCAATTCGCAATCTTAATCCCTAATCCATCAGTCTGATACGGGCTTTATGAGACTTTTTCGTTTGTCGAGTCGAGTTTGTGAGCAAATAAAATTAGCATAGATTGGGGATTGTAATTGAATTGAATTTAGCCAATCAGTGCAAAGTTAACTGAATTCAAATTTAGTGGAATTTAGTGAAATTTGCACTGATTGGCCAAATTTCAATTCAATCTTAGTCTCTAATCCGTAGTCTGATATGGGCATAAGCCCTGTGTAAAGCAGTGTAATTAGGTTTCGTCTGCTGATTATAGAAGCCGTCGTGAAATCATATCGCATCGTAAATGAAGCTCGACTTTAGATTGAACTGAGACGACTGCGTCTTGACGTTTTATCGTCATTTTCGTTGAAATAGCGTTTTAATTAACCGCTATACAACACGTAGAGAAGCGTTACGCAACGTGGAACGAGGGTAATGATCGCCGTCTACCTTCCATGCTTCATCCTCTGGTTCGTGGATTCGTAGATCCGCGCCGATATGCGGCTTGAGAGTCGTCAGGATCGATAAATTTCGCGTGTTCGCATCTTTTTAAACGATATACGCTAATGATAATCTTATTAGATAGTGCTTGCCTTAGATTATTTCATCTAGATGAAGATGAGATGAAATATGGAAAATGCATCTCAGATAAGATTATTTAGTTTTTTGGTTTATCTAGATGAAAGATAAGTGCGTGCGACTTATCTAGATTTTTTAGATGATACTGTCATGAGAGACTGCAAAATTTATAATAAAAATCATGCAGATCATAACAATTGCACAACAGTTAAGTAATTCGTCAACGTAATCGCTCTAAATTTAAGGATCTAACAAAAAAGACCAATAATCATTGACTGCTCACTCACAGTCGATACTGTTTGATATGGACTTAAAGTGGATTGATCAATTGAAAGAAATGGTCTGTTCTTTTTAGTTGCACCAGTTCAGCAGTGCAGTCAAAAAGAATAGACCAAAGGAGACAAAACTGAAATTTGTTAATTTGTTAAAGTCTGATCTCCAATCCTTAATCTGATACGGGCTTGACGCATAGGTCCGTATTATTTCATTCATTTGATCGAAAAGTGAGTTCAGAATATGTACTATAACATCATTTCAGATAATCTGTAGATAAGATAACACGTTTTTATCTCAGATAAAAAAGATAATTATATTTTATATTTCCTCCATCTAGATAAAGATGATCTATTTATTCATCTGGATGATTATTTAATTAATTTTATCTAGATAACGACAAACATATTAGAGATATATGCACAATGTTGCATAGATTACGGGGGGGGGGCGGGTGGCGGAAAGGAGGCAGAACGTAGGAGCGCATAACGCGACGCAACACGATCTGCGCTCGTCGGATCGAGCATTCTTTCGAGGGTCACCAAGAGAACGCTGGTAGGACGAGATACACGTGAGGAGAATGTGAAAATGGCGTGGCCCGATGGTTTTGCTGCGATAATAACACGTGCATTCCATAATTCTCAGTATAAAATCGTCGGCGTTAATTCAATCAGAAAGATCAATTTATTTCATTACGGGCGCTATTCTCATTTCGAACGTTGTTTCGCGATATTTAGATTAAAAAAAAAGAACTATTCAAACATTAATCCCGCGTACTTTAGTTAAAACGTTCTATTTGTGACTAACTTTGCCATCCAGATTGTTGTTCAATTGTTATTTTATTATTCAATTGTTATATAATTTAGAATTTCTCGGATATCCGTGTGTTATCGGTATTCAGAATTAGATCTGCCCGATCTCATATCTAATATCAAACTATAAACAGAACACAGTATATCGGTCATAGTTTCTTATCCACCAGGTTTTCTCCTGGTCTTCATTTTGTTACGCGAACTGAAATCCCCCCTTCCCCCCCCCCCTTTTTCCTCTCATCCCAATATGGTTAAATACTTACAGAGCCGATAAATATTATTTTTTAGAAATTAAAATTGAACCTGATGGATCCTGATTGGATGTACTGAGGGTTAAAGGCGAGAACCGATTATTTTTCCCCTCTTAATTATCTTTATTAGTATTATTAATATTTTTATTATTATTATTCTATCCTCAGATATTTTTCCTGTGCTGCTTGCTGACCTTCGGCCGAGCGGATCTTTCTCGAGAGTGAGTACACCCATACAGCACAGAGGCTTGCGAGTAACATTACTGCAACACTGTAACATTAGCATATTGCAGTGCGATATTGCAAGGATATTGTAAAGATATTATTTTGCAATATTACTTCAATAATGTTGCAGCAATATTTCGAAACATTGTTAAAGTAGCGTAACATCGTAATACGTGATCGGTGCGTGTATTGCGGGCTATGTTCCGATGTTCGCTATTAATACTGAAAATTTGTAGTTAATATTCCGACCGTTGAATCGGATTATCGATTACATTTCAAACTGCATTGAAAAAGAATGTTCGAACTATTTTGAAATTCAAAATATGTAATGTAAACTGTAAATTTACAATATTGAGACTAAAACATTGAAAAACCTTTGCATATGACAAATTTTTTGTTTTATATGTATTATTTATTCACCTCACATTCGCATATCATTATAAATAAATATATATGTATTCATTACCATATCGATGATAAATTTGTCATAAGAGAAGGAAATAGGAAATAAAAGATCCGCCGTTTTTTTTTTCTTTCCTTTCTCCGTAGGAGATATTCTTCTCTGCCGTCATTCGAAAATTCAAAGCATTCGTATCCGTGCGCACCTGTCGATGCGGCGTCGTTGGACGTGTTCGGCTCGGCCATCGCGTGCGCCTTGAAGGTCATGTCGACGAAGAGCGACGACGGTGAGCCCGGATCGTCCGGTTACATGCCGGTACCCTCGTACGTCAAAGTGTCGGCGCCATTGTTGTACAAGCCTCTGCCGAGGACGTCGTCCTTGATATACATCGCGCCGCCCGTCGTGAAATCCGCATCAGCTATCGTGGCCACGGAACCAAAAACGATGGAGAAGGACACTCAATATATGGTAAAAATATCTTCCCTGTCACATACGTGTTATATTAGGTATACAACTTAAGAGGCCTTCCTGCCTTGTGACCTGGAAAAAAAAGGCATTTTTTATCATTTTCATCTGGCAAAGTAAAAAAGATAGATAAACGATTCTTATCCTTACTTTTTTCTCTCTTTCACTTTCACAAATTTTACTTCTCTCGCATCGCTTTGGCACAAAATCTCAACAATAAAAAGAAAAACAGTTATGTTAGAGATAAACGGAACGGGGGTTTCTTCCCGGAAATGTATGGAGAATTCGTATCACTTCAGGCGTATCCCAAATACTCCTTCAATTATGGAGTGATCGACGGATACACCGGCGACTCGAAATCGGCATGGGAGGAACGGGACGGCGACATCGTCAAGGGAGAATACTCGGTGGTCGAGGCGGACGGAACTATTCGCACCGTTTCTTACACGGCGGACGATCATAACGGCTTCAACGCGGTCGTGACTAGAAGCGAGCCTCCGAAGAACGTGCAGTCCGCGGCCGAGGTGAAGACGTTCGTGCCTGGTGCCGTATTTCCAAACGACAGGCATAAAATATAGTATTACCTTTCCCGATATTCCGTCATCTTTATATTTGTGTAAGATGTATACAGGGTGAGACAGTTAAAGTGTGACAAACGTATATCTCAGAAACAAAGCATTTTACAGAGCAATGTTTCGTATAAAAGTTGTTTGATTTCGAGGGATGCATAAGATGGTAACATTGGTTTGACCTTTGATAGACTTTTGAAGGTCACATGAAGGTCGCTTTGAAACCGGGTGAAACTGAGCAGAAAAGTCCTATGCCATTTTGCAAATGACACGCAACATTTCGAGTTATCGATGATTGAAAATATCCATTTAGAGGCTTCTTTACACGCTACTAGGGTCTGAGAAGAAAATCTTGCACCACAGTCCAGGGTGTTTTTTGTTAGAATATGTCCCCAATTGACATGGGTCTTTTCAAATATATTTGTAACATAAAAATGTAATTATCTCTAGACCAAGGACATCCTACATCTATTTTATTGTTTTTTAGCTCAATAATACTGTTCACTTTCAAATTTATTGTAATACGTTATCATAAACTGATAAAGAACACGCACCGCACATCTGCGGTGGTGGTAGCGAACGTGTTAATTAATAACTCTAAAATTTGCGTGTTATTTGCAAAATGGTTAAGGATTTTATTTATTANTATATATATATATATATATTACGCGTATTATGGATACATTAATAAATAGAATTATTTTATATTTCAGGGTCGGTTATAAAGTCCCTGATGCTTCGCTGCAGTTGTCTTGATTAATGACGTTAGAAACGAGGAAACGCACGCTAAAATTCTCATGAAATCACATTAGATTGAACGGATACGTTTATAAAATGACACTTTTGATCGATTGAGCACATTTGTGAATTATTCTGTAAAAATTTGTCTCTTCGCTTTAACAATCGATAAATAACCTTAAAATTAACGTAATACTCTTCTTATGATTTTATCACATTAATTTTATGCAACGATTATTTATCGATTGTCGGATGGAAAGTGTCTGAAATATTTTACAAATGTGTTTAATCGATCACAAATATCATTCTGTGAAATCCTTTTATCCTTTTATTTCGAATATCTCGAAGAATTTTGTGCACATTTTTTCCCGCTCTCGACTCTCATTAATCAAGATGGCTGCGACGAGGAAACAGGAACTTTAAATATTTTTATCCGATATGCATTTATGTTATTTTACATACATTATTATTGTTATTATATTCAAAAATATTAATAGCTTAAAAAACACGTCATTGTATTAAATCTATATTTTAATAGTTAAATATTATATATAAATTAAATATATATGTATACTTTATATTATAAGAAAATTTCAAAGTTCTTTTTATATTAATGTGTAATTTTTTTACCTTTAAAAATCGGTTAAAAATCGGTCCTGCGTTCCGAATTGGAATATACTTCGACATTTCAAATTTGAATNTATATATATATATATATATATAAATAAAATAATTATCTTTTGAATGTTTTATATATAAGAAATTGGGGAAATCTTTATTGTTCAAATATACGTGAGGTTACAAACTTCAGAAAATCGAGGCCCTCGGTTAACAGAATTAAAGGTCGGGCAGGATTCGATGACTTCTCGATGAGAAATTCAAGGTAGGAAACCCGCATTGTTCCGTCGTACTATTCTAATAATATTTATACAATATATACTATTTATACAAATCTCGTTTTAATTAGCCGTCTCTGAGACTGGCAAATTTGCAACACTACATAGCAAGTGAAATAACTGCGATGTATTTCGAGATATTGTGCAGTGCAGATTTTAAGTACGCGCGCGTTTGCTTTTTCTATCACTTACTTTACATGTTATAAGTAAGGACTAATTCAATTTTCATAAAAATCGAGTAGAAATATCTATAAATATACACACACACACACATACACACACGCACATGTATATGTAGCAGATTTTTGTTATGCAACAGTTCAAGATCAATTTATATTTAACAATTGTATCTTGTAACGTTTGAGTAGAATAAAAATATTAAATTAATACATTTTGTCATACATACATGTGCACGCACGCACTCACTCACGCATGCACAAACGCACGCACGCATATATATGTATATGTATATACCTACATATACATATATATAAATTTGTATTAAAAGAATATATTTTCGTTAGATCGCGCGCGTGTCGCAAATATATTTCCTATATTTTCGCACTTTTATTTCGAGAAATTTAAAAATCTAGCTGCTCAACAAGCAATACTGTAAGAATCTTCACAAACACGTAATATTCCTGCGGAATGTACACTAATTTCGCTACGTTGCTTATTAATACGCGGGTATACGTGATGCGAGAGAGAAATTAATTTATTCAGCGCACAAAGTCAAATGTATCAATTAAATCATACTCTCGATATAATTTAACAGTCAAAATGGAAATATTGATTATACATATATACATACCAATTGGAGTATTTTCGCTTTATATTAACATTTCAACTTTTTAACGTAACACCACACACACACACACACACACACACACACACACACACACACACACACACACACACACACACACACAAAATGAAAATACGAAAATTATAACGATAAATTAACACGAAATGTGACGAGATATTACATTTGGTGACAAACAAATGTAATGTCATAGCTCCGCTGAACACCGAATAAACAAAGCATTGATATTATACATTAATGTACAATAAAAAAAAAAGGAACACATGTTCTGACGTTAAAAAGTATTTTTTTTTTATTTAGAGCAATTTCTACCTATTTCTTGAACGTTTATTGCTGTTTTTCTTCGCACTGTTCGCCGATTTGTTCTTGCTCGAGTCCTTGCTGTTACCGTGACACTCTTTCACGGGTGTCGTCGACGCGTGTTCCGAGTTACCGTTGGACATCGATCCGTTCGTAAACTGAATCGACGCGTTATTGTCCGCGCCGCTACTCAGTGTCCCGTTATTTTGCGCGTATCCCGTTTGCACGCTCGACGTGTGATTCTTCCCGCTGGGCTCTTTATTATTGCCGGACGACATCGCGTTTGTATTGCCGAAGTTGCAATTGTCCTCGCTACCGCTGTTGCCGATCTGCGATTCCGACTCGCTGTAGCGCTCAACTGAAAAGCAGTGTGGACTCACGTTACACACACGCAATACACACGCACACACACAACATATATATATATATATATATACACATGTATCGGTACATATTTATATATCTGACATATATCGGTACATGAAGATAAGTGCAAATATACATACACAAGCAGGGAGAAAGAGAGAAAATATATTTATGATATGTATGTATGTATGTATGTATGTATGTATGTATGTATGTATGTATGTATGTATGTATGTATGCATGCATGCATATATGTGTGTGTGTGTGTGTGTGTGTGTGTGCGCGCGTAGAGAAAACGAAAGAACTAATTGCGAGAGAGAAGCGACAGCACAGCGTAGAGCGTTTTTTATACGTACACTCTAACTACGCTCGCAGCGAATACAATCTCTTCTTCTTTCAGTTAACAAAAAATTATCTACATTTCTCTACGTTTATCTAGTATTTCCTTCCTCACGTTAGAATTGTCTTGACTTAATGTTATACAACTGCGAAGGAGTTCAGCCATTTTTACTTGGATGATCCTTTCAAAGCTTCATTTCATTCGCATTACGATACACATGCATTGCAAACACACACATCTACGGAGATCGAGATAGGAGAAAATAAAAAGAGAACATTCACTGCGACTCACAGCAAAGTATTTCGTTTATATACTACTGAACGTATAAAACGATAGTTGACAACTGATCTGGTTCGGAAACTAAGAATTTCAACCTTCAAGCTGAATAAGTGTGTAACAGTGAAAATTATAAATTAAATATAAATACGACACGACATATAAATAGAATATTAATTCCACTACGGTAGCCAACTCCCGGGTAAAATTTTATTCTTTCAAATGTGAAGCGATCAGTACATGAAGATAAGTGCAAATATATATTCTATTGGTAACATAATATTACAGATAAATCGGGTATCACAGATAAACACAAAAGACTACTTTATGACAACATTTGTAAGGTTGCTGTTGTTTCTACAGAAAAAAGAAAAAAAGTGAGAATAACAAAAGGAAGTACAAATAAAAAGATTGTTATTCTTTCATAAACAAACAATCATGAATATCCATTCAGGTCCTTACTTTTTTCTTGTGTATTCTCGACGAGACCGCTGACCGCCTGTAACAGGGAAGAAAAATTAATCACTATATCAGAAATATACATTACTTTTACACACACACACACACACAAACACACACATATACTTTTTTTAGTATATCATATTTACACTAGCTAGATTTGTAAGTTGCAAAATTATAGTAAATTGAAATTTCGTAAAAAAACATTAAAACGTACATAACCTAAAAAATTGGGTTCCATTAATGTTGGTACAATAAGTATTTTAAGCCTTAAAAAGTGGGCTAATCACAGTCGAATATGAAAAGAATAATTAACTGTGATTGGTCAGTTTCTTATGGCTTAAAATACTTATTGTGAACTAACACTACGCGATATGATATCTACTTACAGCCATAGATGTGATTGATGATTTGGAAAACAATCTCTCAGCCTCTTTGAATTTTCTATTGCGCTTATCGGCTTTGCTGTTGGTGTTTTTGTTACTCGCCAAATACCTGTCCCAGCCTCTTATTATGTTTCCATATAATTGAGTATCTTCCAAGTAGCTTCCCTCGAAGGCGTATATTTGACGTTCCAGGTTAGCCAATGTGTCCTGTAAAAAATTTATTTCTGCAAAAATCGGCGCTACATTGCTTTCGATGTCGTTAACGGGAGCAGCAAAGTTAACGAGGGACACGGGTTGAGAGACCAATTTAGCATTTAGGTTACTTACTGATAACATAACCTCGCGATACGATCGTAAGTACTCTTATCGTCAAAATAATTAAAAGGGAAAATCAAATGTCGCGAGTTTCGTGCGGGTTGCAAACGTACAAGACATAAGAAATAAGGATTCTGCGAAACGCACGTTTCGTGTTATAGAAAATAAATAATGAAAATTCTAAATAATGTCAGAATACTCACGGCGATTTCGGCCTTGCGTTTCACCAATTCCGCCAATTCCGCTCGTAAATCCACGGAGGATTTCGTGGACATCCTTGAGTATGTATTGCGGCGCACTTTTCTCGCTTGAAATTGAAATATTCGAATCGAAGGGAAACGCGGAAAACTGAAAACCGAAAACCAAATTGACACTCGACAGATCTGTGTTCGTTCGCGAGAGACGGAGGAACGATTCTCTCGTGGGTTACACATTTGACTTACAGGGTCACCAAACCCTGCAACTAAACCTGAAAATTTGTATCCCTATTAGACGGTTATGTATTTTCCACTAGAAATCTATTAGAAACAATTCTTTCGCCTACTGAAAACCACTAGATTTCCGGCCAGGCCGCGATTTGCGTGAAAGGGAAACAAAATATCCGTAAAGGCTTAGAGCGATTTGATTGGCTGCTTATGAAGCTAAGTGTACAGTAGAGCGTCTTTTAAGCCTGTATCAGACTATGGATTGGAGATTGCTATTGAATTGAAATTTGACCAATCAGTGTAAAAATCAGTGTAAAATTTCACTAAACTTGAGCTTAGTTAACTTTATACCGATTGGCTAAATTCAATTCAGTCACAAATATGAAGAGAAATATTAACTGTGATTGGTCAATTTCTTAAGGTTTAAAGCTTAAGATACCTATTGTGGACCGATACTAAGGCGGGGTCTTCAATAGAGAATATGAGACAAAAGATTTAAGAAAGTGACCAATCATACTTGACTTTTCTTCTATAATTCGATTGTGACCCTAATACCTTAATACTCTAGTGCGAACGAGGACGATAAGTCTGTCTGTTTTCGCTGCACCGCTGAACTAGTGCAACAAGTTGAAGTGAGAAAACATGTACTTAGGTCTGTTCGTTTTCGCTGCATCGCTGAACTAATGCAGTAAGTTGAAGCGAGACAAGTATATGTTTTCTCACTTCAACTTATTGCACTAGTTCAGCGATGCAACGAAAACAAATAGACCTATAATCATATCTAGGTAGATTTCTAGTGGAAAATAAATACCCGTCTAGTAGAGATAAAAATTTTGAGTTGGCGATGCTGCCGTTATTAGTGCGAACGGTTGAATTTCCTATCTGATTCTGCTCGTCGACTCGTACAAATGGTCGTACGAGTGTGTACGAATTACTTGTAATAACACGACATAATTGTGCGGAGGTTTTTTTTTCATTATAATTACAACGGTTATAATTTATATACAGTGATGGGTATAAATAATGTTTATAAATTGCAACGTAACGCATGCGAATTAGGTTATAAAGACAACAATGTGTCATAAGGTGAACTTGATAAGTTTACGATAGTTTTCTATTGCTTATTTGTCCTATACTTATTTTATAAATATATATATATATATACAAGGCATATTTTATGCAGATCGTACCATTTTGTCAATTTGACAATTAATGTTTCTATTTATACACATATACAATCAATTGCAAAATGGTTACAAGAAGCGAACATATCACGAACAAGTGACAATGTTTACCATCTTTTTTCAGCATTATGTTATCGTATTCAAATGTTTTTGATTTAGCTATTTATTTTATTTGTAGCAGACTTCTTTACATCTTCAATGTGGCAGAAATTATTTGACGTTTTAATGTTATCGATGGAGACCAAAGTGACGAGTAAGACAAGCAGCTTGAAGGCACTCTTGCTGCGAGCGTGGAGGGAACGTTGGAGCGATTTACAATGGGGTATTAATATCAAAACTGTGAGTGATATTTATCTTTCTCTTCGCTTTTTCGATGTATGTTCTATTCTCTAAATTTTTCGGAGTAAAGTTTTGCTCGAAAAGTAGAGCGACTATGAAGTCACTTAAATTCAAGTTTTTTTTTTTTACTCATTTCTTAAGTGAATTCTTTACTCTGAATCGTCGAGTGAATATTTTAATCTGAAATTGAAGAGTGAATCCGATCAATCCATTGTCTTAAGAATGTATTTACTCTGATTGAAATGTTTGCTTATACGAAGAATCAGAATCCGTTCTAAGCTTAAACGAAACATTCACTCTTGTAATTTCAAGGTAGTAGTTTTTTCACTGTCGCAATTCCGGTAAAAATTTCGCTGCTTTTCACTTGTCTTACATGAGACATCCCTTCGAGAAATTTAAAGAATATACAATCCTTCTTTAATACAAGATGAATTCTCTCAGATTCTTCCAAGAGGGGTAAGCGGAGATGTATATAACTTAGCTGACTGTATATTACAACAAGCATTAGTGGGACCAGGACCTAATCAATTAGTATTATCTTATTTAAAACATTCGTTAAGCTCTCAGGTTTGTTTATTCTATATTCTTAATATATAAATAATACTTAATATATCAATATACAGAGTGTAAAAGTACCAAAACCCGAGAATATCTCTGAAGGTAACGAACAAAAAAGATAGTTTAAACACGAGATTTTTAGGGTTTAAAGATGAGCATTTGATGATGATCTTGGCGTAGAGGTCAAATTTAGAGGTCATTTCAAGAACAACTTGAAATTTTTTAGTGGGACCCCCTACTTTTGACTCCACGAGTGAAAAGAGCAGAAAATTCTATTTTCAGATATGCTATCGTGTTACGGAATTAAATTGACCTATAGGGGTGATTTCGAGGTCAAATCAATTTTTCAATGATAATTCTTTAAGAAAACAGTTTAGAGCAAAAATGTTAATACGAAATTAGCAGGGTTCAAAAAATGACATCTGATGATGACCTCGATCCCAGCATAAAGGTCAAATTTAGAGGTCATTTCAATGTCAAGCAAGACATATGAATGATTCAGCTGATGAAAGCAAGATAGATGCCAGCTAATGACTCAATTTTTACATAAAAAACAAGTTGACTTTCGTGTGACCATTAGAGGTCAGTGTGACTCCACATATCACCCCGTGTTTTAACATAAATTTTCCTGCTCTTTTCATTACTGGAGTCAAAAGTCATCGGATGCTCTACGAACCCTGCAAATTTCGTATTTAAACTTTCTTCTTTCGTTCGTTACCTTCCGAGATATTCTGTGGTGCCGGTACTTTTTGTACACCCTGTATGAGCTGCGTAACACCCTATGTATGTTGATGAATTAAGTTTCTAATCACCTTGCAGTTGGTGTCGTATGCCGCGGTATTGCAGCGAATAAGCAAATACGACGCTTTCCACAAGCCTCACTGCATCGTGAGTCTGCTGGAATTCTTAGAATCTATACAGGTCGGTATCACGTGTCGCGGTAAACCGGAGGAGGATCTTCTGGCGGCGGCGGTTCTCTCCATCGTTCACTGGCTCTTGCAATGTTACCTGCACACATTGTCGAAAGCACCGCAGAACAATCCTCTGACTCCCCATCCGAGCGAGCTCATGGACAAACCCGCCAGCATCTTGCAGCAGATGCTGAACTCGGATTTTCTGCGTGCGATGATGTATCTGGCTAAATACGACGACGAAGGTTTGTTGTGAGTGAGAGAGCGCGATACTTTCGAAGTATTCGCAAAAGAGAACTTGATGCGTACACGTGCAGTGTTTGCCGGTATCTAAATAAATGGTGTAAATAATCATCCGGATGAATAAATAGATCGTCTTTATCTTTATCTGGATGAAAGAAATTTAACATACATTTATCTTTATCTTAGATGGAAAACGTGTTATCTCACGTAGAAATGATCTGAAATGATGTTACGGTCCATATTCTGAACTCACTTTTTGATCAAATGAATGAGATAATATAGACCTATGCGTTAAGCCCGTATCAGACTAGGAATTGGAGATTAGATTTCAACGAATCGACAAATTTCGGTTTTGTGTGTTCCTTGGTCTGTTCTTTTCAGCTGCACCACTGAACTGGTGTGATAAATTAGAACGAGACAAAATGTACTTGCGTAGTTTTAACTTATTGCAGCAGTGCAACTAAAAAGAACAGAACATCTGTTTCAATTGATCAATCCACTTTCAGCCCGTATCGAACCATCGACTGTGAGTGAGCAGTCAATGATTATTGGTCTTTTTCGTTAAATCCTTAAATTTACAGCGATTACATTAACGAATTACTTAACCGTCGTGCAATTTTATCATTTGCATGATTTTTATTATAAATTTCTACAAAGCTTCTTATGAAATATCATCAAAAAATTATCTAGATAACTAGCCCCGCCTATCTTATCTTTCACCTAGATAAGTCAAAAGCAAAATCATCATCTCATCTAAGATGATTTTTTCTATTCAGCTATATATTTTATTTGCAGCAGACGATTATTTCGGATTTTCATCTCATTTTCATCTAGATGAGTCTGAAGTCATCTAAGGCAAACACCGTTTATACGGTTGCCTGTGCGTTTTCTCTTTCAGATTTGTACATAGAAGTCGTGAAGAAATGCTCGGAGATTGAGGCGCTGCTGAAGACCACCGCTCTGAAGTCCATGGTGCCGATAGAGGATTCCCTGAAGCAACTGTACGACCTGGAGATCGAGAGCTTCTGCCCCGAGAAGACCCGAATGGAGTCCATCACTCATTGCCTGCAGCCGCTCTTCGCCGTTCAGGTGCCGTTGAATCCCAGCACCGAGACGTCCGTGTTCGTCAACCAGCTGCTGATGATACAGAGACTGAAGAGTTACACGAACGCACGGCTCTACTGCGAGATCATTCGCGCCTGTCTGATGTGTCTGCACAATGTGACCGGGACGTTCAAGGAGTCGCAGTGGGGAGCCTTCACATTTCTGAAGGTGCCTCTGATATTGAAGGAACTGCACCAGGCTAATTTGAAAATCGGCAAGTAAATCCGAGAGAGATTTCTCGAGAGCGAGAAGTCGCGAGCCTATGAGTGTATCATCGTCTCTCAGTAGCCTCCCTTGTGTTCCGCAGGTGAGGAGAAGTACGAGTACTCGCAGGATATTCTCGACGCGTTCGAGCTGTTGCTCCAGTTCACGTCCTTACTCGACATAATGGACACTACGTGCTCGTGCAATTGCGTGGAGTGTCTGCTGAATGAACTGCAGAAGGTGAACCTCGTCACGGAGAAGCAGGCGAAGCATCTGAGCACCAGGAGGTAATGTAAAACACCCGACAAACAGGATCATCTTTGCCAAAGGGAAGCCCCTCGGAATTAATTTCTGCTGGGTTTAAAACGTTTGAGAATTTTTGCGATAAACTTCAAGCCGTTGCTTTTGTATTTTATTCCTTTTTTTAGCTGAAACTATCTTCTTCTTATCGTTTTATTTAGTTTTACTTATTTCGTTCATTTTCGTTTACTTTTTTACAACAATTCCACCGAATACGGATTGTTATGAGCAGGGAGGGAGTGACGGCGGCTCTGCAAAAGTTGGAGCCTTCGAGTACTCCGAAGTCGTCGATCCCGAAGGTGATTATTCGCGCGGAACCGACCTTAGCCGGGATTCTCAAGACGCTGAATGCCGATTACACGAAAATCCAGGAGGCATTGCTGAGTATGCTGCGTGAGGTCCTCACGGGCAACAGTTTCGAATTGATGCTCGCGGTGGCGACCGTGGAGGGCAAGTTGAAGACCTTCGTCACCAAGCTCATCAAATTTAACGAATGCAGCAGGCAAATCAATGAACCTGTGCCCGGTAAAACCGCGGTGACGCGAGCGATGCTGTTCGACATGTCATTTCTAATGCTGTGCTCGATAGTGCAAACGTATGGATCCGATGTAAGTTTCCCATTAATAATAATACAGATTTGCATATTGAGGGTCTCGAATCCCCCCCCCTTTTTTTTAATAAAGAGTCGTCTCCTATGTTTTTTTGATGCGCTGAATTCAAATCCAATTGTAGAATTTTCACATCACGTCGAGGATTTCGCGATGTTTTAACCCGAAAGTGCGAAAAACGCCGTTTTTTCAGCTTTTTGAATTGAGATAACAATGAACTGAAGCGAGATATATGTAAATTTCACCAACGAGATCATATTCAGCATGGAAAAATCTAATCCGAAAACCATGTATTTTTTCTGGAGAGGAAAAATATTTTTTATCTACACAAACAACAAACTTTCCCTAATGTCACGTTTTCGTTAAGGTCCGCCATATTAGATTTGAATATTTCTAATTTGCGATCTCGGATTTGTAATCAGCAACCCCAGAAACTTCAGGGTGCCCGTATTTTGTGAAAAATCGATCCGGAACGCTGGAAATATTTGATGTATCCGCGACGAAAACGCGATCGCATTAGGTCAAATTATTTATTCCTGCGGGGATAAAAAACATTTCTCGTCTCCAGGAAAATATATGATTTCCGATGGATTTTTTCATGCTGAATGCCGATCTTGTTGGTAGAATTAACGTGTCTCCTTCGTTTCATTGTTATTTCAGCTCGAAGGAACCTTTAAAAATGGCGTTTTCTCGCTTTGAGATTGAAATATTTCAAAATCCTCGAATATATTTTCTATTTCTCCCGTCTGGACGAAGATAAAGACGATCTATTTATTCATCCGGATGATTATTTACACCATTTATTTAGATACCGGCGAACCCCGTCGCGATGCATCACGCAGACAACAAACGTTGCTTTCAGGTTGTCCTGGAGGAAGGCGGGGACTCGTTTTTCGAGCAATGGGTGCGCGGTTGCATGCCGGAGCGGAATAAGCCGAAGTCGCCGCAGAAGATGCTGCAGAACGTCGATCCGGCGCGGGTGGACGCGCTGCTGGCGCAGATCAATTCGCCGGACCTCGACTTCAAGTCGAGCAATCTCAAGTGGCACCTCGCGTGCCAGTCGGCGATGGGCGCGGTGAAGGAGTTGCTGTGCGCGTGGGAAAGCGGCGTGCTGAGCGCCGGCGACGTCAAACGGGCTCTGGACGGTCTGCGCGCAGCGGCCTGCTGCCTGCCGGTCTGCGCCGCCGCGTGGTTGTGCGCCTACATGAGCATCGCCCAACATAACGCCCTCCTGAAACCCATGAACATGGTCCAGCACTTCCTCACGCCGCTACCCGGCGACGAGATGCAGGACAATCTTAAGGAAAGGTTCGCCACATTTCAGTAATCCGTGATGAATGGAATCAGCAATCGATGAGACTCTGGTTGATCCATGACTTGATACTTCTGGAAAAGTATGCGATTGGTTAATATCGGGGACCCGGAACCGAAATCGGAAACCGTGACGTTTCTTTCGATTTGCGGTTCTTTTCGGTGTTATTATTTCGGTTCTTATTCTGTGATTTGAAATGGTCGTTTTTTTTTTATTTCTTAACGAAATTCTAGTTTTCGCAAAAAAGCAGAACATTGATTGGTTATCGCGACAAATGGAAAATAAACTTCAAGCGTACGATATTGAACGGAAGAGGATTAATAGAAGGAGTAATGTGTTACAATTTCGGGATGAGTAGCTAAACAATCGTCCGGAATTGTACAAATTATCCTAACGGAACATGTGTATTTTGAGAATGTTCGGAGAATATCGAAATAGTTTCCTTATATTCTCAGAATCTACATAATTTACATATTTCGTTAGGAAGAGGTTACGAATAACGAGGGTAATATTATATATCCAAAAAAGTTAAGAGCGGAAGTTGGAAATGGTGAAGAAATGCCATCTACGTAGAGGAAGTAATATTATTACTTTTATAAATATTATTGTACGCGTTATGTGTGTGTGTGTGTGTGTGTGTGTGTGTGTATGTGTGTGTGTGTGTGTGTAATTTAATTCAATAAAAATTTCAGTAAAGAAACAAGTTTGAAGAATCGGAACTGAAAAGAACCGTAATTTAAACGGTACTTTCATCGTGCAGAAAACCGGAATCGAAACCGGAATCTTTATTAAATATTTTAGTGGACCGGAACGATATTTTCATTCAAAACATGCGAGAGATAATCTCGATGATGCTGTAATCCACCTTTATGCGAGAGTTTTATTAAGCAGCAGCGTATTTTGTCTCCCTTTTCCAGATCCAGCCTGATGTTCCAAATTATTCGGAAAATGCAATACGACGTACACCCGCCGACGCAGTCGAAGACAAAGGTGCTTTCAATGTCCAACAGGTATTACGTTCTGCTCCTCCGAATAATGAATGAATTTGCATCGTTTGCTTCTGTTGAATTTCCACCGTCCTCACCGGTCTCATTCTTCGCGTTAGTATCATATCGCATCAGCCGATATTGGAGCAATTGGAAGCCGTCTGGCAGAACATCAATCAGCGCGGATGGATAAACATACAAGCGACGCAGTCGTTGGAATCGCTACTAAACACCGGCGGTTCCCTCTGGTTCGTCACAAATATCGTCAAGGATGTGCTAAGGTACCGCTACCAGGAGGAACTCGACCGTGCCGTGGACCTAGCCTTCGCCATCTTTCATCTCGACATAGAAAACTGCACTCTGGACCTGATAAATCACATAATACCGCAGTACCTGCACAACTCCCTGCAGTAAGTCGCGTCGTATTGTTGTTATTGTCATCAAACTGGATTTACGTGAACTTAATATTAACTCTGAAATACTAACTCTTACTTTTAGCTTAATGTAAGAGTTTTAATCCTACGTTTTAGAAATGTGTAATGATTAAAGAAAGGAAAAGAAGACTTTTTAACAAGTGTTATATATATTTTTTCAAAATATAAAGTAAAAGTATNGGGGGGGGGGGGGGGAGGGTAAAAAGCAAAGAAGAAAAAGCGTGTAAAAATTATCTAGAAAAATTAACTCGGTTCGCACATTAGTGTTCTGGAATGAAAAGGAATAGCAAATAAGAACTTAGTCTTGATATTTCAAATTCTTTCTTATCGATATAAATGCTTGTAAAAGTGATTTAGGAACCACTTGATTGGCCGAGGAGCTACATTTACGGCATTTATTGATAAAAGAGAGTTCAGAATAGGGGCGCAATTATTAGCGCGCGAATTTAGTAGGCTAACATGAACGTCTGTTCGGAAAATGCAATATCGTCGGTGGAGCATTCATTTGTCGTTTCTTTTAACCGTTGAATTCGTCTTCGTAAGATCCGTATTCAACCACTATTGTGTAATGATTCCGCATGAATTTCAACATACATCGAATATCGATTCTGTTACAGAAGCGATGAACTCGTGGAGCCGCAGTCGTCCATCCTGGCGAAGCTGTGCGTGTATTGTATATTCTCCACTCTCGAATACATCAATTCGAATCCGTACCAGGGGAATAATCGGAAACGCGTGCGGCACGACCTCGACACGGACGAACTGGATACGCTCGGCATGCCGGCCAACAAACTCCTGAAACTCGGCGAGACCGGCGAGAACGTTCCCATATTCGGCTCGCAGAGCTCGCAAATGCCGGGCGGCACGAACAACGGAAAGAAGTCGTTCGTTCTGCGAGAGCCGCTCATGACAGCATTGAACAATCTGTTTATTATATTCGCCTTCCTCGTCGGCCGAGACAGCGAGGTGTCTCAGCAGACTCACTTCATACTTCAGTTCCTGCGGCTGACGGTGCAGTGCGGCAAGGAGAGGACTCGCGTTGTGCTGCAAGGGATGCCGCAAACGCTGGTGAGTCCTGGTCTGCAATAGGTGCTTTAAACTCATAAGCCTTTAACTCTTAGAAGCACGGTGGGAAGTATACTTGCCACCTTCTTTTCTCTTAGATTTTTTTGTCGATACAATTTTCATTACTATATTTGGATTGTTTCTCTTTTTTTTTTTTCTTATTTTCCTTGTATCTTAGGAATAGGTGGTGAATGTTAAAGAATCGGCAAAACAGGCATTTCGTTAACTGCAAAAGCGTTGTAAATAACCAAATGGAGAAAAATGTCTGTTTTTCTTTTTTTTTTTTCAAGGAAAATACATTTTCCAGCGACTTTCCCAAAATTTCAATTGTTAAAACTTATATATAGGGTTTTCTGAGGTCGCTGATTACGAATCTGATGTCGGAATTATAAAATTTTCAAAATCAGAGATGGCAGTCCAATATGGATCGAAATTGCGCCGAATCAAGGGATTCTATTCAAATGGTATCCAGGGGGTCTTTGCTGATTGCGAATTTGAGGTCGAAATTGAGAAATGATAAAATTCGAAATGTTGAATACAAAAATATTGGAGCAACGCGCAAAAACTCAATGTCAATGGCTTTCAGAGCTTCCAAGTACAATAAGTTATGAAACGCGATATTGCGAAAACGAATTAGAAGGATTGAAATGATGTCTACAGCATAGGCGAAATCTTGCTTATGCCGAATTTCTTAAAGAAAAATTTATTCATGAATAAAAGAAAATTGTGCTGATAATATACCGTCTTCTATCGTCAAAATCGAGCTGAAAAATAGACCCTTCGAAGATTTTCCAATTTTAATCTTGATTTCGTTAGTCCCAAAAACTCCGAAATACCAAATTTGAATTGATATTCCAAATTTTCTGCAATTATGACCAACCACATTGGATCCGTCATCCTGAATTTTGGCGAATTTTCCATTGACTGACTCAAGATTCGTAATCAGCGACCCCAAAAACTCGAGGATAAATTTGAAGTGATTTGGTCGGTTCGCTGCAACCTCCATATTAGATCCTCCATCTTAGATATAAGAAATTTTCCAATTTTGACCTCAGATTCGTGATCAGCGACCCCAAAAACCCCCGGGTATCAAATATGATAAAAAATAAGCGGGAAGAAAAATGTGTGCTTCAAAGGGTTAAGAAATTGGCCAATCACAGTCGAATATAAAAAGAATAATTAACTGTGATTGGTCAATATTTTAAGGCTTGAAATACCTATATTGTAGACCGAGACTGAAATAACGTTGAGCTAACCGAATAAATTTCTGCTTGGACGTGCTATATATAATGTATACGTGTATTTTCACACACACATACGTACACAGGTACCCTGTCTTCTGAAAGCACTACCCGAACTGTTCACGACGGACATTCTCCTGAGGTTTTACGACATTAGAACTGTGATGGGACGCAAGGCGACCGCACGCGACCTGTGCATGTTGCGGAATATCAATTTGAAGCCCACGAAGTAAATAAAATTTTTTCCGAAAGACGTTCGGCTTGTTGTGAATTATTTTTGTTGCAAATCCTCGAGCGAAACTACATGTTACTATCGCTCAAAAACTTGGGATCACTTTGGAGGACCAATAATACGCTAATAGGAGGATTTGAAGTAAGGCTATATTACAATGAAAGATCGTAGATCACATTATGGTTGATATATGGAGAAACGGAATTTGTGAGTGGTATAACAAATGTATAGAGAAAGAAAGTCGCAATCGTTACAATATATAAAATTCGCACTTTACACACCTTCCACTTTTCCATTCTTTTTTTTTTTTTACATATGTTCACTTAACGCGTGTATTAATACATAGAGGCTGTCCCGTAACTCGAATACGTGAAATCCATCAATATATTATATACTCTTTTGCAAATAACAAAATTAACAGTTCTATTCAGACCTCTGATTCCCATTTTTGATGTTACGAACGGAAAAATTAAAATATATTCAAAATTCTTACAAAATCTGCTGAAATAAAGGAAAAAGTTCATAAAATGAGACATTTCCGATTGATCGAGTAGATTTGTAAAAATTCTTCGGGAAAACTTTCCTGTACTCGAATAATCAATAGCCGTAAAATTAACGCGATTTTATCGATGAATCTAATTATATCGATGTATCAATTTTATGGTTAATTTTATCGATCATTAGAACAAAAGGAAAGTTTCCAGGCTGTTTCACAAATCTCTTCGATCGATATATCACAAAATTACTTTATTTATGTATTTTCTTTTACTTAGCGATTATATATGCGAGAATTTTAAGAATATACGTGTATCTTCTCGTCTTTGACTTCTCATTAATAAAGATTTACATCAGTAAGGAGACAGGAACTTTAAAATAAAAAATTCAGTGGGAATCTTCTGAAAAATGTCTTTTTTTTTTTATCAATTTGGTCCCATGGAAATGTCTCAAATCTACGGAAAGCTTCTCTTAATCACTTACAATCTTGAGATTAGTAATATTTGTATACTTTCGACAAAAAAGACTCACATATTCATCAGAGAATCATTAAAATTTTAGATGTGCGAGTTGTGGGACAACCTATATATCACGTATATAAAGGGTATCTCAGAGCCGAATACCCCCGCTTCATGAAAGTGCAGAATTCATTGAGTCGAACGAAAAGGTCCTATACCATTTTGCAAATAAGACGTAAAATTTCGAGTTATCAATGATTGGAAATAACCGTGTACAGAGACCTCTTTAATTAATAACTCGACAATTTGCAAAATGGTGATAGACTTTTTTGTTCCGAATAATCTAATCTATAAGTATATGACACTAACTATTGTATTTAACGACAAGTTCAAAGGGTCAAAGTTCAATACACCGATGCCTGTCGTTAGGTACAACAATTGTCATGTTAATTGCAGATCAGGCCACTCTGAATGAAAAAGTTCTTTACCATTTTGCAAATAACATGCGAATTTTGCGAGTTAATAATTAAAGAAGCTTCTATACATAACCATTTCGGATTATTCATAATTCGAAATTTTCGTGTTATTTGCAAAATGGTGTAGGACTTTTTTGTTAAACTCAATGAACTTTACACCCCCACGAAGCGGGAGTATTCGGCTCTGAGACAGCCTGTGTATGTATATATCATTTACAAATAATATCTATATCGCGCGTCTAACGTCTTCTATCAATTTTTATAATTATCCGAAAGCGCATATCGATGTACGTAACATATTAGACGAATGTTCCGAGTATAATTAGACTGTTAAAAATAAAATAGAAATTAGAACGAAGGTGAAAAACAGCCTAATAGTCCTCTTTTCCGCGCTCGTTGGTGATATAATTAGGCCATGCGGCATCGGGAAAACACAACGCTTGATCTTGCTGTGTTGTTACAACCACGGATGCCACGACGGGTCCATCCTGCACAGATTGTCGTGATTGTTGGCTGCGGTGACCAGTGTGCTGACTTTACTGTCGATGCCGTCGAAATTCGCCAGTGAATTCAATCGCGAGATGATCGCGGTGACCGCGTGCGTCACCATCTTTATCAGGAGCTCGCCTTGCAATTCGGCCGGTGTTCCCGAGTCGCTGTCCGGATCCTCCTGCCTTTTGTGCTCCGCGATCACTTCATCGCGCAGAATTGCGCGCAGTATAGCGTGCAGCTGGTACGAAGGCTGCACCAAGCAGCGAGCCGTCGCGATCGCGCTGGCAGTCAGGGGACCGGATACTCCTACAAACGATTGATTCGGTGTGAAATACTCGGTATTTGCCAGCATCAAGATAAAATTATCTAAATAATCATCCAGATGAACAAATAGATAATCTTTATCTTTATGGAAGAAATGCAAAATATATTCGTCTTCATCTCAGATGAAAAAGCATGTTATCTCATCTGAAAATTATCTGATCTATGTTATCTAAAAAAATTATCTGAAATGATGTTACGGTCCATATTCTGAATTAATCCAATTTGTCAAACTGACCTGTCGTCGTGATAAATTCGTATATGTTGGGTGTCAAACGGAAGGGCACCGGCCTATTTGCATCCAACTCTCCGATGTCGTCGATGTCGAATTTGAAGTAGGCAATATTGATCAGGCCCGAGTCCTGATGCATATACATCATGTCGGGATTGAGTCTCGTAAGGTGAAGCACATACTCGGCGAAACAGGTTAAAGATAGCTGTAGTGTAAACTGAGAACAAAAAAAAAATAACAAAATGAAGATACATGATGTAATTACGTAACTCGCACAAGGAATAAATGGATTTGCCAATTTCCCCGAGATTTCAACGAATAGTCGAATAGGTGATTCAATATGATATATTATAACAGCTTTAATGGATGTTAATGCAAAATAGTGAACCGAAAAAAAAAAAAAATATAACAGTTCCGATTTCGGTTCCGGACAAAAACACCGTTTCCATACAGTTTCCATGACGGTTTTCCGGTCCCGCTTCCGGGCCCCTGCTTGCAATATAATCCCTTATACTTACTTGTAGCCTCTGATAAAATTCCGAAGATCGTAGATCATCGAAAAAACGAGTAATTGCGCTCACCATTTTCCTGAACGTCCAGTAATCGGTGGCGCCGGGGAAGGTCTTCACCGCCCAGTCCTTGAGCATAGTCTTGGAGACCATCATGGTCTGCACCTCCTTCAGGATATCCCGCAGCACTTGGTGGCTCGCTTGAATCCCACGCGCCTGCACGGCGGCCAGTTTCTCGTAGTACCTCGCGATCGGCGCGTCGTGTTCCATGCCGAGTTTGGCGCAACCTTGCTTGAAGACGTCTAGAAGTGAGACCGCCGCTGGATTGTCCTCAACGAGCCTCATCTGTGGGGATACGGCAACCAGCCGCGGCACCGTGAAATGTAGAAATCTGCGCGAGGTCTCCTTCTGCTTGGCCAGGTAGTGGTTCAGCATTCGCAGCAGTTGCAACACGCGTTCCTCGCGCCTCGCGTCCCCCACGCTGGCGTCGTTCACCACCAGGTAAGGGTAGAGGCGGCCGTTGTGGCCGCGAATACGCAGCCTCCTGGCGGCTGTGTTGTGCCGCTGCACCACTTCAACGCGCGGCATGAATCGTGCTATTTTCACGGAATAATGAGAATGCTGAAAGGAATAAGTTCGAATGGAGGGATCAACAGAGATCAGTGGCTTCTTCTCCGTCTAAGCTCGAAATTGGCTGTCGTCGCGTTTGATTAAGATGTAAATAGGATAGATATATAGATGTAGATAAATATGTAAACTAGATATATAGATATAGATGGTTATGTAGATAAGAAAGATACACAAAAGAATGTATAGATATGAAAAGTTCGATATATAAGATAGATAAAAATGTAAAAAGATATATATAGATAATATAGATACATATGAGATAAACTTTGTTGAACGTAAATATTGAAACTCACATAAAGGGCGAATAAGAGCCAAATGCAGATATTAATGTAATAATTGTTGTATATAATATAAAATTTTAATCAAAGCGTAAACACACACACGCACACACACATACACGTGCAATCTCTAAAAGTCAAGAAACCAACCACAGTTGATTATTCTTGGACTATAATAATCTAATCGATCAATTAGCTTACTGCTTATGTCTTACTGCACACTTTACAAGTTTATTTGTTTTATTTATTTTATTAGAGTCTTTTTATTTGTTTATTTTTATTAAAATTTTATATTATACGTAATACTACCTCGCACCAATGTCTGCATTTGACTTTCATTTGACCTTTGCTCGGTTTTTATATTAGATTTACGTTTGGATCATAGAACATTCTAACATTTTTTTTCCCCCGAAAACATCATTGCATCACTTACTCGAGGTATCAGGAATTCGCCAGGTAATTCCACTTCGGCGGTTTTCAGGCTGAAGTTACTCAAAAAACGGCATTTCTCTTCTATCAAGAAAGACCTGTGGAATAACGTATGAATCTTCGGTCCGTGAGATGTTTCTGGAAAGGATATCGCATATCGCGAATGAATAAATAAGACCTGGGTAATTGTTTAGTTTTCTCCTCGAGGATCTTTATCCACTTCTTCAGCTTGCTGATCAAATTGTGAAGCAACCTTGCCCCTGGCACAGTAAAGTCGAAGTCGCTCGTAAATTGGCCCTTCATCTTGTGGAAGACGGGATCCTGTACGGTGTCCTGCGCTCTACGTGCCAAGGATTCCGAAGCCGCCGAATAGAATGAGGTGTTTTGCGAGGACGATATGTTCTCTGAAAAATCATAAATCGCAGTTTCTCTTCGAGTCAGATTCGCGATCCGCGATTCCGAAAACCGCCGAGTTCCAAATTTGATGAAAAATAAGCGGAAGGAAAAATGTGTGCTTTAAAGGGTTAAACAGTTCTAATTGCAGAGATTTATATCTCGTGACATTTATTCTTTCTAAAAAGATCCTTCTTTTTCTTTAAGAACACAGAAAAGAATCGGTTATTTTTTCGGGAAGAATTCATTAATCAATGGTATGCCGGGGGTGTATTGAAGATTAATTAAGAGAGCATATAAATGACTTTACCAATTCCTATGCCAAAAGTTGAAACCAATTTTTTGACGAAATTCAAGGTATGCGGAGTGATAGTAGCTTCACTAACTGCGCCTCGATTCTCAAATGCTAATGCGTAACACTTAGCTAGTCCTTGAGTCAGCTGTCTCAGTACTTCTTCATACCACGTTTCACGGAACCAGACCATCTGAAATACATATTCCAAATTAGTTTTTGCAGGGAAAATCATAAAATACAAACACGAGGGCGATTTAACGGGTTAAAAATAGTGAAAAGGTACACGGAGAAGATAAATTTTGCTGGAACAACAAATGTTTGTCAATATAGTGATAACAAAAACAATTTGTTTGGGCAGCAGGAAGATTTGTTAAGAGTATTAATTACTATTTGCTGGATATATGAACAATTAATAACTCGAAAAATACTTAAAGAAAACAAACTTTATTATAGTGTTTTGGAAAGCTCTTGACAGCAGCTGTTAGATTTTAGAGTCAAAAATAGGGTATTTCGCCAAAAAAAAAAAAAAACCGACGTGACCTGATCTTGGCTACGCTAGGTCGAACCGATCAATAAATCAATAAATAGATCATTTTAAACCCCACAACTTTCATATGAAAGATTTTTCTCAACATACTTTCCGAGATATTCTCATGCATACTTTCCGAGATATTCAGCTGTCCCGGAACATTGTGAATACCTTGTATATCTAATACGATATAAAAAATATAATACAATGTAATGAACAATTTAACAGATAAAATAATATTCAATCCGATTTTACATAATTTTTCAGAAAAAAATGTCAAACGTAGCGAGTGTGCAACGACACGCCGTTCAAGCTCACCTGATCGACTATACCTTCCAGAGAGCTCAGTACGGTCGGGTGGATGTCACGCTGCAGGTGCATAATTTTCGAACATCTCCACATGGGTGCGGTGGCGCGTACGGTGTGGCTCAAGACTTCCGACGTCGTGTGACAGGAATGCCCGTGTCCGTGGTGCGCCGGTACGTTGCCGGCTGAACGATCCTCCTGACTGCTCTCCTGAATCTTCACCGCGGTCAGCTCGTTGTTGTACCTCTCTCTTTGTTCAATCTTCAGGGTCAGGTAGAGGGTGCGGATCGAGAAGTAGACCGCTTGCGGGAACATGCGGCCGACCTGGCTGAGCAGGTTCAGAATGCCGTTGCCCTCGTGCCGCACGAGATACATCAGCAACTGCGGCACCCAAGGTAGCCATTGGATCGCCGGCACCCCCACCGTGTACTTCTCCAACGCTTCGATCAACAACGGCTTATTATCGTCGTCGTACGTGAGCAGCCAGATCACCTTGGCGATGTACTTCCTCGACTTGGTCTCGTTCTGATGCCGGGCGGCGTGCAGGAAGCACGTGATAGCCCCGATCCCGATGGAGGTCTGACGGGCGTCGCGCGAGAAGATCTGCTCGAGATAATCGCCCCACAGGGCCCAGGCCTTCACCAGAGTGTCGTGAAGCTGCACCGCCGTCGAGAAGGCCTTGTTCGCGTCGTCGGAACGGCCGAGCTGCGACAGAAGCAAACCCTTCAGGGCGTAGAATTCGGCGGTCATCTCCTTCGAGAAGTAACGCATGTCGGTGCACTCGATCACGTCCAGACCTTCCTGAAGCTCGTTCTGACCGCCCATCGTCGCCATCTGCATGTAACACTTGACGCGTTGTCGCACCTTTTGGAAGCAATCGATCATCGGCACGCTCGGGATCGTGTAGATCTTCGAGAGCGAGTCCAAACATACGCCGTACAGGTTCTGCTTCCGGGCGATCTTGCCGTAATGTATGATCGACTGCATGGACGCGTGAACGCCAAGGACCGAGTGGGTCGGCGCCGGATGCGGCTCCGGCTGAGACTCGTAATGATTCGCGATGAAGTTGTAATGCTGCTGCCTCCACGCGAAAATGTCGGACCAGTGGCTGAGATCGTCGGCTATGACCGGCAGACGATTGCGCCACGTCTTCACGATCGCCTTCATGTCGTGAAGAGAGGTCGCTCGGGCCAATATCAAGCCTTGATGAATCTGAGCAGCCTCCTGGAGCTCCATTATCTGTTGGGCAGCCTGCAGTAACGGTAAGTGAATGTGGCTCACTATCTGAGGGAGCTTCCGCCATTCTCGCATGCACAAGCCGGACGCTATCTCGACGTAACGCTCCACCGCGTTTATGTGCTGCTCTTCGCTGTTACATATGGCCAAGAAGCCGCGATACATGTTCACCTGGAAATAAATGCGAGCTATTAATCGGGACACGAAGAGTTCGTCGATACGCTCGAGTTATCACAGTCGAATTATAGAAGAAAAGTCAATTATGATTGGTCAGTTTCTTACGCCTGAAATTCTCATTGTAGACCCCGCTATAGATATTTTAAACCTTAAGAAATTGATCGATCACAATTAATTATTCTCTTCACATTCGACCGGTCAATTTCTTAAGGCTTAAAATACCTATCGTGGATCGACACTCGGCGAAGATAGAGCAAAAGTTTTAAAGGTAGGAAGAAATTCACTATTGCACGTATCCCACCTTCCAGGCCATTTCCTTCGGACAATTATGCTCGACCAGTGCGAGCATTTCCTTCATGACCGACCAATTGGAGATACGCCAGGAACTCTCCAAGGCGACGAAAGGATCGCGGAAATCCTTCGAAGTACCGTACTCCAGCAGCATGTCCCACTGATTCAGCTCCTTCGCGCAGCGCACCCACTGGTTCCCAATCATGATCACCTCCTTCTGGATCTTGTAGGGCGACGGACTCGACACCCAATCCTGCTGGTACTTGGTCATCACTACGTCATAAGCTCCCTGTGCCTGCTCGAAGAATCCCTGTTGCTGCAGCGTGATCGCGTGCAGGGTCTCCTTGTAGTAGGCGTGCTTCTGCCAGATGCCGGACCACATGTCCTCCTCGAGCAGCAACGAGTACATATCGGCGAGGGCGTCCATCGTTTCGTTGGGAACGTCATCCGGGGACTGTTCGAAGTCGTACAAGTCAGACTCGTGTCTGCCTTTCGCAGAGGCGCCGCCGTTCTCGGCGGCCATCTGCTCCAAGCCGAGGGTCATCCGGTGCCAGACGTTGTGCGACTTGCCGAGATACTTCATCAGGTACGGCTTCATCAGCACCGGCGGGTTGCAGTGCGACAACGCCTCGAGGAAGGTGCCGAGTGCGCTCGGGTGGCATTCCTTCTGCATCACGTGGGCGCCGCTGGCGACGAACGGCACCACTTCCGCCGTCACCACGTTCTGATGGTACTCGTCCAGGATGGCCCACAAGCGCGGGAACATGTCGAGCCAGACGCGTTCCGCCAGGCTGGTGTCCATGTGGCAGAGCTGCACGACCGCCAGCAGGAGCTGCTGCGTCTTGATCTTGCTCGTCCGCTCGATGAAGGCGCTCTGCCTGCCGATTATGTCCGTCAGCGTGCTCTGCGCTATCACGTCGTCGACGGTGCTGGTGAACTCGGCGATGGACGCGTTCGAGAGTTCCATCTCGAGGAAATCCGCCTCCGGCGGCTCGGCCGTAGTTACTTCCGAGGTGTCGATCGGCTCCTCCTTCACGGCGCACTGCGCCGTGAAGTCCTTGTGCTCCTTGCTGTCCTTGTCCGTTCCCATGTGAATGATCGAGGTGACGCTCGGCAGGAGGAGGTCCTGATTCGTCATCTGTATCCGCGTGACCGGATTGGCGGCCGACAGGATCAGCTCGATGCACTGTTTGATCCAATAATGCGGCCCGATGTTCTCCCAATTCTGCGTGCTGATGATGTAGAGGAGTCGGTCGAACAGCTGCTTGTTCATCGACGCGTCCAGAACGTCGAAGAACTTGGCCCGCACCTGCGGCTGGACGCAGCGCAGACCGGAGAGGAAGGCCTGTTCCAGCTTGTTGTTGAGATCCGTCGACTTCAGGCTCTCGTCCCGGTATATGTAGTTGATCAGCTCGAGGAACTGCCGGTTCAGCTCGAGGTCGTCCGGGAAACGTTTCTCCACGTACTGCATCATCTTGCAGAGGAGGATCGACTTCTCCCGCATACTCGGCGCCTGATTCATCGCGATCGTGCTCTTGTTCTTCATCCACTCCTCCAGCATCTTCGTGATCGCCTTCATCACCTTGATGTCCTGCGTCTTCTCGATCAGGCCGACCAGTATCGTGCCGATGAAAGACTTTCTCATTTCGGCGCCCATCACCACCACTCGATTCTTCACGAGATCCATGCTGAGAATCAGCAACTCGCTGCCGACCGGATTCGTCTCGGCCTGGGACGAGCTGTGCAGGTGTTCCTTCGCCATTCGGTGCAGCACTCGCATGAAAGGCGTGATCATACGGTCGATGTAGCTCGGATTGTTCGTGCAGGCCGCCTTCAGCATCATCAGCGTGCCGAAGAGCGAGCTGGGTTGGGCTGTGGCGGACTTCTCGTAAGTCGTCAGACCGTCCGCTATGAAACGACCCACGCTCGCGTACAACGTGTCCAGTTCCTCGTGTTTCGACGACACGTTCGACGACGTCGGCTCGGCCGGGAAGATCGTCATCAGCCGGGACAGCAAGCCGTGCACCAGACGTATGATCTTCGTGTTGCTGCTGGCGATACAGGCGCCGATGCCGCGTTGCAGCGGCTTGAAGCTCGCGAGTATCTGCTCGCGCTTCATCACCCCCAGCAAAAACGTCAGCACGTCCAGGGCGGTGCTGATGTTGCCGAAGTTCGGCTGGGCGTTGTCCACGCTCGCCAACACCTTGTCCAGCCAGGCTAACTTCAGGTCGCACGATTCCGTCCAGATGTCAGGCTTCAGGCCCATCTTCAGCAGATTGACGCACCGTTTCGACAGCAGCTCGCCGGGATTGCCGTGAATCGACGAGACGTCGTTCACCTGGCAGGCCAGACGCAGCAGGAAGTTGAGGATCGCGTCCGAGTGGATCCGGTCGATCGCCTTCATCGACTCGGTCTTGGAGGAAGCGAGAGGCATGCAGACGCCTGCGCCGCCGCCGGACGATGTTTGGGGTATCGCGCGTTTGTTGCTCGACGTCGCGTCGTCGCCGACCGCTGCTGTCACCGGCCGCTTGACGTTGCCCCCTGCGGCCGGTCTGCTGCCATCGGTAACCTCTATTTCGTCCTTGATCCTGTACAACTCCCACTTGATGATCACCTCCGCCAGCTCGACGGCCAGCTTCCTGTGTTCGATGGTGGCCGTTGGACTGAAGCCTAAACGCTGAATCGAATTCACTATGTGCTGAACCAGGTGATGCCTGACCGGATAGTAGACCTTGTAGTGCCTCACGACCAGCTGTAGGATGTGGAAGAGCTGCTGCATCGAGTGGCCCTCCTCCACGATGATCTTCTTCGTCCAGTGGGTCAACATCGTGTTGCCGTCCTCCATTCTGACCGGCATCGCCGGAGTGAGGATCTCCAGCGCTTGTCGCACTACGTTGCGAGCGTCCACCGCATGAGCCTTCAACAGACTGTGAAACACTTGCAACACAATGCGCTTGTGAATGGCGAACTTGGCGATGATGTGACTGAGAAGGAGGTGGCCGTGATACCTCGTGGTCGGGTCGACGCAGTTCTTGCCCAAGAGGCAGGGCCAGGCGAAGGTCATCAGTCGACGCAGCTTGTTGCCCTGCCGCTTGTTCGTGACGTCGTGTATGTGCTGGGACGCCTGCTCGACCAGCAGACACGAGAACTGCAGCAGGGAGATGCGCACGCAGTCGGCCGAGCCGAACGGATTGTCCGGGTCGATGATCTTGCTGATGAAGACCGAGACCACGTTCTCCGGGTTGTCCTGGTAAGGCATGGGAGCCCCGCCCACCAGCTTCGTACCTTCGCCTCTCTCGAAGCTCACCGCGAAGCAGGGGATTATGATGAGCTGCAGCACGTTCGCTTTGAGCTCCTGCGACAGATTGTTCGTGGGGAAGTGCTCGACGAAGCGGAAGAAGGCGTTCCGCTTCCACTCGACGGTGTACTCCTGCGCGACCGTGTTCTCCAGGAAGTCACGGAGGAACTGGAAGTCGGGGACGAAACGGTCGCAGGTGGCGCGCAGCAGCTGGAACAGCAGATCGACGTCGTTCGGCTGCTGGCGGAAGTAGTGCAGCAGAATCTTCACGATCAGCTTCGGCTCCTTCCAGTGATAATACTCCACGTTCTCGACCTTCTTGTGGAGGGTCTGGTAGTCGTCGTTGCACCAGATCTGCTTCAGGGCGCCCACCAGCTGGGTCTGCGTCGACAGCCACTGTTCGTCGAAGCGGATCAGCAGAGCGATGATCTTGATCGCCCGATATTGAAGCTCGCTCTTCTCCGGCGGGGTCAGGTTCGAGTTGGTCTGCGAATGGGCGAGCAGCATCGCCACGAGTCTTCCCGTACTGTTGTGCAAGATGTCGCGGATCGGCTTGCCGTCCTTGTGCTTGATGAGATACTCCAAGTACCGGCTCCACTGTTGATCCTTGATATTGTTGTCGTGAAGGAAGAGATTGAGCGTCTCCGCGGGATAACGCAGGAGGAACTTCATCAGCGGCACCCGGAACGGGCTGGACACTTCGACCAGCAGCGACTTCTCCGTGTGGAGCACCAGCCTGCAGAGGACGTCGATGAACTTCGGACTGGCCGCCGGGATCTCGTGAAATATCCCGATGATCGTGCTGATCTTCTGCTCGTTCTCGCCGGTCTTCACTATGCCCTTCTGCGCCTGGATCAGATTCTCCAGGAGTTTCTTCAGGTGTTGCAGCAACTGTTCGCAGAGGGTGATGCTGAAGGTGCTGGGGAAGAGCTGCGTCAGGTAGGACAGCCTCTTGACGCAATTCAGACTCAGATTCCTGTGATCGCCCAGTGTGAGCAGCATCGGCCGCATGGTCGTGTGCACCGACTCCATGTCGATCTGGAAGCCGGCGATGAAGGTCTGCATACACTCGAACGCGGCCTCCTGCAGCTCGCCGTTCGACTTCTCCAGCGCCTTGTAGAGCACCGTGAAGATCTTCTCGCGACAAGTCACGATGTAGTGGCTGGCGGCGAGCGCGCGCAGCGCCGACTTCCTCAACGGCATCAGATTTGTCACGGATTTGTAGCAGCAGAGCTTCTGCAAGGTCGCCTCGTCCGCCTCGCAGAGTCCCACGAGCTCCTGGAAGAAGACCTTGTGCTCGGCGACGGTGAGGTCGATGGTGAAGAGACGGGGGTTCAGAGCGGTGCAGAAGGTGGTGCCATCCATCAGGCCGATCTGCGCGTTCGCCGGCTGATGGCGCAGCAGGTGCTTCTTCGGCGGTATCATGTCGGCCAGCACCTCCTTGTGCGGCTCCATCACTTCGGTGACGGTCTTCCTCTGGATCTCGGCGAGCTGGCGCAACGACGTCATCGCCTGTTCCCGCACGATCGTGTGCGGCGACGTCACCTGCCTGACCAACTCGCGAGTCACGTCGTGGACGCCCTTGTTGCGGGCGTCCAGCAGTTCGGCGTTGCCCTCGCGTATGCCGGGGTCCAGGCAGATCCGGATCATCCGGTCCAGGCTGGTCTTCGCCATGTCGATCGCGCCGTTCGACACCTCGTCCGTCAGGTCCATCATTACGAAGATGAGCGCCCGCAGGAACATGAACTGATGGTCGAGCACCCACTTGATCGCCATCCGCTCGGTGAGGAACTTGATGCCGATGCAGCCGCCGAGTTTCGTGTACCAGGCGCGCTCGTAACACAGCATGCACATCCGGTCGGCCGCGTATTCGACGATCGGCAGCCGGCACGCCCGTTCCTTCGTCCCCAGGATCTTCGTCGCCGTGTCCAGCATCAGCATCAGCACCAGATACGCCATTCTGTGCAGGTCCTTCTCTTCGTGAGACAGTATCGAGGCGAGAGCGTCGATCAGCACCAGCGGATCCTGGCCCTGCGTGCGGACGTCGCGCTCCGTCCACGAGAAGAGCCCGGCCTGCTGGCCGATCGCGATCATCGTGTAGTGCCGGACGACGGAGACCACCATGCCGATCACCATCGGTCTCAGTTCCTTCGTTTCCGCAGCGATGAAGAGGCTCGTCACCGCGGTCTGTTGGACGTCGCGCGCCACCGTGTCCGGGCATTTGTACTGGCTGGAGGCGTGGCAAAAGCTGATCTCCCCTTCTTTGAAACTCGGATGTGTGAATAGTTTTTTCAATATGTTACCGTCGTCGTCAAGTCTCAGGGTCGCAGCCAGGTAGCAGTTCACGACCTCGCAGCACTGCTTGCGATAGTAGAGGTCGGTCGTGCTGGATTTCAACGCGACGTACGCCGTCTCGATCACCTTCTCCATGGGCAGGTCGATCGGGTAAGTCGGCCCCTGGAAGTAAACCACCACCGTCGGCGAATTCGTCTCGCGATCGTTGTACTGCAACTTCTGCGGCTCGATCATCATCTTGCGATTCCCTCCGCCGAACTTCCCGAGAACACGGAAGGCCACGTGAGCCTGGTCCGTGGAATTATGCAGGATCCTCCAGAGAGCCTGCATCAGGTCCGCACGGACCGGCTGTATGTGCTCGTAGAGGAAGTCGGGCTGCAGATTGTCGACGCATAGTTCCAAAGTGCGCAGACCTTGGCTGACGAGACAGTAACTGCCGTTCAAGGCGGACACCAGCGGGTCCATCAGCATCGGCAGGTAAGGCAGAAGAGAGCTCAGTCTGACCGGCACGGTCAGGCAGAGTTCGACGAACAGGTCCTTCATGTGCTGCCTGTGCAATCCGGACTGCAGCCTGTTCAGACCTTCCAGCATGTTCGGCAGCAGAGGTAGGAATTCCTGATAGAGCAGGTCGTGCGAGCCGCCGCCGATGGATCGGAAGAGCGCTCGCAGCAAGAGGAAGTAATTGTAAGGTTCTTTCGCGGACATAGCCAGCTCCATGGCTCGGTTGACCACTTGGTTCAGATGAGGGCGAAGCATGTGCTCGTTTTCCGCGGGGAAAAGCGATACGCTACCGAAGACGAGCTTGAACAGTCGCAGGTAGAGATTGCTCCGCTCCACGTTCGAGCCCATGTCGTTCATTCTCTCCAGCAAATATTGCACCAATATCGTGGCGAACCTCGACGATATGGTGGGGCTGGAAAGAAAGGCGCTGCCGATGATCTGCAGGGCGCTGTTCTTGAAGATCCTCTCGACCATGTAGTCCACCGACATGGAGAATATCTCCTGGAAGGTCTGCGGATTCATCTGCGTGAATATATTGCCGAACAGCTCCAGCACCTCTTTTTCCTCCCGGGACCTTATCGTCTGTGCCTGGGCTGGTCTGCCGGGTTGCGCGGGAGTCCCCACGATCGTCGAGCCGATCGTGTAAATGTCCAAGGCGGGCAACGCCCATTTGACCAGCTGAATGTAGATGAGAGTTTCCTTCGGATGTAACTGATTCGACACCTGTGACACCTCGGTGCTTCGGTTGTTGACGAAGTTCCCGGTGATGCCCTTCGCTCCGTGCACCAGACTCTTGACGAGATTCCGGTAATCGGCGACGTTGTAGCTCATCACTTGCCAGTTTGGGAAGCCGAACTTGGATTTCGCCGTCTCCTTGTCTTCGATCAGCTCAGTGGCCGTTTTCAGAGCGTCATCCGACGCTGAAGCGACGTCGGTCGTCGTGTTGGCTCGCAGCTGCTTCGTCTTGCTGCGCAGAATCGGTATGTAGATCTTGGAGAGGACCTTGAACTTGAGAACGAAGACCAGAAGGATGCGCATCAACAACTCCCGTCCCTGCGTGCTGTTCTCCGCGTCCGCCCGGTGACGCACCGTGTCTACGAGATTCATTAGCAGTTTGCAGGAAACCATTTGCACAGTCGTGGGTAGGCTCGGGTCGAGCAGATTCTTGCTGTACAGGTGCACGGCGTGAGACACGTCAGAGAGGGGCAACAGCATCCTAACGTGGTGGACCAGGTCGGCGAGAGTGGAGTAAGCCAACGGGCGGAGCGCCTCCTGAGTCGTCCAGCCGTGGCCGATGAAGATGTCCTCGTTGAAGAAGTATTCCATGTGTGGGATGAACTGGTTCCGCAGGTCCGTCGCGAGGATATGCCGCGACGCGATCACCAGTTCCTTTCGCAGATGAGCAACTTCCATGGGACACAACGTGAACAAGCCGAGGATGCCCTTCACCAACATCTGGCTGTGTTGGGTTATCACTTCTTGGTACACTCTGATCACGTAAGCTAGGAATGATAGGGTTTTGATCTGCGCCCCCATGAAGTCAACGAAGACTTCCTTGTTGAAGCCGGGTGAAGCGCGATGCTGAGGACTCGGCTGCAACGATATGGTCGTTATGACGATCGGAATGAAGTCCGACACGTCCTGAAGGACGTTTTGCTTGTACAGCTGGTTCATCAGCACCACGATTATCGGCAGTTCCTGAAGCACTTTCAACGACATCACCGCTTTCGGAATCAAGTTGTACTGAAAAAAAGGCCGATTTACTTCGACTTTTATTTTACACGCAGTGTGCTTAGGATTGTGTACAAAAAAAAAAACAATAGCGCTCAGAGAGGCGAAAAAAAAATCTGGTGCCATTATTTTTTATTTTTTTAATTTAATATTGTAAACAGCCTGCGAGGATTTTAATACTGGTGAAGTTTATTTTAACTTGTATAATAAAAATTAGTAAGCTAAAGTTAGCATATTTTTTTAAACATATTTAAATTAAAAGTTGATTCATTTAAAATTAACTAGGAAATTAAAAGTTACTAACTTTTTAATTTAACTTTGAACCGATTAATTAGTTATTATCCAACCCTGAGCATGAATAATACAGGAACACACTAGAATAGCTTCTATGTGAATTCGCTAATAATAAGTGAATAAACAAATGAATATACTTACCGTTAATACAGTGCCGTCAGCTGCTTTCTTCTCACTTTGTATCGCCGTAATGGTAAATGTTTCCTTCAGCAAAGCTTCTATGTTGATCTCCGACAGATCCTTCACGCGAAGAGGCGGACGTGGTTCGAATATTTTTGGCAAATTCTTTGGTAACTCACTGTACACTGATTTGACAAATTGCAGGAAATATTGTATCTACAAGACAAATACAACGGTAAGACCGATTCCTAACATTATCTAATTTATCGTTGTATTATTTATTTATATATTATACTATATAAATTATCCAAACTCTACAACTTTTATCCGAAACATTTAATTCTATTCTGTTTTATTTTTATCACATTAAGGTGTCTCAATTTAAATATCCCAGCATGTAAAATAGAGAGAAAGAGGAGGAGGAAAAAGCAACGTTACTTACTTCTGGATTAAAAGTAGGCTTGTATTGTTTGTGAAGCTCAATAATGATGCGTAAGCACACCAAGACGTTTTCTTCATTGTCTGTTTCCAGCAATTTAGAGATAAGAGTCAAGATCTGTCTAACGTATGGACGCAGGTACTCATTGCTGGGTAATCTGTGTATCATCTCCAGTATCAGTTTTCTGACTTGCTGAATGTTATACTCCGATATGAAATGCGGCTCTCCTTCTTGCAATATCTTCAAGAAGATCTTCATCATATGGTCAAGAAACGCTGGATATTGCGCCGAACACATGATGATCTGTACGAATTAAATATCTCTTCAATGCATATCATTCTTAATTGACGGATTGCTCGAAAATTTGTTGAAAAAAAAAAAAATCCTAGATATATAGTTGGCACCGCCTTTGTCCGCCTACCTCAAAATTTTCCGACAGTTCTTGAGCTGCCTTCAGTTTCAGTTCATCCTTCGACACTGGATCGGCCAGCATGGTCACGTACGAACGATATGTATTCATTTGCGTCAGCGGATCGGGCGCCATTTTGATTATTATGGTGAATCCTTGTTAAGTATTATAAATAATCCATAGAAAAGAGCTGTGTACATAAAAAAAAAATATATATATATATATACATATGTATGTATATACACACAGAATGTCCCAAACTAATCTTGATTCCCGTGGTGTGCAAATGGAAGGGCTGAAACTGAGTAGAAAAATCCTATACCATTTTGCAAATAACACGCAAAATTTCGAATTATCAGTGATCGAAAATGGTCAAGTATAGAGGCTTCTTTAATTAATAACTCAAAAATTGCGTGTTATTTGCAAAAAATAGTATAATATAATATAATACTTTTCTGCTCAGCTTCACCCGTTCTACTTGCACACTACGAGAACCAAGATTAGTTTGAGACACTCTGCATATATACATATAAGACAATATATGTATGTACATTTATATTTATATCCGACACAAAAATGCCAAACTGTCGGAAAGTATATACACGTGCCTTGAAATCAATGCAATCTCTCTCTCTCTCTCTACGTCGAGTAAACAAGCCTTAGCAACCGCTTCGGTGCGCTAAAATCTCTCTACTTTGCATAATGTTGCGTATAATTATATTTTGAACAAATCTTTCGTATAATAAACTGTGGATGATATAACAGTGATCTAGCAAATTGTCACGAGTGATTTAAGAATATCCTATAAAATAAAACACTCAGATGAAACCTCAAACACTCCGTATCGCTCTCGAATTTCCGCACTTTATTATAGATATATAAGCCACATGGTAACGCGCTTGGTGGTTGGTCTCAGTCTATCGGCATTGTTGCGAGCGACGAGATGTGAAATCGATCGATGTAGATATTTTTCCGTCTACAACAAATTTCTCGCAAGAAAAAGTGCGGAAAGCGATTAAAAAAAAATGGACGAAACGACGATCGATTCGATCTTCTCGGGATCGTTGAAGTCCTTACCGCCGGTCAGCTCGAAAATCGTGCGGATTTTCACGAGTTCGACCTTCACCGGTAAGTTATTTCTTAATATATTCAGAATAGTGGAGAAAATAATAGAAGATGAATGATATATAATAAGATATATAATCTGATACCGAGACGAGAGACGGAAAATTACAGAGTGTCAGCAAATTTGAATATGAAGGATAACGACGAGCTGAATTTCAGACACAACAATGGAAAGAAACACCTTGATGGCCCAATGTTACCCCAAACTGAAGGATTACTGCAGAGAGAAGCATGGTTTGGAGTTTCAGGTAAGATTCAACACGGCAAAGGTAACGATTGGTTGGCGCTGTTTGAGCGAGCGAACTTATTTCTACGTAATTCCGAACGTATCTATATGTAATTTCGAACGTATCTCTACGTAAATATACACAAAAGGTATGTTATATATCCCGACGGAGACATTGATTTTTCACCGTGCCAGGCACCGATATTACAGAAGTATGATTCAATCTCTCGATGTTAATTCATGATAAGGATTGAATCGAACCTTGTCTGAATTGCCTTCAAATCGTACACTTGAGACAATCAGTGACACTCAAACGTCCTTTAATTACCGTCTAATAAGCAACAGCTGTCTTATCGCTATTAGCGTGCGAATCCTTCGCGATCTCATGTCGAGTTCGATTCAACGGTAGTATTTTATTCTAGCCCCGTCCTACGTCGAGGCTAAATCGACGTCAAATTTCAATCAGATGGAAAATAACAAGTGAAGTCCCGACGTTGGTATCGGAACGAACAATATTTAACAACTTTGAACGTTTTCAATGTATTAAAGATTAAAATTGGGCTTAAAATTATGCTCTCTACCACGAGACGAGAAGCGTTTGAGGAATGCGCAGCGCCGGCATTCCATGTATGACTCCATGGGTTATGAGAAGCAAAAATAACTTTAGTAGATAGTAAATCAACAAAAAATTTTAACCAACAGAATCTTAATCAACAGAAAAAATTAATACGAGGAAAGTCTTTTATATAGCTTTAGAATAGCTGCCTGAGGTAAGATTAATACTTGCGATCTTGTAAAAACAATTCTATCCGAAACTTTGAATACCTTTTTCTCGAGATACGTTTTTCAAAATTCGTGTGATTTTTCAAAATTGTGAGAAAACTATTTCGTCGATTGTTTTCTACTTTTACACCTTCAATATACTTTTCTAAGGTATAAGTCTCAGATTTTATCATATTCCAAAAAATTAATGACTTTTGTGGCCTATTCAAGACCTATTTTTTAGGCAAAAATCAGAATTTTTTATTTAATCTGACGCCATTTTATTATTTTTCCTGAGCTTCCTTTGACCTTCGCTGAGGTTCATTCCCTTTTTCAATTACTTATTAATGAGAATTTTGAGGGATTTCTGTTTCAGATTATCCAAAGCCGAAATATCCTGCACACCGCAGAGCGCTTCTTTTCAACGCTCATAACTTTTTTATTAATGAAAATATTTTGCACCAAATTTTTATGACACATAATTAAATATACATAGAATATATCTACCAAAGCCCGTGAAAATCCGTCGTGCAGATTTTTTAATTAAAAAATTTCCGAATATATCCTTGTTCTTTATTCCAAGTGAGAAGCCTCTTAATTAAAGCATTGCATAATTATTGATAGAAATCAATAACTACAGTGAGAAGATATTAAAAATATTGGAAAAAAGGTTAATACAGAAATTTCCATTGAACAAAATCGTAAGGTTGAATTTCTCTTCGACAGGTAGTCGATATGAGGTGGGGAGTGCGCGACGAAGCTACCGACGATCACATGACTACGGAGCTGTGTATGAGGGAAATAGAAAACTGTCAGAGATTATCCATGGGACCGAATTTCGTTGTGAGTAAATAATATTAATCCTCTCGAAGGTTTCGCCCTTAGAAAAAAATGCAGTTACATCGATAGAACTAGTTAACAGCGTCGTAATTGAATGAATATATTACAGGATATTTCATATTTTGTTGCTGAAAAATATGAGAATAAAAAGTGAAATATCTCAAAAAGTATTCATTTTTCGATGATCTTACCCTGGTACTTTTATACGCCGAATAAATAGAGAAATTGATATGTGTTAACACATCGCATGCGGGTATATTTCGCCGCGGACTTACGCGTGTAGCGGGCGTTCTTTCGTGAATTTCGCGGGAGTTTGGTATTCAGTAAAATCGCAATAAATCGATAACTACTTCGTTTTTCTCAACGAAACTTTTTTTATTTTATACTTAACCCTTATCGGACGCTAGCTTTTATGCGCGATTCTCACTAGGTTGTAGCTGGTTTCAGCCTACAAGAGAATGTCGTATCTAATTAATTCCTATACCTGTAATAACATGTTAAATATTTACTGACTTTTTATGAGTTTCAGCCTTTCTATCCCNCCCCCCCCCCCCCCTAAAAAGTGTAACAGCATTTTTTTCTTTCACACAGGTATTTCTCGGGCAAAAATACGGATATCGTCCGATACCGACGTACGTGCTCAGCTCGGAACTGGAGATGCTCAGAACGGAATTGGACAATCAGGGGATGGACGTCACTCTTCTGGACAAATGGTACAAAAAGGACAGCAATGCTGTGCCGCCTACCAGCATATTGCAACCGATCTCGTCCATCCTTAAGAATTTCAACAATAAAGTAATCATTCCTTAAAATATTTATCTCAAACATACGTTTGACAATTCTAGTTTTTTTTCCAACTACAATACCAGTCATGACGACGGTCGTTGATTAATTATTCTCTCTTCTTATGTACAAATACATTTATATAATTTTCTGTTTGCGCACTTTCAAGAGAATACCCAAGCTGCAACAGGAAGACCAAGCGATCTGGTGGGACACCATGTTGAAGATGCAAAAACTGTTCAGAAAGGGAGCGCAATCCCTGTTCAATTCCGGCAAGTTCGACAAGAACACCATGCATAATTACTTCATGTCCGGTGTGTAAGAGAAACCTGATACATCTTGTATTATCCTGTGTCCGTTTCGATGGAATTACAGTAATCGTTGATTTCGAAACAGTTACTGAAAGGGAGGTGATCAACGGCGTGTTGAACGTGAAAAACACCAAAAACCACTGTCTGGCGTATGTGCGATACATAAACAACATTAATCTGCAAAACCTACGGAAGGCCAGCCTGTTCTTGGACATAGCTAACAGAAGCTTGGACAACGAAGCCTCGAAATTATTGGCGGACCTCAGGGACGAAAGACTACCGAATAAAATTGAGAGCACGAACTTGCAGAGGTGCGTTTCTTTCAGTAATTTCATAAGAGACGCGCAACTTCGTTCAACTACTTGCAGTGTTTGCCTCAGATGATTTCAGATTCATTTAGATGATGATGAAAGTCCGAAAAATTCATCTTGATGAGATGAAAGTGATTTTGCTTTTGATTTATCTCGATGAAAGATTAGGTAGATATCGACTACTTGACTGTATGAACAACGTTGCACAGGTACACCGTGGAATGGATCGGAAGAGAGGGTTTGGATCCTGAGACTCACAGCGAGTACCTGCAGCACTTTATAACACACTTTTACAGAAACATAGTGAAGCTCGTGGACCGTGCCATGAGGAAGGAAGACAGCTCCGCGCAGGGACAGATAATAACGGAGATCTTGCAACACCTTCATGCTTGCAACAATTCCGTGAAGGTGAGATACGTAGAGTGCCAGGTGGAATCGATTGCGAGAAAAAAAACATAAAGAAACTTGAAAAAAATTCGTTACATTTTGCAAATGCATTGATGCATCAACGTTCAATGATTGATAGTGTGTTATCAATCGATTTGTTTCGTGTTTTTACGTACAAAAGTATCAAGAAGACATTCGTCGAGAAGTGAATACTTCAAGAGATATTTTATATCTTACATTAAAAAGACAAATTAAAATATAAAATGTCTCAAAAAATATTCATTTTCCAATGATCTTACTTTAATACTTTTATACATAAAATGATTAGAGGAACCGATTTATGTCTAAAGAACTGTAATTTTATTTAGAAAATTCATGTTGACCTTGATCTGATTTTGATAATGCCATCCAAGGTCAGGTGAATACGGCCATTAAAAATGCACCTATTTAAACTTTGCAACTTGTATTTCTAACATTTCTTCGCTAAAATGCGTATTTTCTGAACTATTGAGTTCTGGCACTTTTCGTACACCCTGTATATAATAATAAGAAGTTCATGATTTTAATGTAATTCTCTCTCTCTCTCTCTCTTTCTCTCTCTCTCTCTCTCTCTGCTATCATTGGATATTCTAATATTCTTGCGACATTGATCTCTGTAGATCATTTTGTGTTTTTGTAGACAGAATGTGTTTCATGTAGGTATTTTATGGACGCGAGGATACCTTGGAGAAGATAAAAAACTACATGCTGGGTGACAGTGATAAGCCGCTGGTGTTATATGGAGAAGGCGGTTGCGGTAAGACCTCTCTGTTAGCAAAAAGCGCAGGTTTGACCAGCAGCAGCTGGCTCATGGGCAAGAAACCGATCAGTATAATTCGATTTCTGGGGACTACCCCCGACAGCAGTGCGCTCACCCCTACACTGATTTCGATTTGTCAACAGGTAAACAGATTTCGCACTTCACTTACACTCCTCGTCACTTTGAGAGGGGGATAAATGTTCAGAGAAAGTCACTCACCGATTCTTTTGAAATTTATATATATATACAGGGTGGTCGAAATGTTCCGGGACGGCTGAATATTTTGGAAAATATACATTTTTAAGAAGGACACCTTGTATGTTAATCTCAAAAGAATCAGCGAAGTGTGATCTTTTTCTAAATATTTATCAAAGGAGGAAATCGAATTTCTTCGTCTCTGTGTTCTCAGATCTCGTACAATTACGGATTATCGTTTGAAGAAATCCCTGACGATCTGGTGCCGCTCACGGCTTACTTCAAGTACTTATTGACTTTAGCTAACACCGATCAGCCCATTCTATTGTTTCTAGACAGTGTCGATCAGTTGACGGGTGTGCAGGGCAATAAGTTGTCGTGGTTACCCACGAGACTTCCGGCGAACTGCAAGGTAGACACGAATACAATTAGCAATTTAGTGTCGAATTAATAAAAACTGGCAATGTTGTAACGGTCAACAAATCGGTCCGTTTAGAAATAGTGGAGTTCAATCGCTAGATATGCAACTGCAATCAGAGTTTGTCGGTATCTACATACAATTATCTAAATAATCATCCAGATGAATAAATAGATCATCTTTATCTAAATGGAAGAAATACAACAATATATTCATTTTCATCTTAGAGAAAAAAAAAACATGTTATCTCATCTAAAAATGATCTGAAACGATGTTACGGTTATTATTCTATTCGGTCTATATTCCGAATTCACTTTTCGATCAAATGAATGAAATAATATAGGTATATGCGTTAAGCCCGTATCAAACTAGGGGATGGAGATTTGATTTCAACGAATCAACAAATTTCGGTTTTGTCTCCTCTGGTCCGTTCTTTTTAGCTGCACTGCTGCACTGGTGCAATAAGTTAGAGCTAGACAAAAATATACCTGTCTAACTTATTGCAGCAATTCAGTAGTGCAACGAAAAAGAACAGACCATTTGTTTTGATTGATCAATCCACTTTAACCCCGTATCAAACTGTCGACTGTGAGTGAGCAGTCAATGATTATTGGTCTTTTTTGTTAGATCCTTAAATGGAGAGCTATTACGTTGATGAATTACTTAATCGTTGTGCAATTTTATGATCTGTGTGATTGTTATAATAAATTTTTATATAGTCTCTCATGAAAACAATGCCATCTAGAAAATTATCTAGATAAGTAGCGCTACTTATCTTCCATCTTGATAAATCAAAAGCAAAATCATTTTCATCTCATCTAAGATGAATTTTTTGGATTTTCATTTCACCTTCATATAAATGAATCTAAAATAATCATCTAAAGTAAACGCTGATTAAAAGCTGCAACATCTGTCAATCCAGCCTACTTCTGGATAGAAAATCGACTTCTCTGGCCTTGAAAATATAGACTTTGTTATTTTTCCCTCTCTGGAAATTGTTACTGTAAACTAATCATTGGACTGCTCTGTTCAGATGATTTTGTCGTGCGCGGCGGAGGAATCGAACCCGGTGATTTCAAGGGACTACCAGCTCCTACGCAGGATGATTGACACCGAGGAAAGCTTTATTGAGGTGACCGCTCTGGGCGAAGACTTAGCTATGGATGTGATAAGGTGAAGACAAACGAACGTCAAAGACGCGTATCTTTTCTCGATTTCCTCACGCATATCTCTAACTTTTTCGCGTACATCACGAAATGCGTAAACTTGTTCAAGCCCTTTGAAGCATACATTTTTCCTCACGCTTATTTTCTATCGAATTTGGTACTTGGCGGTTTTTGGGGTCGCTGATCACGAATCTTGAGTCAAAACAGAAAATTTGTGTTCGTAACTACCATTACCAGTACCGGCTCTTGTTAGCCTCTTTCAATTACTCAAGGATTGTTCATTTTATCATTCTTCTCTTTTGATCGTTATTTTGAATTGAGTGATCGTTTAAGTGATCGTCACTGTTGAAACCGGCTCGTTATTACCGCCTTTCCTTAATTTTTGAACGTTTCACGTGGAACAATTCCCATAGAATGTGGATGAAGACGGCCAGGAGGGATCTGAACAACTACCAGTGGCGTTTGGTGGCGAACGCGATATCGAAGTGTTCCCTGCCGATCTTCGTGAAGCTCGTGTTCGCGGAGATCTGCAGGTGGCGCAGCTACACGAAACCGGCGGACACCCACTTGGCCAGCACGGTGATGGACAGCATAATGATGCTGTTCGAGAGGATCGAGAAGCAACACGGCAAGATCCTGGTATTCCACGCATTGGCCTACATCACAGCCGCTAAATCGGGCCTGTCGGAGTCCGAGCTCGAGGATTTGATCTCTCTGGACGACAAGGTCCTGGACGACGTCTATCAGTACCATTTGCCGCCGGTGAGACGTATTCCCCCCCTGCTCTGGACCCGAATAAGGAACGACCTGCCGAATTATCTGAGCGAAAGGGAGGCGGACGGTGTGAGCGTGCTGAACTGGTACCACAGGCAATTCAGGGACACCGCTAAGGAGCGTTATTTCAAAAACATGAATATGGCCATGTATTTCCATTCGATGATCGCGGATTATTATCTGGGGATTTGGGGCGGTGGCAAGCCGAAGCCTTTCAAGTACACGGAGATACAGAGACACCGGTAAATGTGCATCGACCTCAGTGTTGTCGTATCATATAATCAGTGTTTGCCTTAGATGATCTCAAAATCATCTAGATTAAGATGAGATGAAAATTCGAAAGATTCATCTTAGATGAAGTGAAGATGGCCGCCTTTGCTTTATCTAGATGAAAGATAAGCAGCGCTACTTGTCTAAATCATTTTTAGATAATATTGTTTTCATGAAGGACTTTATAAAAATTTATGATAAAAATCACGCAGATCATAAAATTGCACAATGGTTAAGTAATTCGTCAACGTAGTGGCTCTCAATTGAAGGATCTAACAAAAAAGACCAATAATCATTGATTGCTCACTCACAGTCGACAGTTTGAAACGAGCTTAAGATGGATTGATCAATTGAAACAAATGGTCTGTCCTCTTTAGCTGCACTGCTGAAATTAATGCAATACGTAAGAGTGAAACAAAATATATTTGTCTCACTCTAACTTATTTCAACAGTTCGGCAGTGCGGCTAAAAAGAACAGACCGAAGGAGACAAAACCAAAATTTGTTGAATTGTTGAAATTTAATCCAATTCCTAGTCTGATGTGGGCTTAACGTAAAGGTCCATATTATTTCATTCATTTGATCGAAAAGTAGAATATGAACGATAACATTATTTCAGATAATTTGTAGATGAGATAACACGTTTTTATCTAACATTAAGATGAATGTATTTTGTATTTCTTCCATCTAGATAAAGATAAAGATCTACCTATTCATCTGGATAATTATTTAGATAATTTTACCTATAATAGATACTGGCAAACACTGATGATAACAAATCTCACGTTAATTGAATAAATTAAGGCTCTGTTGATCTGTGAATTATGTAAATAATTAATTACTTTTAATTAATTATCGTATTTAATTGACGATTAGCATGAGCCGTTAATTCAAAGGCCATTTAATTAACGACTGATTACAACAAATTCAATCGAAGATCATTTAATTGACGACTGATGTCAATAAATTCATTAGAGATTACATAGAGATCTGTGCTTGGCTTTTACAGAGCGATAATGAAAGAAACCAAAAACGTTATTTTTATTCAATCAATATTCAGTATACTCAAGATAAAATTACAAATGTCCAGACGTTTTGACCCTGAAATCTCACATAATCACAATTTATAGGTTCAATTTGACGGACAAGGAAGGTGTGGCGGATAGAAAAGTGCCGGAACAGCCGTTGGCCTTTTACTCGAAGGAAGGGACTATCTCGAGATATAACTTACGAAAGGTATACTATAAAAGATATCCTCGAACACGATTGACAAAAACCTGCCAATGCCTCTCTCACAATTGCAGTTCGGAGAATTGCCATTTCACCTTGTGAGGGCGCGACGTTTCAAGGATCTGTTCGAGAACGTTTTATTCAACTACGAATGGCTGCATGCCAAATTGAGCTCTTGCCCTCTGCAAGCTGTGCTTTCCGACTTTGAGGATGCTTGCAACTTCATCGACAACCAGGGTTTAGTGAGGCGAGTCGTCGAGAAAATTCTTTCAGATTCTTATATCTTATATCTTGCTTATAAAGAGATACCTTAGTCTCTTTTTAATATTCTTTAAATGCCTCATAGATTTTTGGGTTTCCAATATTAATTGTATAACCGGAAGCGTGTGTATCCTTTCAGAGAACTCATGTTAGTGGCCGATGCTTTGAGATTGGGTGGCGCAATTCTGGGGAATCACCCGGACATGCTGGCGCCCCAATTGATCGGCCGACTGCTGCCGGAGATCGGCGCGAACGTTAACGTGAGGATGTTGCTCCGGGCATGCGATCACGACGGTGTCAAGGATTGCGCGTTACTTCCTCTCTACCATTGTTTACACACACCGGGCGGACCGTTAAAGGTAATCCATCTAACCAACCAAAATCCTCATTTGCCCAATTAATAATAATTTTTCCCCCGTTTCACGAATCGATTGACGAACGATCTTTCGATTCCCTCGTTCGGTCGCCATTCATTTCTCAGATTTCATTTCGATAATGTTGCTCTCTACTCCAGTACTCGCTGGAGGGTCACCAGTTCGCGGTGTTTGGATTTTGTCTGACGTCGGATTACCGCTACGTGGTGTCGATATCAAACAAATTTATCACCTGGGATCTGAGCACCAGCGACATGACGAGAGACGTCAATCCCGGCGTGGAGGGCATAATGCAACAATTGGTCCTGAGTCCCGACAACAGATACGCCGCGGCATTTACGACAAATCACCAGGTACAGTATTTGTAGATGCGGTACATCAACTATTGATTCACACCAAGGACCCGGGCCGAAAATATCAGTTCCGGTCTATTAAAATATTTAATAAAGGTTCCGGTTTCGGTCCCGGTTTTCTGGAAAATGTAAGTACCGATACCGTTTAGATTATGGTTCTTTACAGTTCCGGTTCTTGAAACTTGTTTCTTCACTGAAATTGTTACTGAATTATGCGTATAAATAAATAAATAAATAAATAAATAAATATATATATATTTTTTTTTTCCATTGACACACCATTTTCAAAATATTTAGGTTTAAGTTAAAATGGGACACCCTATATATATGTATATATATATATATTAAACATAAATATTTTGAAAATGGTGTATCAATAGATAAAATTATGTAGATTCTGAGAATATTCAGAAAGTATCTCAATAATCTCCGAACATTTTCAGAATATATATGTTCCGTTAGGATACGTTCCGTTAGGATAATTTGTTAGGGTAATTTGTACAATTCAGGATAATTGTTTTTCTATTCATCCTAAAATTGTAATATATTACTTCTTCTATTAATCCTCTTCTATTTAATATCGTATGTTTGAAGTTTATTTTCTATTTTTCGCAATAACCAATCAATGTGCTGTTTTTTGCGAGAACTAGAATTTTATGAAATGAAAAAAAAAAACGACTATTTCAAATCATGGAATAAGAACCGAAATAATGAACCGAGAAGAACCGTAAACCGAAAAAAATGTAACGGTTCCGATTCTATAGGCTTTGTAAAATTTCGATTTACGGTTCCGGTCTAATAAAAATATCAGTTTCCATACGGTTTTCGTTTCCGGTTCCGGGTCTCTGATTTACACCGACGAAGTCGACGGAACACACGTGAAGACCAAACTTGTGACTTGATTTGTAATCTCTCGTAGACGGTCGTGTTGAACACCTTGACGAGCGAATTCGTCGTCATCGATAATCCTTTGCCGAACGAGGACGCGGTGTGCGGCGTGTATCTGATGAACCAGTACGCCTTCATTTGCGGTAAGCTGGGCTGGTGCAGGTTCGACTTACGAGGGAACCTGCTGGACACTCACACCAATCCCGAAGACTCCAACAAGTGGCCGATTCTACGTAAGAAGTGAACTTTTTACACATCACGTACGTAGGTATCTCTTATGTCACGTGTTCCTCGTTCTAACATTCCTATGTAGATGTGGAGTACACGGATTTGGACCACTACAGAATCGTATTCTGGTCGGGAAGCATCAACGATACGCGTATGCTCTTGCATACTTACAAAAAGAAAATATCGCTGGATCCATTTCAGTTTCACAGGTACGACATACAGAGAAGAAATGTGAGACTCGCGTTAATCTTGTCCACCGTTAACGCTTTATGCTGTAAATCTTTTGTTCAGTTTTGTTAAAATATTCGGTTCCGGTTCGGTCCCCGGCTCTAATTGATTCTGCGTCAAATTCGGATAGCCCCCAAAGACGCATTAATCGGCTTATCGGATCCGCACAACGCGTCTGACAGATAAAGCGACTCTCCAACGATTTTTCGGGATTAAGGAGAACTCATAAATCACGCGCTTCTCTTCGCTACAGCTCTTCAAACATAACTCGTAACGGGTCTAACCCGTAAAACGAAAGTCGAAGAAACATTCATAACAGCCAGAGCCATCTTTTGAAAACGGACCGAACTAATTTGTACTCCCAATATTAATAAAAATTTTTTCTTTCAATCATTCTCATTACTTTTGGGACACACCTCGTGTGTCGATGGCCGACCCTAACGAACAAATTGGTAGAGAAGAACGAGATGAAGCAACGATCGCGTCCGAAAATTCACCAAGTCCAAATTCGATTGGCGAAAAAAAAATTCCTTTCAGCGCTATGGTTATGAACAAGAACAAGGATACCTTGTACGCGTGCACGAACCAAGACGACTACAGGATTACCAAGTACAGCAACGACGAGATATCGTCTTACTGGGAGAAGATCTTCGACATGCCCCGGGCGTACAACGATGACGTGGAGTATCTATTGCAGCTGAAGTTGGATCGAGAGGAAGAGATGCTGTTGGCGACCACGGGAAACGGCTTCATCGTATGGTTCCTGGAGAGTAAAAGCGACGCGCACGTATTGATGCTGCCGAATGGCGTGAGGAACATCAGCACCAGGATGATGTGCTCGAATTCCATCATGATCAGCGGCACGAAGAACTACGCTGTCGCTGGTGTAAGGTGGGTGTGCTTGTGTAAGGTGTCCTATGAGTGTACAGACACTCCTAGGTGCGTTAACCCTTAGAAGCATGGTGAGAAGTACACTTCTCACTTTTTTATTTTCAGATTTTTGCCAATAAAATTGTTATTGCTATATCTGAATTGTTTTTTTTTTTATTTTTCTAGTATCTTAGGGATGGGTGAAAATGTAAAAAATTTGCCAAGACAGACATCTTGTTAACCGCAAAAGTATTGTAAATAATCAAATTTTAAAAAATGCCTGTGTTTTCATAGAAAATACATTTTCCAGCGACTTTTCTCAAATTTAGGTGTTAAAACTTGCAAATAGGGTCTTTTCAGGTCGCTGATTACGAATCTGATATCAGATTTAAAAGATTTTCAAAGTCCAAAATGGCGGTCTAATATGGCGGACTGAAATTGCAACAAATTGAGCAATTCTCTTCAGATGTGGTATCCAGGGGATTTTCAGTTCGTTGATTAGATTTTAAAAATCTTTCAATTTTGATCTCAGATTCAGTCACCCCCAAAACTCCCGGGTACCAAATTTGATGAAAAATAAGCGGGAGGAAAAAAGTGTGCTTCAAAAGGTTAACACATTGATTGCCGGTCTGACTTTCATCGATTGTATAGAAACCTGACTGATGATTAAAATATTAAAAATACGACATGCAAATGTAATTTGAGACATTATATCCTTCACCTCATTGTATTGACTCTATATTGACTGACCGAGCCATTTTTTGATAAATGCAATTAGTTATATATTTTATATGTAACTTAGTAAGAAAAAATCTGACATTCAGTGTGTTAAACTCTCACATAAATCGAAACATCAACAACAAATGTTAAATGTCGCCTGTCGTAGGAAAAATCTGTATGTTTGGTCGCTCGAAACTTCCGAGCTAGTGAAGATACTGGACGCGCACTTCGCGAGGATCATTCAATTGGAGGCGCTGACGATTGGCAACTGGAACAGCGTTGTGACGTCGAGCATCGACAGAAGCGTCAAAGTGTGGAATATCAACAACATTTTCGAGCAAGTTCACGTCATCGACAGACACGAACTGCAGATCGACATGATAAGGTAATACGATAATCGTACGGGTTATTCCAGGAGTGAATGCAAAGTTCCAGTTTGCAATAATCCGATAACATTCTTGGGGACAAGGAGAGATATCCTGAGAAATATCTTCAGTCGCTCTGAGTGGTGCGACAATTAATTGTTCTTGTTGCAAAACAGTTTAGCCGAGGAAGGCAATCTGGCCGTCACGGTCACCAGGGATTGCGTCGGCGTTTGGGACCTACAAACAGGCAGGCTGATATCGAAGCTGGCCGACAGCCCTTTAGGGGCTATCGTCACACACGCTTGCATCTCGCAGGACAGCAGGTGAGCTGAGTTTTCTATTCGGCGAAAGCTCAATAGAGGTAGGAACCTGGACCGAATAAAAATATCGGTCCGATTTCGGTACGATTTGCGGTTCCGGTCCGACAGAAATACCAGTTTCCATACGGTTTTTTTCGGCTTCGGTTCCTGACTAAAGATAACACACGTAGTGGAGTACAAATGAGGAAAGTAAAAACTGACACGTGAAAAACGCACACATCGACAAACTTCGTGCTTTAGATACATCGTGTCGACCGAATCGGGCAATGTTCTCGTGTGGAATAGAATCACGGAGCAGGTATTGTTCAAAGAGGAACAGCCTAGCGTCAAGCAATTGATGTTGATCGAAAACTCGTCGAAGTTCATGGCAGTCTCTAGGCCGAACAATCCCGCAGGAGTGGAGAACGTGCGAACCATGGCGACCCTCGTTATGCGAAGTATTCCTGGTAAGGCGAGAGAAGTCATAGATACTTTAACACAGCACGAAACCGCAATCCCTCGCACAGTGTCTTGATTAAAAACTGATATTTACTCAAGAGAATTGTAGGGGAGAAGTAGAGGAGAAGCACCAAAACTTATACAGGTATATTGTAAACCGACATATTTCTCGGCTATAAAGTACTGAATTCGGTCGGACGTGACATGAATTTCGATTACTTTCACGCACAGTAATTGAAGCTGAAGAATCGGGCTTTAAGGTTACTAACTGAGATATTGATGTGCTGTGAAAATGACATATTATCGTTTTTGGTGGTTTTCTCTTCTATTCCTGATAAGTCAATGAATGCATCTTCCACGTATCTACGTGTATTATAGATGGCAAAACGATTTTCTCTCTGGAGTATCCAGTAAGAAGCAACACCGGCACACCTTTCCGGCAGGTGGCCATAACATCCGATGACGCTTTCCTGGCGGTACCAGCGGCTGACAAGGGCAACAGAGATTGCATTGTGATTTACAGCGCCAAGGCAGGAGCGCTGATCAGCAAAATACCAATAAAGTTGCCTGGATTCAAGGTGACAATCATAGTAATCGTAATAATCGTAAAAACTATCGCTATCATGATGGAAATTCAACTTTGGACTATGAGAAATTAACTGTGAGAAATTCACGCTGACAGGATATCATACATATCACTCCTATGCCTAACAAATCGCAATGGGTGGGAATCATCGGCTCCGACAAGGGTATGATTCTCGACATTAATAAGAAAAAAGTTTTACGTGCGATTCCAAAATGGAGTGGAAATATTAGCAAGGACGGCAAGTATACGCTATACGCTCCCAGCAGGTACGGAAGCTTTCAAGTTCGATCGTTATTAATGATGGTTGATCTTTTGGAAAAAAATCGATTTTTGAATCGGTCTTATATCGGAACAAAACCAGAGCCGATTTACCAAAACTGTCGATTTACAATCGGACTGAAGAAGTTGATTTCTCAAAAGCCGATCCAAAAATATTACATACGATGAGCACTGACATTATGTTTCTTCTTATTTTGAGCGCCTTCCGAGATTTTCAGTCGTAACCGTAAGTTTATAAGAACCAATCGCAGTAGATGATAAATTTGGCTTTGAATATTCTTCGATAAAAAGAAGAATAATCGATTATGATTAGTCAGTTTTCTCACAAACTTGCAGTTACGACTAAAAATTTGTTACGTGCAAAAATCTCGATCATTTGTCTGTACATTTTCGACGATAGACTAAATCTGACAACTCGTCTATAAATGTAACCCTGATAGGGAAATATTTAATAACACTGTTAATTGATTAAATATATGCATTAGAGGTGGTCTCGAGCTCATAGAACTGAAGAAAGGTACAAGCGTGAAGACATATATACCAAAGGTTGCTGAAGGAGTATTTACCGTTATATCAATGTTTAATCGCACAGACGAATACGTGCTTTACTATCACAGTGGTCGAAAAACTATTAGAGTCTTCAGGCAAGTATATGTTCGAAACTAATAAGTCTCAAAAGTAGACAATTTACACAAATTGTTAAAAGATGTTTTGTCTAAATCTAATGAATTCATACATTTAAGTCGAAAGGAGAAAATTTCAAATTTGCATGTATTTGCATTGTGGATTTTGTATTGTGTATTTATTTGCGGATAACATTCCACAGATCTTCGGACTGTGAAATGATATCGAATTATAGAGTACAAGCTGAATTGAGCGCCATCGATAGCACGTATGATGGCAAAAGTATCGTTTTGGGAACAGTCGATGGATGTGTGTCGGTATTGGCTATAGCTGACTCTAAAAAGCTTGAGATGAAAGAATACCTAGCAAACGTACCGTCTCGTGATGAACAGGTAAGAAACATTGACTAAGCGGGATCTACAATGAGAATTTAAGACGTAAGATTTAAGAAAATGACTAATCATAATTGATTTTTCTTCCATAACTCGACTGTGATTGGTCAATTTCTTAAATCTTACGCGTTAAATTCTTATTGTAGACCCCACTTAAGCTCTGGTCTACAATAAGTGCTTTAAGCTCTAAGCCTTAAGAAATTGGCCAATCACAATCGATTATTCTTCTCACATTCAACTATGATTGATCATTTTCTTAAGATTCAAAGCTTAAAATACCTATAGTAGAATGAAAGTGGAACAAACCGTGTTATTTGTAGCTTTGCTTCCGTTTATCTATAAAGCCTGAGTTGAGTAGTAACCAATTAATCAATTAGAAGTTAAATTAGAAAGTTACAAAGTTAATCATTTTCAGCTTAACTTCTAATTTAACTTTTAAAACGGGTTAATTTTTTACTTAAACTAGTTGGTTTTCAATTCTAACTTTTTAACACTTTTTTTCATATAAGTTAAAATATCTTTTCCATTATTACTTTTTAGTAAGGAACACAGAGAGAGAGAGAGAGAGAGAAAGAGGGAGAGAGAGAGAGAGAGAGAGAGAGAGAGAGAGAGAGAGAGAGAGACACACAAAGACTATATTAATATTAATAATTTTTTCCGTTATTTGGCTTTTAATTACTTTGAGTATGTTGTTATTATATTCGTCATGACTAACGTAGGTGTACAAAACAATAGTTCCATTAAAAAAGAACCTGAATATCATTTAGTTTTCGAGATATTTGACCTGGTACTTTTGAAATTTAACACCCTATATACATATATGTGTGTATGTATAAATAGTTTCGCATAATTAACTTCTAACTTCTAACTTTATGAAAAGTTCATTGAATTTCCAACTTAACTTTCAACTGAGTTATATTTTGTTTCTGTAAATTTAAACGTCAACTTAGTTATTTTCCAGGCGATTAACTGTTAACTTAATTTTAAAAAAATACTACCTGACTCGATCCTGCATAAAGCACTGTTACATCATTAATATGCAATAACACTAGCATGTAAAATTATAGCATTCTAAAGAATACCCTATAGTTTGTCTACAGAATTCTAGAATACCTTACGATAAAATTAACTCCTTTATGCGTTAAGATCAATGTACCGACCTGTGATATGCAACATACACTCTTTCTGCAATGTTATTTACATTGTAAAAGTAAACAATAAGATGTAAACAGTAGACAAATTAACCAACCACAGTCGATTTTGGAATTGTAGAGGAACAGTCAATTGTAGTTGGTCAATTGGTTTACTATTTGCGGTCTCACGTGTGTCATAAACGTAATATCAACAAAACATACATTTCACTTTGTTAATTACCGTAAGGAAAATTGAGTGAATTTATGAGTTACATGTATTGACGGTTGAAAAAAAACTATTTCGCGGTCACTTGTTATTCATGCAAGTTTTTGGCTCGAGAAGAAAGCAAATACCGCCCGAATAAACATTTTATTTTATCTCGCATTTCGTACATATATATATTATATTTTCATCGCCGCGGCATGTTTCAATTTAGGTTACTCGTGTGATCACATAACCTAGAATAATCGTTTATACTCACACACACGACAAACGTGGTACACACAAGCGTGTAAACTATTCTATGGTTTAAATTGTGAATAAATACTTACGTTCTTTCATCGACTTTTCCGCGAACGCATCTCTCGAAATCCTCGATCGCGGAACGCAAAACGATGTTGTAATATTTACAAGCGCACCCTACCAAATTAAATAAGGTTAGGTGTTACAAAGTATGTTTAGAACTGAACAGAGCAATTTTTAACCCTACATACACATTGCGTCACGTATGCCTTACTATTATATCTATGAATTTTACACGACTTTCGATCACCTTACGCATAAATAACGTATAAAATCGTGTAACTTTCGATTTAAAGATTGATTCAGGGCGCGCCGACTGTATGCTGTATAAGGTTAAAAATTGTAACTTTAATCAATTGTACTTACATTATGGTTTGCACTCGGAGAAATCTATTCTATTCTCAAGAACGCTGAATAACATCTGAAATAAATCATACTTTACAGTAATAATAAATAAGTATGTTCAGACTTGTAGTTCATGCACGATGTTAGGCATCGACAGTACTACCTGGAGAAGAAAAATTCTAGTGCCAATAAATGTATCAGATTCCATCGAGATGTACTGAACACTTGGGGTGCGTTCCGTTTCACACAAGTGAGCGCATTTATCATAGTCATGTTATACTATAAATGATATACATATATATGTGTGTGTGTGTGTGTGTGTGTGTGTGTAAGTGCACTCATTGCGTGCAATGGAAATATCCCGTTAAGCCCGTATCAGACTATGGATTAGAATTAAGATAGAATTAAAATTTAGCCAATCAAAGCAAGATTCATTAAACATTTAGATTAATGAACTTTGATTGATTAAATTTCAATCCAATCTCAATTCTAAGTGAAATCACGCAATGCGTAATAGAACTGCGAAACAGTATCAGACTATGGATCGGAGATTGTGATTGAATTTAATTTGGCCAATCAGTGCAAAGTTGAATGAATTCAAATTTAGTGAAATTAAGTGAACTTTACACTAATTGGTTAAATTTCAATTAAATCTCAATCTCTAATCCGTAGTCCGATACGGGCTTTAGTTCACGTTGCGATAGCATATATTAGAGTTAGACGATACAGTATCGATACATAGGGAAATAGGATTTTCCCCCAGAAAAATAAGGTTTTCCTCCACAAATTGCGGAGAAAACCTCTATTTTTCTGAGAGAAATGCTTATTTCCTTATGTGTCGATATTGTATCATCTAACTCTAGCACGCATCCACTTACATCAGCCGGTGCCTAAAATCTTTTCGCTGGATGACCAATTAGAAAATTTTATATTAAATTAGCCAATCACCTGCGTAGACTATCATAGCCAAACGGAACACACTTTTACATTTGCTAATTTTATTTCTATCGTATTCTTGCACTGTTTATAAAACTACAGGCCATATTTATAGTTGAATCTTACATTTAAAACCGTCTTAAAGTTTCATCTTCAGATGATCTGCAGCCAATGAAATGAATTGTACAGTATCAGAAGATAAATTTAAGACGATTTTTTGTATAAATTCCGAAGAATTTCTCAAATTTGACTCCGGATTTATATTCAGAGATCCAAAGAACACCTTATAGATAAGTTTTTATGTAAATTACGAAATTATTCGCTCTCACCGGTTTTGCCACAAAACGTTGGTTTTGGTCCACCAGTGAACTGGTTAAATAATTATGTATAAACAAATTTCATACATAATTTAATATAATTATGCATAGTTATGTATATTTATTCACGATTATATGTAAAATATTTTTTAACGAGTAATTTTTAGCAAAAAAACGTTTCTAGCGCTATCAGACGTCGCATTTCCTAAGTTTGCGGGAAATGCTTTTTATCATAAATTATATTATTTTACTGCTTAAAAAGTAAAAGGCCAAAGGTTTATTATACCTATTGTAAATTTGGACTTATTATTATTCAATGAATCATATAGCGTGGAAAATCTCGTGCTTGTATAATCAATCGACTAATTCACGTTACAGTGGAAGAGAAAAACCGAAAAGCATCGGGCTGCGATAAAGTTTAAGGCTGCCGCCCGGATCGCCCGTGTAGCACACGATTTATCCGCAATTGTGAAATCCTCGAACGTCACGGAAGTGATCGAGGAAGCGGATTAAGGCACAGAGTGATCCGTCTGATCGGCTGCGTCTATTTCTAGTTTCTGTTTAGGTGATATGAAGTAATTTAATCGATTACTTTTACTTTTAAGTTGATTTTTAGTTTAATTAAGATAATTTTTACCAAACTTAGATTGAATTAATCGACGAGTAATAATAATATTGTTGACACCATTTTTCAGACCTTCCACTTGTTATTCAACGATAATTGAAAAGTTAATCATTTCTATCTATATTAGCAAGCTGGAGCAGATAATATTTGATTGATAACAATGTATTCAACAATTGTATTCAGCAGAAAAATTCATGAATAATATTCATATAATATTCTAGGAATATTACGCACTTATAGAAAATGAACTTTCTAATTATTATTGAACAAATTGCAGAAATGACGACTGGCAATTCTTATTATTATTCACCGATTATCTCAATCTGAATTTTTGGCAAAAGTCATTCTTAGATGACACGTGATGCGACTTATCTAGTCACTTATTTCTATCTTTAGTCCTTTTCCAGTTTCTACTCAGCGCTAAACAAGCGGAATTCCTGTCTCTGTCGACGGCTCTACCTACAACAAACATCTAATCGATCTAACGATTATCAAGAAGAAAAAAGGCTAAACGCAAGTGAAGAACTACACGTGGCTACAGAATTTATATTACATTTATTTGTCTTTTCGTATAATTCTCCTTATAATTTCCCCCCTGCGCGCTCTTGCTTTCCATTTTCGCACCTATCGTCTTCCGATTCGAATGGTAAAAGGATGCGAGACGAATTTGGTTTTTCTTTCTTCGAGCACGACGGCACCACAAATGTTCAGGGTTTTTTCGGACTTCATTTATCCCAATAAGTGTGTGTGTGTGTGTATGCCACTGGGTATACAAAAAAAAGAAGGAAAGTTAACGAGGAATCACGAAAACACTGCACAAATACATCTCATCTATTCGCCCTTGTCTATTCGGCGAAAGCGCAATATACCGCCGATACCATCGTCAACATCTTTCACCGACTGATTCTTAGGATCCTTAGGATCTTCTTGAAGAAAAGAACGATTTCTCTGCGACCTTCGATCTCGAGGAGGCTCCCTTTCCTTCTCCGTTTTAGATGATTCTTATTAGTCTGTATTACGGATCGTAATCAAGTAAGCACGCTGCATTAGTCGAGTGATATTTGCCGCTCTTCTGGACCGAAAACGGCCAGAAGAGGGGATGCTTCCTCGAAACGTAAAAATCGTGCGCGATTTTTGATATTTTATTGAAATTCTAAGAAATTTTCAAAAGAGAGAGAGAGAGAGAGAAAGAGAGAAAGAGAGAGATTCAACAGAATAAGAAAGATCTCTCTACCTCGATCGCTTCGCGAGTTGCGATCGTAAAAAGCAGCACTCGAGTTCTTGCGTGAGTCGAACGAGTCTCGGTTTTCGTAAATTAGATTTTTTTGCGGCTCGACACGTGCAAGGGGTACGTGAAGAGCGCGTAATCGAAAGCGCTTCGTACCTCGTGCCTCGTCAAATAATAGATCGTACAATATTTGAGATATTTTATCGTCGGCAGTGTTTATCGGTATCTAGATAAAATTATCTAATTATAAATAATCATTCAAATGAATAAATATATCGTCTTTATCTTTATCTCGATGGAAGAAATACAAAATAAATTCATCTTCAATGTTAGATAAAAGAAACATGTCATCTCATCTAAAAATTATCTGAAACGATGTAAGGGTCCATATTCTGAATTCACTTTTCGATAAAACGAATGAAAGAATTTGGACCTATGTGTTAAGCCCGTATCAGATTAGGGATTGCAGATTAGATTTCAACGGATCAACAAATTTTGGTTTTGTCTCCTTCGGTCTGTTCTTTTTAGCCGCACTGCCGAACTGGTACTTCTAAAAAGAACAGACCGTTTATTTCAATTCCTCAATTCATTTTAAGCCCGTATCAAACTACCGACTTTGAATGAGCAGTCAATGATTATTGGTTTTTTTGTTAAATCCTTAAATTTAGAGCGACTACGTTGACGAATTATTTAACTGTTGTGCAATTTTATGATTTGCGTAATTTTTATTATAAATTTTTATAAAGTCTCTCATGAAAACAATGACATCTAAAAAATTATCTAAATAAGTAGCGCTACTTATCTTTCATCCAGATAAATCAAAAACAAAATCATCTTCATCTCGTCTAAGATGAATTTTTCGGATTTTCATCTCATCTTCATCCAGATGAATCTGAAATCATCCAAGGCAAACACTGGTTGTCGGTTAATTTCTGAAAAGTAAGAGTTCGCTGTGCCATATCGAACATAATGCGGAATCGCTTGTGAATCCGAGCTTCGGTATGGAGATGGGGATCGTCGCGATCGTATTCGAGCCGATCGTAAAACTAGTTTTCGCGAAATCAGGGTAAGATGCACGCTTGTTGCTAGTATTATGTCACGGATTATCGCTCCACTCTTGTGAAAAAAAAGTTTACTCGCCACTAGAATCACAACGTAAAGGTCCGCAGTGCGTATGTTAGGGTGGATCCAGACTGAGAGTATACGAACGCGAAGGAATACGAACAAATATTTGTTCACAAATATTTGTGAACGAGTTCGAATAAATGAGTGCAGGCGGCTAACGAACACACACACACGAACACAGATTGGACTATTCCTTGAAGTTTAGAAAAATAATCCAATCTCGTAAAAAACTCCCAATGGTGATAATATTAACGTTCCGCTGAACGCAGTTGATAATCAAAACGCACTTAGCACTTGTCGATGCCATTTGCGAGAAATTTTATCTAAGTATCTCTTTGTCTCGTGTCGTATAAGTTGAAAATATACCAATTATTATGTAATAAGTTTCACATCAAAACTTAACATAATTAGTTATAGTCTACAAGTTACTGCTTTAGACCCTAAGTATTAAGAAATTAACCAATCACAATCGAATTATAGAAGAACAATCTATTGTGATTACTCAATTTCTTAAGACTTGGAGCTTAAATTCTCATTGTAGACCCCGTTTTAGTCCCGGTCAATAATACGTGCTTTAAGCTCTAAGCTATAAGAAATCGACCAATCACAGTCGAATTGTAGAAGAAGAATCAATTATGATTGGTCGATTTCTCAAATCTTACACTTTAAATTCTCATTGTAGACCCCGCTTCAATCCTGGTCTACAGTAGATGCTTTAAGCCATAAGCCTTAAAAATCGACTAATCATATTCGAATTGTAGAAAAAAAATAAATTGTGATTGGTCAATTTCTCAAATCTTACGCCTTAAATTCTCATCGTAGACCCCACTTAATGAATATGATTTGTTGTCACTCGAATCAGTCAAACCGCCGTTCGACTTTTGCGGACTCGTTTTTGCGCGGTTAAATTTCCAGGCTGACGACTAATGTAATCACGAATTACGTACGTCCGACTGTATTTTATAAAATGCTGCACATGCGATACTATTAACAATACTCGGATCAGAATGTGAAATTTCTGTGTGTTTAACTTTGCACTTTGTATCTGTCTTTTCCTTTTTCATTCAACCAAACAGCTGGCGAGAGTTCGCTCAAAGATGTCCAGTTTCTTGCTATAGGCGCGCATTTCGCCTAAATCGCGCTGCCACAGCCTTCCGTTCGGAGTGCTTCGTTAACTTCTCCTCCCTATCTCGTCGACAAGATGGAACTTCCCGAATGTATTTCAGCGACTTCCATGTTGTAACGTAGTGCCTTTTTGGACCTTTATTGGAGTTCAGCTCCCTTCTGCGTCTGCTGTTGTAATTCCCGTTGTTGTTGAGCCTGCGCCGTATCTTTAATGTGTTTCTCAACCTGCGAACAATAAGAGAGAATCTAAAATAATACAAAATAGATCCGGAAACAATCTTTATGGAAAAAAAAAAATAAATATACTGAATATATATTGTGTAACTAAATAATACTTTTATGCGTTGTATCGAATTAGCAAATGGAATTAAAAACGAGCGAGAAAATAAAAATATAAATTACAAGGTGTTTAATTTCCTATATTTAGTTAAGATGTTAGTACAATTAATCCCTTTGTTCCTCGATAGCTACTTAAAGTTACGTTTCATTGACAGACAAAAGTGTCGCTCACTCATGAAGAATCCATTTCTCTACTAAGTACTTTAAGAAACACATTGATGCAACTGTCGTCCGTTAATCTTTTGGTGATGATCGTTGACTAAAGTCAAGAATCATCGGGCACTCACATATGTTTGATTATGTATATCTGATGTTATATTACTATATATTATAACATTTAATTTTATATATCCATTATTTATCTATTATCTATATTTATAATTCTATACTATTACATAGAGTATCCGATACCACAGATTGGCTGTATTTCGTATTATTTTATCACATATCAACAGAGCTTTATATAATTTGTTAATTTTCGAAATTTTGCGTTCGCAAAATGGCAGAGAACTTTTTCTTTACACTGATCTAAACTCTAAATATGTGATGGACACGACTCGCATCGGACACCCTGTATATCTAATATCTCTGATCACACAGTCAACAACTTAATTTCAAGCTACGCGTATATTTACTTACAACAAATTTCACACAGATTAAATCACAGATTGTCAAAATTCTCGCACGAATAGAAAACAAGTTCAACTGTACAATTTCTTAACTATGAAAGATCACGTATAAAAAATACGCTTATATTACCACTTTCTTCACATGTCTGTACGCCCCGGACTCGGCGTTCCCGTGAACGTTGTCGACCTTGTAGGGTGGCCTGATGGTGACATTATTGAACACAACGATATTCGCCCCGTTCCACGTAATGTCTTGGATAGTCTTTGAGATCGCGATAAACAGTTTTTGTCCCTCCGGCGATACTCCGGCCTGCAGTGCCATTACCAGTCTCTTCTTCTCCTCGATCTGATTACGCACCCGCGTGTTTAGCCTTTGCAGATTCAGGCTCTGTGGCGGTTCGTTCGTCGTCGCGCTCACCTCTCGTATCACTTGAACGTTGGACACGAGGGACAAATTCACTACGTGCACGTCGTTTAACGACGACCTGCCGCTCGTCGATGGGCATTCTAGGAGGACATCGTCGTTAAGGAAAGTATCCGATTGATAAAAATGATTACAAATGATGACAAGCAGATACATCAATACAGCGACCGACGATCGTACAGATTTGGAAGATCCGGAAAATCGGAATAAAACGCGATATCGAATCCTTTGAGCCGTCGAGAGAGAAAGAAGAAGCAACGTCACGGAGGACGTTTCTTCGTGAGATGCGAATCAAGAGGTGATCGATCAGGTGGAGATCAAACGAGCACAGCGAGCGCGTTCGGCGTGCTTTAAGAGGACGAAACTAACCTGACTCGAGCACGGGGGATCACCGGTTTACGGAGGGAGATTGCGAACGGACGACACTTTTGATAAGCGGAGTTGGTCGATGGAAGACGCCACGTCGGGAAACGCATCGCCCGTCGCGGATCGCTGTTATTTACACTGCATGTCTGGCGCATAGAGTGCCGCGCGCGAGCGCTCGCGAGCCGTCATTGGGATCGAATATCGGCCGAGTTGTAAATCCATCCGGTCGAAAAGGATACTGAGTATCAGCATTTTTGTCTGCGGGTCAAAGGCCAATACCTCGCCCTCGATTTCCTGATCGTGACATGTCTTACATACCACCGTGCTGCCGATGCTGAACCAGTCGCTGGCACCAGCCATTTTTCACTGATTTCTCTCTCTCTCTTTCTCACCGCCGACGGTACAGCTGAGACCGTGACCGCGACATCGGGCGCCATCTTGCATCACCTTACTCGAATCTCTCGAACGAACGAGCCTCCTATATAGATTAATTTCAAGCCTCGTCCGTCGCGCGTGTTTCACGATCGATAAAGAATGGGATCTGCGATGAGAATTTAAGGCGTGAGATTTGAGAAATAGACCAATCGTAATTGATTTTTTTTTCTATAATTCGACTATGATCGGTCAGTTTCTTAAGTCTTGAATCTTAAATTCTTATTAAAAATCCCGCTTAAGTTCTAGACTATAATAGTGTCGGTCCACAATTGGTATTTTAAGTCTTTTAAGCCTTAAGAAATTGACTAATAACAGTTAATTATACTCTTCATATTCGACTGAAAATGGTCAATTTATTAAGTCTTAAGGCTTAAAATACTTATTGTAGACCGACACTAGGTCTAGGTCTACAATAGTGTTTTAAGCTTTAAGCCTTAAGAAATTGACCAATCATAATTGATTTTTCTTTTATAGTTTGATTATGATGAGTTAGTTTCTTAAAGCTTGCTTAAAACACTATTGTAGACCGAAAACTAAGGCCGGTTTCATGATCGGATCTTATATTTAAGTCAGTCTTAAGTCAGTCTTTATTTTCAGATGTTTTGTGGCCAATGAAATAAGTCGTAGAGCATCTGAAGATAAACTTAAGCTGATCTTAAATATAAGATCCGACTATGAATGCCGGCTTAAGTCCTGGTCTACAATAAATACCTTAAGCTTTAAAAAATTGACCAATCAGTCGATTATTTTTCTCATATTCGACTGTAATTGGTTAATTTCTTAAGGCTTAGAGATTAAAGCATCTATTGTAGACTGGAACTAATTCGATTATGATTGGTCAATTTCTTAATCCTTAATCCTTAAGAAATTGACCAATCACAGTCAAATTGTAGAAGAAGAATCAATTATGATTGGTCAATTTCTTAAATCATATGCCTTAAATTCTCATTGCAGACCCCGCTTAAGTTAATAGCGCTCCGTAACTCTGACGTTTATAAGTCTCTCTCTATCTTTCTTTCTTTCTTTCTCGGCTTCCGGCTGCTCTCAATCTTCCCATTGCTCGACGGACTATTCCACATCGATAAAACAGCACAGGATCGTTTCGAATTACCTCGTCTGGTCTCAGCCTAACCGCCTCTCATCCGCTTTTGCACGACCGATAGAAAACTTCAATCGACAATGTCAGCGACATTCGGAATGTGCGAGACTCCCGGTTGCAACGCCGTCGCGAGCCTGCAGTGTCCGACGTGTCTGAAAATCGGCATTCAGGGCTCGTATTTCTGCAGTCAGGTGAGACAATTCTCGTATTTTAAGGTTAACCTCGGTACCTCACTAATTTCAATTCGTTCCTTTCTGCGGTCACGTTATTAATATTCATGACGTCCGCTGAATACCGCCGAACAGTGATATACAGCTGATACATTTTTCGCCCTCCGATCATACACAAGTATATTTTCTCAATATACATATTCCTGTGCGTATTCCTGTTTGTCGAGATCAACCAATTGATGTAGCTTGATTTTGATTCCTTTGATTCCAGGATTGTTTCAAAGGGAGCTGGAAAACGCACAAAGTTATTCATCAATTAGCGAGTAAGTGTCTGACAGTGACAAATGTTGCTTTGTTAATTCCTTATAAATTGCCCTAATTATATATTTACTTGTATATTATTATATTACTTATATTATTATTATAAATAATATATTATATTATTTATATATTATTATTATAAGTAATATATTGTCATATTATTTATATTACATTGTATATAATTATATACATAATTTGCTTGTAATTAGAAGGAGAAATTGTCACCAAAGCCTCCAATACATTCAATCCTTGGCCGACTTACAATTTTACTGGGAAATTGCGACCGTACAAGAAAGAACAGCGCAGAGAAGTTCCCGAGCATATTAATCGGCCGGACTATGCCTTGCACTCTACTGGAATACCGCTTAGCGAACAAGCTGTGAGAAGTTCGGGACAGATAAAAGTTCTTGATAATGAGGAGATTGAAGGCATGAGAGTTGCTTGCAAGGTATATACTATATTTGAACCACAAGGGCTCACTGAGTACCATTGTCTAAGCATCCATACTTATATTGTTTATATCCTTGATTTTTTCTTATTATAAGAAAATATATTTTAATATATAAGAAAATAAGTTTTTAAACTGTACCATATGAAAAGAACTTGTTTGTTGAGTTATTCGAAGAATCCGGGAAGATAAGAGTGTTATATTTTTGTTCAAACTGCCTTGATTACTTTCAGAATTTAAGAAAAAATATCACTTTTGATCACTATTTTGATGAGTCTGAGAAGTTATTTTTTGTCACATATCTACCAAAAAGCAGTCACTTTTCATTTTTTTTTTTATTCCACTGACTGGATGGTAGTTCTGCGACATGAATCTTTCTGTTGTTGAATATATTTTTTTTATTGTATCCTCCGTCATGAATCTGTTCTTTATTCTGATCAGGGACCCAGACCGAATGAAAATATCGCTCCGATTCCGATTCATTATAATATTTAATAAGGGTTCCGGTTTTCTAGACAATGAAAATAACGGTAAACCGTTTAAATTACGGTTTTTTCAGCTCTGGTTCTTTAAACTTGTTTCCTTACTGAAATTTTTATTGACTTAAATTATATACCAGGTGTTTCAGACTACCCGTACACCTCATTATTTAAAAACGATGGAAATGGTTATTTTAAAAAATGTTTCAGACAAAAGTTGTTCGGAATCAAGTAATGCATTACATGAGCATATACGATTGACCTTGCGTGACATCGTGAAGGTCATGTCAAGGTCGACTTGAATTTTTTTAATGGGAACCCATATCTTTCATTGCATATTTTTGTAGCTGACATCAAGGCGAATCGAAATACCGGTTATAAACCCTTTTTAGTTGAGATCTTCTTGAGTTGTGAGACTTCAAAATTTCAGTACCGCCCGCGCTAGCTTTACCCAAGATGTACCGCGTGGAGGTTACGTGGTCGGATTTACACCTCTTCGGGGTGCTATGGGGCTCATTTTAATCAAGCACTACTATTACTACTTCTTCAGCACTACTATTACTTTTTCTATTAATCCTCTTCTGTTCAATATCGTATGCTTGAAGTTTATTTTTGATTTGTCGTAATAACTAATTAATGTTCTGCTATTTCGTGAGAATTAGAATTTTATTCCGAAATGAAAAAAAACGACTATTTAAAATCACAGAATAAGAACCGAAATAGTGAACCGAAAAGAACCGCAAACCGAAAGATATGTAACGGTTCCGGTTTTGTAGGTTTTATAAAATTCCGGTTACGATTTACGGTTCCGGTCCGACAAAAATACCGGTTTCCATACGGTTTTTAATTCCGATCCAGGTCATTGATTTTGATCTTAAGTTAAATGTAGACTAATTTGCGTAGCTCGGCCGAGAAGTGTTGGACGAGGCTGCGAAGGCATGCGACGTTGGCATTACAACGGCCGAAATTGACAGAGTGGTGCACGAAGCTTGCATCGAGAGGGACTGTTATCCGTCGCCATTGAACTATTACCTATTCCCCGCCAGTTGTTGCACCTCCGTCAACGAAGTAATCTGCCACGGCATACCCGATACTCGACCGCTGCAATACGGTGACATCTGTAATGGTATGGCATTCGTCGGAGACTGTTATTCAGAAATGGCAATATCGATACTTCAAGTAATGATATTTTAGCGCCAAAGCATCGATATTTCAAGCATCGCTATTTTAGTGCAAAGGTATCGATATTCAAATATCAGTGCTTTGATGTGAAAGTATCGATACTTTATACTGTAAAAAATAGGGTTAAATATTGTAAAAATAGGATTTTGTTTGAAAATCTTATTTTTGGGGGGAAACCTTATTTCCCTTTGTACCGAATTGTATCGCCCATCTCTAGTGAGGTGCGACTTGAGAATAGCGTTTATAGAATAATTATAAATTATTTTTATATACCTTTCATGATATACATAATAATATAATTTACTTTATAAATTAAATTATTTTATTTATATGTACTTTTTATTTAGAAAAAAATTTTAGCGTAATTATTTCAACATTGTTATAAATACGTGCTATTCGCATTATTACATTCATATAACGTATACAGCATAAGTAATTTTAATTAAAATTGGAAAATAACGCGTTATTTGTAACGCCATTACCGTTGTTAGTTTTTCAGTGATTTCGTATCGACATTATTTTTAAATAATTTAACTTTCTTAATCCTGCTTTTAATCCAATACTTTTATACAATTCAAGTATCGATACATTTTGTATATTGCTATTTTTACCCACGTATCGATACAATGTATCGATAATTTCGGGGTGCTTCGCCCATCTCTACTGTTATCGCCGCTTTTTGAAAAGCACGTTAAGTCTAATTTATTATTTCCGTTTAGTCGATGTCACGGTATATCACAATGGTTTTCACGGAGATCTGAACGAGACTTTCTTAGTGGGTAACGTGAAACCGGAAGTGAAGAAGTTGGTGGAAGTGACGTACGAATGCCTGTCCAAGGCTATCGACATCGTGAAACCCGGTGAAAAGTATCGAGAGATCGGTAATGTCATTCAGAAGCACGCACAGGCGCACGGATTCAGCGTAGTGCGCAGTTACTGTGGCCATGGGATCCACCGTTTGTTTCACACCGCGCCAAATGTCCCGCATTATGCCAGTAAGTAATTTTTTTCTTTCCGATTTCGGTTTCGGTCTTCTGTACAATGAAAGTATCGGTAAACCATTTAAATTACGGTTTTCTTCGCTTCCAGTTCTTCAAACTTGTTCCCTAACTGAAATTTTTATTGACTTAAATTATATACAGGGTATGTTAGTTGAAGTGTGACAAACGTATATCAGAAATAAAGCATTTTTCAGAACAATATTTCGTATATATATATATATATATATATATATATAAAACGTATACAATAATATATTATAAGAAATAATATCACTTCCTCGATGTAGATTGGCATTTCTTCACTATTTCCATCTTCTGCTCTTAACTTTTTTGGATATATAATATTATCCTCGTTATTTGTTACTTCTTCCTAATAGAAAATGTAAATTATGTAGATTCTGAGAATATTCGGAGAATATCTCGATATTCTCCGAGCTTTCTAAGAATATACATGTTCCGTTAGAGTAAGTTGTACAATTCAGGATGACTGTCTTTCTATTTACCCAAAAATATATTATTTCTTCTATTAATCCTCTTCTGTTCAATATCATATGTTTAAAGTTTATTTACTATTTTTTGCAATAACTAATCAATGTTCTGTTTTCTCGTGAGAACTAGAATTTTATTATGAAATGAAAAAAACGACTATTTAAAATCACAGAATAAGAACCGAAATAGTGAACCGAAAACAATTGCAAACCGAAAGAAAAGTAACGGTTCCGATTTCGGTTCCGGATTATAAGCTTTATAATATTTCTGTACGGTTTACGATTCTGGTCCGACAGAAATGCCGGTTTCCACACGGTTTTCGGTTTCCGGTTCCGGGTTCCTTGCTTTCAGAATTTGAGCGAAAAATGGCATCGATATTTTTTCGACCGAATTGTGCATCGAATGATATAATAATAATCGGGAAAGAATGAACCATCTCCGATGTACGTCGAGGCTACACTCTGATACGTTCTTTTTAAGGAAAATTTCATTCAACGGCCTCCGTTGGAAAAAATGGCTGATCGAAAACGTCCATCGTGTTTTGAAACAGCCGACGCTTCGTGTAAAATTTTCCTGGGGGAGGAAACATTTTGGAACACAGAGCTCTTAAGAACTTAGATATGATTATAATATGCTATTTTTATCCTTCTTCTTCTTTTTATATTATTATCTTTTTCATTGTCTTTTTATTCTCTTTTTATTATGAAATGTTATCCATTTACAAATAAATAAATACATAAATAAATAATAAGTATAAAATGATGAAATTTTCAGAAAACAAAGCAGTAGGCGTTATGAAACCTGGGCACTGCTTCACGATCGAGCCGATGATATCCCAGGGAACGTGGAAGGACGAGACGTGGCCGGATAATTGGACCGCCGTCACCTCGGACGGTCAGTGGTCAGCGCAATTTGAGCACACGCTTTTGGTAACGGAGACAGGTTGCGACGTTCTAACGAAACGACTTACGAGCGATGGCAGGCCATGGTTCATGGATCGTTTGTAGTAGCGTTTCTTTCGTCGATTTTCCTACGACGTTTACAATCTAAGCGAGATTCACGCGAGTCTTGATAGAAATTCGACGTAAGTTGCGCTCGACATAGCATAGAATCTGAATTGTGCGATTCGAAACGTCAGAATCAAGTCGCAGGTGCCGAGAAGAGCGGGGACAGTGTATATAAATTCGCATCGTGGAATTTTTCTCTTCTTTTTTTTTTCGAGTCATTCCGGAAAAAAACTGCGGAATGCTTCAGACTTACCGTGAAAACCTAAAAGTAGACATCACGCGATGTAAAGTTTTTATACGAGTCTGCTCGACTTTTCAGCTTAAACCGGCTCAACTTTTTCACTCGGACTGGTTTTATACGGCTTTTTTAATCGATGACGATACTTTCTCCCTTGTGTGTGATGAAATTCCTTGGATGTACAAATGAAATGTAGAAGAACTGTGTACATAATAATGTATAAATTCTTTTCACAACGCGTGTAACTTGTTTCTGAAGTTCCGTCGTGCATTTCAACATCGTAGCCCGCGTCCGAATTTGAAAATGCTGGCGCGGGATATGTGATGTTATCAACCGGAGGGCTAAAAACTCTTTTTCACGCCTACAGTCACTGCGATTCATTTAGTTTGCAGTTGTGACGACAGGATATGATGATACGATCATTTCTGTTTTTACCACAGTGTTCGGCAATCTGCGTCATTAAGTTAACTTCGACTTTATAGAAGCATTCACACGTGCATTTGTTGACATCTCGCCCCAACTCAGACCGCCAAGTTTTCCTAGCTAATTGATATAATAGGTGATTAACGCCGAGGCTTGGTGAATCGATACGAATCGTAATTTGTATTTATAGATTCGCGTGTTCAAATTACTAATAACTCACTATGATGATAACTATTGTATATACGATATAGTAGCTTATCAGTGCGAATATTTGAAATAAAGAAAGTAAAAAAAATTCTACAGATGAAAGAGAGAGAGAGAGAGAGAGAGACGATTTTCAATGCTTGTCCTGTCCAACGCATATCGATATATGTGTATATATGAAAGGAACGCGAATCAGCCATAAAAAAAAACTGGTATTGCCATTAAAAAAAATCTACTTGATTTTCATAGGGTCCAAGTTTTGGGCCCGGATCCAGATTATTAACCATTAGACAGGTTTTTGGAAACCCAACAACTTCCCCTGTAACATTTTCTTTCTTAAATACATCCCTGACGAGTTAGTTGACCGTTTGCATACTTTCGAAGGACCCTGTGTATATATATTTATATACACACACACATCAGCATCTATTAAATAAATAATAACATTGTATAAACATATATTGCGATATATATATACCGCTGTCTTTTTCTCTGGCAGTCGTCGATTATCTTATAGCGTCCGATACGCACGCGCACCGTTGACACTTTCACTCCCTAGTCTTTGACCGTAGGCGGCTGCCGAATTCAGCATGAGGATCACCGTCAACGTGAGGCGTGACTTGTCCGTCGAACGGAGCAGCGTCTTCCTGTGAACCCTCGATCTCCTCGTCTTCTCCCTCGTATTCGTACTCCACGTTAGCCTTCTTCGTGTTACTCAGCTGATCGTCAATCACATAGTCATTCTCCTCGGGCACCATTATCTGCAGAGGTAATTTCTCATTGTTCCGCTCCTCGTGATTCTGCTTACGACGTTGCTGCGGACTCTTGTGATATTTGTACTGATTGTATTTCCGCAGCTGATCGCCGTCAGTCTGTTGTTGGCTCGCTTGCTCGTCCTTCTTGTGATTGGGCGGCATTGACTCGTCATTCTGCATGTTATCTTGCTGTTGCTGTTGTCGCTGCTGCTGCTGCTTTCGCAGTTGACCTATGAGACGACTGTTGACGTTGCCCGCGGCGGCTAACGCCGCCAACTTCTCGGCGGCTTCTCGGTTGGGGAGCGTCGTGTAAAATTTCGTCGCACCGCCGACGTTGGCAGCTTCTTTCGAGTACGACGTAGTCGGGTTTCTCTGACGATTCGCTCCCTCGTACTCGATGATGTTGTTTTCGGACTGCTCGATTCCGTTTATGGGATACGTAAATTCCTCGTTGATGCGCGCGTCGCTGTTCTGCTCGCGTATGTCCGTCGGAGGCTCCGGATCGAGATTGTAGTCCGCTGTCACACTCCCCAAGGTGTAATCTTGGTCGAGCAGGATTTGCTGTTGCTGTTGCTGTTGTTGCTGCTGCAACTGGTTAGCTTGTTCGTCGTAATTGAAAGAATGCATCTGCGGTTGGGAGAAACTCGTGATCGCGTCCGGCTGAAGAATCTGGTCGAGTTGCTGCCGAAGAATCAGTTGTTGATCTGGCGATGGAGAAATTCAACGGTATAACCTTCCTCTGTTGTCGGTATTTTGTCGTACAATTTAAGTTAAGAAGGAATATGCAGTTGGTTAATTGGAATCACGTGTGACGAATTCATCCTGCAGTAATAGATTTTGAATTTTGTCAACGTGAAAGTAGAGTCGAAAAGAGTGATTGGTTGTTGGAATGGAATGTGACAATTTGGGGTGATCAATTTCAATTTCTATAGATTTCCAAAAGAAACGGGTGTTTAAAAGAAACTGACGAATTGATTTGTTGCGATGATCAAATTCGATTCTATGAGCTTTAACCCTTAGAAACATGATGGAAAATATACTTCTCATCTTTTTACTTTCAATTTCTCGTCGATAAAATTTTCATTGCTATATTTGGACTTTTTTTTACTTTTCTAGTATCTTAGGAATAGGTGAACGTAAAAAAAATCGTTAAAATATATTGTTAACTGCTGAAGTGTATAAATAACCAAATTAAGAAAAATGCCTGTTTTCTCAGAGAAATATATATTTTCCAGCGACTTTTCCAAAATTCAGGTGTTAAAACTTACATATAGAGTTTTTCGAAGTCGCTGATTACAAATCTGATGTCAGAATCAGAAGATTTTCAAAATTCAAAATGGCGATCTAATATGATTGAAGTTGCAACAAATAAAGCGATTCTCTTCAAATGTGATATATGAAGTGGTTTCGGGTCGCTGATTACGAATCTGGTGTCGAAATTGCAAAATTCGAAGTGTTGAATACAAAATAATAGATGAAACATACAAAGATTTTGTCTATGCTATAGATTATATCATTTCAATCCCTCTAATTCATTTTCGCAATATCGCCTTTCATAATTTGTACTCGGAAACTTTGAAAGCGATAAACACTGAGTTTTTGCATGTTTCATCCACTATTTTGTATTCAATATTTCGAATTTTATAATTTTTTAATTTCCACTCTACATTTGTAATCAGCAACCCAAAAACCCCCCGGATACCACATTTGAAGGGAATTGCTTGATTCGCTGCAATCTCGGTCCGCCATATTGGACCGCCATATTTGATTTTGAAAATCTTCCAATTCTGACATCAGATTCGTAATCAACGACCTCGAAATACCTTATATGTAAATTTTAACACCTAAATCTTGGAAAAGTCGCGAAGAAAATGTATTTTTCCTGAAAAAAATAGGCATTTTTCTTAATTCGGTTATTTACAACATTTTTGCAGTTAACAAAATGTGTATTTTGACGATTTTTTTTGCATTTCCACCTTTCCCTAAGATACTAGAAAAATAAAAAACAAAAAGTCCAAATGTAGCGATGAAAATGTTATCGACAAAAATCTGATAGAGAAAAGGTGGGAAGTTTACTTCCCACCATGTTTCTAAGGGTTAAAGTATGATCAATCGGTGACTCTACTCGATACAATCCAAAAGTATCGCGATCTTCTTATTGCGATCGATCTGTCCGTACAACATATCTTCCCTCCTCACCTGGTGTGTACTGTTCCGCGAATTTGTGGGGGAAACTGTTGAGCAGATCGTAGAGTTGCGTGGTCGGCAACGGTGGCTCAGCCGGTGACGCCGCCGGATGGCCCACGTGGAGTTCGGGGATCTGCTGCGCCACGATGTACGGTGTCTGAACGGCGGGGAAGCCGACGTGCAAGGAACCATGAAGATTCGTCTGCATCGGCACGTTCGATTGGCCACCGAACTGCACCACGTTCGGCCCCGCAACGCCCGTATTCCCGTTAATTCCCGGATGGCTGATGAACAATTCGTTGGAAGAGGACTGTGAGTGAGGACTGACGATGGTCGAGTAGAGTCGGGTCATGTCGAGATCCTGAGGCTGCAGGGTCGCCGATTGCACGGCGGTCGGGTGGTCCTTCGGGACGACTTCCGCGTCGTTACTCTCCGTAACTTCGTACTGATGACGCTGCGGCGGCGGGTTCGTCGCCGTTCGTTGCGGCGGCAGACCGTTGCCGATCGCCGTTGATCCGACGTTGGTCGCAATGTTGGGACCTGCGGCTTATTGGAAAATAAGGCTTCAATTTCCCGCTATATAGGGAGAGATGATCACTCGCTCGTTCAATAATTCTAGTTCGATGTAACGAAAGCTAAAAGTAAACTTTACTTTGCGCGGTAGCGTGATAATTACGATCGCCCGAGTACGGCGATGCGTCATCTCTTTTGTCTCACCGGCCGAGCTGTAAGGCTTGTCGGTCAGGCTCAAATTCGGTGCTGGAATCGTATGGATGGGCCCTTTGTCGTCGTCGAGGCCTCCTCGATGGGTGGCCGGCAGAACCACCAACTCCGGCCTGTATTCCGGACTGTATTCCGGCACTTTGTTCACCGAGTGAAACTCCTTAACGGGGGTGCGCTGCGGCAGCACCCCGCGATTATTATTCAAGGTCGCGCGTATCGGCAGTTGCTGATTTTTCCAGCCAGTTGGCAAGACATTGTACACAGGTCGACGGACCCTGAAATCGAAAGTGAGGTCATATTCCAGGTGATACGAAGTCGAATGGTGACTCTTAGGAGCCCAATGATAAGGTTATTTCAGGGATTTCTTTAACTGCTTATAAGTAAATGAGAAGGGAAGACTGAAATGGGGAATCCTCTTTTCTATGGAGGCCCTGATAGGCTCCAGCATAATCTTAAATAGCACAGATATATTCTATGAAGGTTCGATGAATTATTTGTTACGAATATTTGTATATTCGCAGAATATATTAAAAACACGGTTATCCTTAATATATAGTACGGTGAATTCTTAAAGTGTATTCCTGACTGGTTTCCCCCTTCTTCGAGTTTCCCCAGTTAACTCTGTAGGAATTCACGAAAGAACTGTAAGAAGAATTCAGGAAGTTACGAGATCTGTCCGGAAAGTATCTAACCTTATGTTATGTAAGAAAAATTGAATGAGCTACTCTGCACTGATGGCGATTCCCTTCTAAATATATTCCTTTAGAAGCTACAATCTTCTTTCAGTGCTGCTCCCATTTTCTGAAACAATTTTTGAACTCATCTTTTGGAATAGCTTGCAGTTGCCGCATTTTTTGTTTTATTTCCTCCATATCCTGAAATTTCTTTCCTTTTAAGAGCAATTTAAATTTCGGGAGCAGCCAGAAGTTACATACAGCTGCATCAGGACTTGTACAGAGTCTGACGGGTTTGCGTTTTGCCATGTTTTGGTCAACAAAGTCCGGATAAGATGAGATGAACAGGCTGATGCGTTATCGCGATAAAGCAACCAGTCACCGCTTTGCCACAAATGAGGCTCGTTTTCTCTTCATCGCGTCTCGTAAATAGCTAAACTTGTGCAAACAAATTTCGAACAGAGCCTGCAAGTTTTTGACGGAAAGGCAACAAATCTAACACTGGTTTTGTTCTACCACATTATGTCGCCGAACAGCTGCCAAAAATGCGACAGAGCCTGTTGACAGGTAATGCGAGAACAAATCGGCGACAGAAACCGAGTAGAGTCTGTCGAGCGATTCGAGTCTGAGTGATTCATTATTTCCTGCTATTTCCTATTAGCTGTTGGACTTATTACTTCCTCTCCGATCATCGAAGTTTAAGTAACGGCGACTGCTTAGAAGTAGGATGGGTGAACTGGCTGGCGCCGCTGTTCGAGAATCGATTCCATGCAAAAATGTGAAAAA